TACTGGCGTCAGAGCGATTGTCTCTACCAAGCATGGATCTTTCCAAGCGGATACTTTAGCAATGGAAAGTGAGAGTTATCGAGGTTTCACGGCAATCTTTTCAATGATAGATACTTTCAGTAGAAAGTTATACGCGAAGCCGATACGTACAAAATCCGCTGCCGAATGTACCCGAGTCCTCCGAGAGATTCTCGCACAAAATCCCAATATTGTCTTTAATCGATTGCAAACCGATAACGGAACCGAGCTCCAAAATGTTTTTCCAGAACTTCTTCGGGAGCAAGGAGTGCGACATGATGTCTCTCGTCCGGGTCAACCGTTTTCTAACGGACTTATAGAAAGAAGCAATTTTGCGGTACGAAAAGCATGCGTAACTTATATGGAAACGACGGGGAAAAGAGATTGGCCAGACATGCTAGACAAACTGGTCGATAATTTGAACAATACATTCAACAGTACAACAAGAAAAAGTCCAAACGAACTGGAGGAAACCGCTGCAGATTCGGAAATTCATAAACAGGCTGGGGAGAACATTATAGACAGAGCAAATAGATCAGTACAAACTCGTGGAGCAACCTTGCTCCATGAGGGCGACAAAGTTCGTAGAGTACTCCAATATTCTGGAAGCGGTATCAAGAAAGCGTCGCGGCTCGGATATTTCGACATAAACAATTTGTATGAAGTGACATCCGTTGTTCAAAGTCCTTACCCGAACGCGTTACCGAGTTATAAACTTAAAGACGCAAACGGAACCATACTCAAAGGATTGTCGTCGCGAGCGCAACTTCTTAAAGTTCCGTTCAGTGATCATCGGATCGATGGGAGACAAATGTTAAACGAAGACGACAACAGTCAACCTGGTGGAGCAGATGGTGGAGCAGATGCTCCGGCAAACATAGAAGAAGACGAGGAAGAACAGCCTTCCAGACGTTCGGGACGAATCAATAGAGACAGAGAATACGAAGTGGAGTACATTATTGATAAAAGAAGAGTCAAAGTGGGAAGACGAACATTCATTGAATATCTAGTAAAATACAAAGACTATCCTATCGATCAAAGTACTTGGGAACGTGTGAGCAACATAAATGCGCCAGATCTAATTCGAGAATTCGAGAATCGTAATAGGCGCTAGGTCAAATCATTTCTTGTCAAAGATCAAAGACTTGTATCGATTATAGTATTGTTGATGAACCGAGTAAGTATGATCGAGTCTTTTCTCAATTTTCCTTTGATATTCCAAGTCGCCATTGTCCTTCTCGCTCAGATAAATACCGAGACTTTGACGAAATCTTGAAACAGTCAAACGGCGCTTTTTGAACATTTTCTCCATAACATCCGCGAATCTATTCAGAAACCATTCATCTGTTGGATCGCCTCCGTTCTGTTTGCAGAAAAGGTAGTTCTGACCGGCCTTTTGTCGAGCCTCCATGAGCAATTTCGCGTATTTTTTCCCATTACCTTTCAGATTGATTTCGTGGGAACGACCTGTTTTGTTTGCATCTTTGACGACTATTTTAGAACAGTCGCTCTCAATGTAAACATCCGCGTTTTGATCGAAACATGTGGTGGAGATATCCCCTCTCAACATTTTATCGCTTGACCAAAATATGATAAGGGCAACAAGCATTTGATTTTCGATAATATTCTCACTTGTAAGTGTGGAAAGGACTTCTTTGATTTTGCCGACTATTTCAAGAAACGGAACATAGTTTTCAAGATCCAGTTCGGTCATTTTTTGTTCATCGTTTTCCTTTTGGCGTTTCTCTTTTTCTTCGGGAGAAAGGGACATCTTGGTGAAGTGTTCGAGGATATCCTCATTGAATTGCTTATCGACCATCTCGTCGCTAAGATCTTTTTCATTATCAAAAAGAATCCGCTTTTCTTTAGCGCTCATATTTCTAAGGACTTTCGAGAGAAACTTCACTTTATTGGCGCGGGTATGCTTATTCGACCATTTTTTCTCGATTGACGAAAGTAGATCTTTAGGCTTTTTTACAAGATGAAGTTGATCGCTCAGTACGTTACAGGACGATACCATGGATCTGTGATCCTTATTGCTGTCCTTAATGCGATTGAGGACGCCTAGGCAGAATTTATGGTTGAAAGCGGAGTTTTGATTGTTGTCTGACATTATTCTCTATTATAAACGTGTATATGTTTATACCAGAAAATAGTTCTATGGCCGATATAAAAAATCGGCCTACTTATGCTTAATTGGATGTCATCAAAATTACGATCCTATTACAATTAAATTCGGTAAGTTGATATGAATTAAGTCATGATGATGTCATGACACATCAAAGTCACCTTTTCCGTTTTTGGACAAGTCCTTCATTTTCCTCCCAGATAGCAAATCTGTGCGGCCATTCAATTTTGCGATGTAAGTCAATCGCTTCTCGCCCTCTCCCTCGATAATGATCTTGACTATGTCGATCAAGAAGTAGATTCTCGAACGGGGCTTTGTGCAATAATGTGGATGCATTTGAGCCCATATAGGATGCGTTACATCTACCCAAGGGTGGAAATAATCGGCAAGATCCCGGATTTTAACTTGACCCGATTGAGATTCGGTAGTCACATTATCGAGGAACTCGAAAAACCAATCCGTGCGGAATCCGTCGATTTCGGAGGGAATTCTTTTGATATTGCTCTCGCCAGACATCTTGTCGTTCAAGATGATAATGTTTTTGTTCATGTCGCCAATTGCATCCGTTATGCCATTGAATCCCTTTTTCAATTCTTGCAGAAGCATTTCGGTCATACTCTCATCCCCCAAAACACTGGAATATCCAGTGCTTTTAACCATTGCGCTGCTAGATGACTCTCCACGATCCACTGGTAACGAGAAGAAGAAAATAACATTCTTGTCAATACAATTCGCGTGATGGAATAGATTGAGTAGGTACAACCTTTGGATCGCTTCACGGCAGGAATGAATGTGGCAGGTTGTGCTGGTCGTTTACCCTCACGTCTATCGGCTGCGGCCTTTCTTTTTTGCTCCATTCTTTCCTGTTTCATCCGTTTTGCAGCAGCGCGATCTTGAGCCAGCCTTTCCCTTTTCTCTTCTTTTTTCTTCTGCTTTTCATGAATTCTTCGCATTTGTTCCTCCAGTGACAATCCAGACCCATTCTCGTTGTCACTCAAATCTTCGTCGTCAATGTCATCTTTGCTATCATCATCACCATCATCTTCGGAATCGGAATCGGTGGGTGATCCACGAGATTGCCGCGAGGGGTACTTATTATCGCCAGAAGGTTCAATAGACACTTGACGTGAATTCTTTTTCACTGTTTGCTGCTTGGGAGGTGATAAATGACGACTACTTTCTGGGTTTTCGTACTCCGGTCGGTTCATGCCAGTAGCATCGTTGTCCGAATTATCATCCGAAGTGCTCACATACGGTTTGCTGAACACGGATTTGCTTCCACGACGTTTACGAGGAGTTGACTGACCACTCCGTTGTTCCCCTTCACTGTTCCTTCTGGAAGATATCTTCTCCTTTTCAACTTTGTTTTCCAACTCTTTCATCTTCTCCTTCGCTTTCTGAATCTTTTCGAATGCTTTCCGTTCCCTGGCTGCGATTTGTTCTTGCATTTTCTTTAGTTGTTCGTCCGCAGTGCGCCTTTTCCTTTTGGCTTTGCCGGATTGATGGTTTGTATCTTCCGTACTCGCAATCTCAGCAGGTGCAGGTTCGGTTATTTTGACAGAATTGTTTGTCCCCGCAATCTCAGCAGGTGCAGGTTCGGTTATTTTGACAGAATTGTTTGTCCCTGTTAAAAGGACATTTTGCTCGGTATGAGATTCCGTGGAAAGCAGTTCATTTTTGTCGATTCCAATTGCTACAAACCGCAACAAAAAATCGTGAGTATAACCTGGGATCAAAGTATCTCGAAATTTGCGATTCTTACAATCTGTTTCGTCGTGTCCTTCTCTGAACGACATTGATAGAGTTACAGGTATTGATGTTTGTGGAATGTCCAGTTCGGTGTTTATTCCAGTCTCGTTTCTCAAATCCACCCGGTGAATCTTCCAAGAAACTGAATGATTTCCGCAGCGACCTGGTATTACTTTAAACACGAAACGCGCTCTCTGTCCACATTACATTCGGACGGTGAATGCGAGCGACACTAAGACGTACGCTTTTCCTTTCTCGAATCCACTTTCAAAGTTGGATATTGCACTTTCCGATAAGCATTACTGCATTCAAAATGGATAATATCCCTACATACAGTCCCAGCGTAAAAGCGCTCACAAACGATACCGAATCGCTTGCAGCAAATATCGGCGAACTTCTGGAATCCGACAATTTAAGTGAAGATGTTCGCTTTCATTTGGAATCCTTTCGAGTTCACTTAACGGAACACCTTGCAAAGGCCCAAGCCTTGTCGGTTTCTTGGGACAAGATCTTGGAACTTGCGTCCAAAAAATGGTAAAATTGCGTTTGCTCATTATTTAAAGCAATCGACAGAGTAACTTATAACTTCTTTTTATTATGCCCAGAGAAACGATCCGTGGACGGCCTATGAAGCACCCGTCAAATGGAAGACCCCTCATTCCACCGAGAACACGAAAATGCAAGGAAGAAACTTGCAATGAAATTATTCCATTTCAACCCAGACGGATGTACTGTTTAACCCATTTCATGAAAAAAATTGAACTCCCAGTTGGGTTTCAACTTGAACCGGATAGCGATTGATGTTCTCACCCGTTGTCCACCTTTTTCACCTTCCGAGTAATGGAGATGTTTCTTGCAGATCGGCATGTTGGTTTTCGAGCGATAATGTCCAGAACTGTACATTGGCACAGATTCAGTTTCTTTGCCAAGTCGCGAAGGCTCTTTCCATCGATTTGTTTAATTTCTCCGTCATAAAAGGATATGTCCGCTGTATATGTGAACGGACTAAGCATTTCCGATGTTGCTTTATTAATCAAGATAAATATTATGAAATCACCTGCGTTTAAATGCCATTTAAAGTATTGATTGTATTAAGAATAAAGCAATGAGTCAACACAAACAAACTCTAACTGGGGAAAAACGCGCGGCAATGGACGCCGGGTTTGTCAAGTCTTCTAAACGCTTGCGTGTAAACGACCGAGTCCGACGTGACCGTGCAATAAGCGCTGGGGATTATGATCTCGCAAGAAAGATCGAAGAAGAAGCAATTCCCTTTGCTGGGAGGGAATCGCATCTATCTATTGGAGACAATGGAAGCGATATCATCAATACTAGTATCGTATGTAGTGAAAGCAGTGAAGAGGCTCATTCTTCGGAAAGGGACATGGAAAGCACCCATTTACCGAACATTCCAGGTGTAACATACCGAGGTGAAGTTGATAATGACCAAGATGACCAAGATGACCACCTTTATCATGAAAAATTTGACCTTCCCCTCGTCAAGCACGAGTTCCAACACGACGGTCGAGTTCAGAACTTGATTACAAGCAAATACGTGGACGCAAAGACTAAAAACGGGCTTCGATATATGAAAAGATTCAAAGTTGCACCAAATACGTACAAAGTCGAATATAATCATGGAAAAGATGCTTTGGAAATTGCTAGCGGGCGACTTGTACCAAATCATTTCTCGTTGCAGCAAATGCCCGCACGCGAAACCCAGCATAGACAGTATCTGTCTTGCGGGCAATACGACGACGTCGATTTAGTAAACTGTCAGCCGACTATTGCCAATCAGTTTCTCCTTCAACGCAATCTAATTGTTCCGCAAATGCAATACTATGTTGAAAATCGACAGGACTGTCTTAAAAAATGGAATATGGAGAAACATGATGTGATTGCGGTACTCAACACCGTTAACGCGGTAAATTGGCACCCCGATCTCAAAGCCATTCACCGTGCCATTTATGAGAAACTCGTCCCCATTCTTAAAGGGGAAAACCCTGATATTTGGCAAAAAGTTTTGAAATCTCGAAAACCGAAAACAGTAAATAACCGCGAAGGATCATTTTTCTCGCAGGTGTGCCAAACGACCGAAAACACGATGCTACTTCTTATGCACCACTACTTTCTTAATGCAAAGTTTCGTCCCGATGTTCTCATTTCTGATGGTTGCCAGATTCGTAAAGATCCCGAAAATCCTCTTACCCCTGACCACTTGCGAGCATGCGAGCAATACATCTTTGACAAAACTCAAATGCAGACGAGGATAGCCATTAAACCTATGGAAGTTCCCGCCTCCTACTATGAAAGATTTGGTTTAATTGCGGATAATGATCATCACCAATTATTTCCCATCCTGGATGAGAACACGGTATTTGCTGATTCAACCGAGGAGAAAGAGCCTTTATTTCTCGAACCTTTGTACCCAGAAAATCCACGTCTTGACGAACTAGCGAAGAGCATGATCTGTGAAAAGTCTCACGCGGCATGTGCTCAATTCATCTCCGAATTATGGAGAAACGATTTCTTCTATGGAGATAATAGTTGGTGGCACTTTGAAAATCATTACTGGAAAGATTCACCTTATTCTATGACGCATAAAATAATGTTCGAGTTATTCCCAATTCTTGACGAATTGACAAGTTGGCGCGACACAGGTGGTGATCTAGATGGACATATCTCGAATCTCAAGCGGAGTTTATCAGATTTACCCACATCCAAGAATATCGCATCCGCGTGTATTGGTCATTTTCAGAAACTAGACTATCACGCATTTAAATGTAGTTTGAATCGAGACTTGGCGCTACTGTGCTTTAAAAATGGAGTCTACGATTTGAACGCCGGGCATCTTAGGGATGGCAAACCCCAAGACCGCATCTCTATACAGATTAATTACGACTTTGTTGATTTTTCGCTTCCGGAAAACGTGCATATTTTCAAGCGTCTTGGGACGATTCTCCAACAAATCCTTCCGGATCGTGACGAGCGGGAGTATGTTCTTGATATCCTGGCTTGTGCTCTTGGAGGAAAAAGGACCAATAAACTTGAAATCCTTCTCGGCGAGGGCGCAAATGGGAAATCGCTGCTGACTCAACTTATGGAGTTAGCATTAGGGCCATATGCAACCTCTTGGAGCACCGCAATGCTGTGTACAGAATTCGACCCTACCGCACCAAACACCGAGTTGAACAGGGCCAGACACGTCCGATTCATCAATATCCAAGAAGGCAAGAAATCATCGCAGTTTAACATGGAAACATTTCGAAAGTACACGGGAGGAGATTCTTTCAATGGTATACGTGATCTGTTTGAGAAAGGAAGCGGGGTAACTTCATTCGTACTGCATGCTCAACTTTGGCTATCACTCAATACGCTTATGGCAATATCCGAGGCGAACCACGCGACTTGGAGACGGTTAGAGTTGCTTGAAATGCGGTCCAAATTTGTCGAGGATGAGTCTGAGGTAGATGTGAAAAACAATCGGTATCTCGCGGATGAGTGTTTGAAGAACGAACTGCACAGTCTTGCTCCGGCATTTATGTGGTTATTGGTGGAAAAACGCTACAGAGACATGCGAGATAAGAATGACTTTGTTTTATCTCCGCCCACCTCAGTTATTGAAGCAACGGAGAGATATCGCAGTGAACAGAATGTTTATCAACTCTTCTTTGATGACATGTGTACCTTTGATTCTGAAGGTCGCATCTTCAATACGGAACTATTTGAGAAATGTCAGCAGTGGGCAAAAATCAACCTTAAAGCGGTTACAAAGGCCGATATGAAAAAGTGGCTGTTGAACCAACCGGGCGTTCAATGGAAAGATTCGTTAAAGATCATGAAAAGCGTAGGCGACTTTGGTCAAAGAAGTGTAGAGAAAGTGTCACGAGGATATCTAGGAATCAAATTGAATAAGTATGAGTAGGGAGGGGAAAAGTAGAAGCGGGGGTAGGTAGCCATTAAGAGCAATCCGTAGTCATTCAGGTAGCCATTTTTTCTGACTCGACAAGGAACTTTAGATCGAGTGAAAGGTTGAATTTGATAAGAAGAATGAAGAGAATAATATGAAGAGAATAGAAAGTAGCCAAGTAGCCATTTATTTTGGAAAGGTGTTATAGTATAAATTTTGATCAACAAGGTGGTGGTGGTGAATATGACCACCACCTTGAGGAGCACAGTTTTATATATACGGAGAGAATTCTGGCAGAAAATGGCTACTTGGCTACCATTTGAAACGCTCGACGAAACGGCTCGATAAAAATCAGTGAAAGACGCGTGTTCACTCGATAAAGAGGGAAAGTATGGAGAGGAGGGAAATGGCTACGAAACGGCCACGAAGTGGCTATGAAATGGCTAAAAATGGCTACCACTCGATAACGTTGTTATTCGCGCAAAGTAACAGAACCAATCCGGAGACAACGGAGAGGGTTGCGTGTAGTCCTGGCAAGAATTGGCTCGAAGTCGTTTAATAAACAAAGGCCCAGCGAGGTCACGTGACTGGAGTCGTGCCGATAGGCTGTTGAGATCTGTAGGATAGGCTGACGAGATCTGTGGCCCATAGACTCATATGCTGAGAATAGGCTGTTGAGGACTATGGGCCATTGACCCGTAGGCTGTTAAGAAGTATGACCTATAGACCCCGTAGGCTGTTGAGAAGTATGACCTATAGACCGATAGGCTACTGTCATAGGCCACCCATAGGCTGTACAGCCTATGGGTGGCCTATGACAACGGCCCATACCGAAAAGTGGATGCACCACCCCCCCCGGAGGAAGTCAACGGCAAACTCGAACACCGAGTTGAAGACACCCTCGACTCCAAGTGGGTATGCAACGCCGAGATGTTCCTGGTCAAATGGGCCGGCTACGACGTGTCCCAGAACACCTGGGACCCACTCCGACAGGTCTGTGACACCTCGGCCCACAAGCGATATGTCCGAAAGCAAGCCGCCAAGCGCCAGGAGACTCGGGAGACCAAGGCAAAGGAGAGAGCGGCAGTCTCTTGTCGCAGTAAACGTATCTGAACCTTGTACATACAGAGTTTCTACTGTCCGAAATGATCATTACCATTACGGACTCATGCGGGCGGGTACTAGTACCAAGGCCTGTGATGCGGGCGGGTACACAGTATCAGGGCCTATGATGCGGGCGGGTACGTAGTACCAGGGCCTATGATGCGGGCGGGTACGAGGTACCAGGGCCTATGCGAGCGAGCAAGCGAGGTGTCAGGGCTCATGCGGGCGGGTATGCAATACCAAGGCCTAGGATGCGAGCGGGTGCGAGGCACCAGGGCTCAGGACGATCAGTGAAGTACCAAAGGGAAACGCTCCGAAGAGATCAAATTCCACAAAATATATACAAGAAAGAAGAACGACGACGCCAGGCTAAATATCAGCCTGTTTGGCGAAAGACCATTGGCAACGTGAGCCGTGGCAGGCGGTCCCCATGCCACAACGCAGCGGGACGAACTGCTGGACGTTCATCTGGCTAGAGGGAGCGCGTCACGTCAGTGGCGCAACCTGTCAAAAACTCACAACTGTTGTACTTACACGCGGACATGCCCCATAAACTGGATGTGGTCGCAGGGGAAGACCGCACGTCCTCGGCCAGACAATTGCAGTCGGGCCACACACAGGTGCAGGGTAGCGCCTGGCAGAAGAGCGGCACTTCACACTCCTCCCCGAAACCATCCATGTAGCCGCACGTGAACTCCTTGATGGGTGTGTCGGTCTGTTGGGAAGGAACGTGAGCTGTCAGTCACCCCACGGGAACCACCCATGACATGCGGTTCCTTAGGGTGTCATCACAGAGCAGGAGGATGCAAGGCCGGCATATAACGTGCTGGCACGCCGAGAGGAACATTTTGCGGGGGCGGTACGTGTTGCAGTTCCAACACGTAGGTCGGGCCGGTGGAGCCGGGGGCACCGGGGTACTGTCCGAGTGCACCTCGGGGGTGTCCTGAGATAGAATTGGTCAAACCACGTAAGTTCGGTCAATTGGGCAACCCCCGTGGACTCACCACTCGCTGTCGCTTGAGAGCCTTCTTCAGGCTGTCCCCTGTGGTGGGGCCCTCGCCTACTTTCTTCTTGCCCGATGACGGGCCAGCGGCAGTGGGCTTGGCAGGAGGAGCTACGCTGGCCATAGTGAAGAGGGGAACGGCGACGGTGAGAGGTTACGAGATTGGGAGCAAGAAATGTGTTATGGACGACGCGCCCATACCATAAGCTTACCTACTGACAGCCGCCAATGTCAACCGCCAAATGTCAAACGCCAATGTCAATGTCAATGTCAGTGTCAATGTCAGTGTCAATGTCAATGTCAATGCCACTCCCCCTCTCTCCTCTCATTTCGCCAATCCTCTTGCAATATCGCCACTCCTCCTCTCTCCTCTCATTTCGCCAATCCCCCCTCGGCTTCTCCACACCCCCCACTGCTTCCCCATAGCCAGCAGCTGTAGCAATGCTCTCTACGCTCGCCACGCACGCTCTAGGAGCATAGCTGGCGCCCCCCAGTCCCCTCTTGTTGTTGTTGTTCTCTGATCTGCTGGGTTGCCCATCTATAAATAGCCGGCCTCTCTTCGTCCATTCCCTTCCTCCCCAGCAGATCAACACCAGTTCTTCTCATCTCCTGTTCTAGTCCTTGTTTCTTGTTTCGCCAATACAATCTCTTGTCGCCTATCACACTCGCCCTGTCTTCTCTACTTCGCTTCCGCCCCCGTCGTCGAGATCATAACAAAATGTAAGTCCGGGGACTGGCGGGAAGGTGCCAAGGGCGTACTGCCTTTTTTTTATATGCCACAGGGACAAGGACGATAGCGCCCCACGACCAGCTGCGGCCGAATCATCTCTACCTCATATCGGCGTGGATCTGATTGCCATCGTGGTGACCACCGGTGACGCCAGCTGCTCCAGTAGAGCCATGCGCACTCCTCATGGCCGACACCTGTGTCAGCTCCACATCAAGTAACAGCGGGGAGCGACTGACAGGTGCGGTCGGTGTCGGAGTGACACTTGGCTCTAAGGGGGGTGTAATGAGGTGCTGCAGGTGTCACCTTAGTGCGGGGAAGCGCGTAGGGCATGAGATCACGTGGAGCATATATTATATTGGAGTTCTACGCTCTGGGGTGACTCCCAAAGGGAAGAAAAGCCTTCGGGCGGCGCCCCGGGAGGTAGAAACTCTAGATTTCTTCCAATACATCGAGCAGAGACAGAGCTAGCCCCTGGCAACGGGCCTAGCATTATTACAGACTGGGAGGGCGAGATGGTCTATGCGGGGTTTGGGGAGAGGCCGGCAAAGGCGAGGGGCCTGGATGGGCTTGAGCGAATTGAACCCCGGGCAGGGGCCGACATCTACATCCGCGACGAGCACGGCGCCCTTGTGGCCACAATCTCGTACATTACCGCGGGTCGTTGCGAACACGACCTACGGCTGGGGCTCATCGTCGAGTCCTGTGGATCCCGGCCGGCTGTGGTTCGATGGAAGGCCTCAAGGGGCACAATGCATGCCGCGGGGCTTTGTCGTGGCCACAAGAACTCGGGATATGCCAGGGGGACATCGCACTATGCAATGAAAGGAGGGGAAAAGAAGTTTCTCGTTGCCACGGAAAAGGCCTTCACCAAGCGACTGCTGCAGGAGCTCGCCAAACGCAACCCCACCGTGGAGGCCTACCTGATGATGGCCATGCCAGAGGTGTACAGGCCAAATTCCGATGAGTTCCCCCCGCGGTTCGCCACCACCAACTATCAAGTGGTCGTTCACTGCGACCCGTCGGACGACGGCGTAGCCGGCGAGCTGAACCCGCACACAGGACGCACCATATGGAAGCCGACCCCGAAGGAGGAGCTTCTGGAGGAGCTTCAAGCCCGCAAGCTATGCGCATGGGCGGCAGGCTATGCCGCCGCTCCGCCAACCGTCGTCGGCGAGTGGGTATTTGTGCTGCCAGAGCAAGGCTTCTAGTTGGTGCTGCAGCCCAACTGCATGTGGACGTGGATGCCTGACAAGCTCCACGGAACGGCGGTGCTTGACACGTCCGGCGGCAGTCGCCACACAGCTGTTGTGACGCTGCCCCTGGCGACGGCCGCGGCCATCCGGAAATACGGCCTCCCTGATGAAGATGAATAACCCGGCAGTCATCCGTTCGGACCTTTTAGGTCGCCGGTCTAATATATAGCAACCCTCTGCTCTCTAACTCATCATCCGCTTGGGCCTTTTTGGGCGTCGGCTGTTAGTGTAGAAATGAATGCAATGTACACAAGTCGCTACCCACGATGGTCTTCTGAAAAGCCTTCCTGAATCACACACAGCGTTCGAAAACTGTTAGAAACGGTCGAAGCGATTTGGATGAGGGCAGGATCGATTTGGATGAGGGCAGGACATCGGGGCCTCAAGTTGGTTTCCCGGTTTGACGTGCGGGGGACAAATTTCTCCCCCAAATCCATTGAGGGCTGATTAGTACAGCGTGGGGCGAAAATCGTTCCCCCGACGGCGTCGCGGAGAGCACTGTCCCCGGGCACTTCCCGGTTTGACGTGCGGGGGACGAATTTCTCCCCAAAATCCATTGAGGGCTGATTAGTACAGCGTGGGGCGAAAATCGTTCCCCCGACGGCGTCGCGGAGAATAGACGGAGGTCACCAGTATCCCTCATATCGCCGCCATCTTTGGGTCGGATCGCGCACGGGGCTCTCGCTCTCGCGCATGAGCCCCTCATATCATCTCCCATATCATCAAATGCATCTCATTTACTATTTCGCCGAAGTCGGGTCTCGCCGTGCGCGATCCGGCGTCGTTGGGTCCAAAGATGTGCTGGATCATATGTATTTATTTATCGTTTATAATATACGTGTACGCGGTTTCGCCCGCGAAGGTCGCTCGCTAGTAGCTTTATCAACCCTATCCCCAACCTCACAACCCTAACCCGGTAATAACCAACGCTGCTCGACCTCGGAGTCTGAAGGCTCGGACATACTGTGCAGTACGTATAAATAGCTGCACGTCGTCGGGCGGAACACCTTTTTCCTCCTCAGCATTTCAAGACCAAGATCAAGACCAAGATTCCGTGGCCCAGTCCCCAGGTTCCGTTGCCCATTCCCCAGTACACCTAGAAAAAGTTATGACCACTGCCGGCACGGCCAGGCGTGATTGTTAACTCTACTTCTGTGTTGGAGGTGCTGTGTTCTGCGCTTGGGTCCGTCTGTGCATTTTGAGCTGTGCTATTCGGCTATTCGGTCATGGACTTCGGTGTATGGACGAGTGTATGGACCACTGTTGGCCGTTAAAAACCTCTCCCAGGTGTAAAAACCTCCATGAGGAAAAAAAAAAGATCCTGGGAGTAGGAAAAGAGCGCATCGTCGTATCAGGAAACATCGGCTGTTCGGCGCAATCCCAGAGCGTGAACAAACTTCCAGTGTTTGTTTTCATCGAGTGACTTGGTAAATATATTCGCAACGTTGTCGTGCGTATTGATCTGAGTGACGTTAATTGTTTTCGCATTCTCTTGACGGATATAGGCATGTCGGGAATGCGGCATCTGGTCGATATGTGGCCTGCGGTTCCGCAGCGGAAACAGGTACGGTCGTCCTTACTTTCATCCATTCTTGACTATGTTACTTTACTTCATCCCACTCTTGTCTTGTTCCTCTTTATAAAATTATATTGGCAGGGCTGCTCGTATGGATGGCGCCATTGAAGTCGCAATTATGAAGGGCCAAAGTTCTCAACGCTCTTCTTCCTCCCCTGTTTGGGCAATGTGCTACGGATTCCATGTATGTAGGATAACCTTATTACGCGTTGGAGGGGACAACGCGTTTTATATAAGCCTCTTCGAACCCGCTGTCCCGCTGTTTCCGCTGTCCCGTTAACCCTTCAACCTCAAGCGCCGGAGACGCGCTTTTTGCTTACCCAAGCTTGCGGAGTTGCACAAACCCCCTCCGCGCCATCTCAAAGCATGGCTTACCTTCCATATGGAAAAGGCCGATAATATACTGTATGTCTGCTGAACAAGGACGTAAAGCTCCATGGTCCCTAGAATCAGCACATGTCTCAGAAAAAGGTGGCCCTGACCCAGCGTCCCCTTTGTTACCCCGTGCCGGGCCCCAGCATCCTCCTTCTTTTTGCCGGAACTGGGCAATTCGATTGAAACCGCTTGCACGATGCACAACACGGCAGGCTTACGCGTTTCCTGCCACGCGAGACGAATTTGCAACTCCTTTCGCTCTCCTGTTCGCTGTATGCTATTTCTGCCCCGCTGATCCCGAACCGAGTCCCAGCTGTCAAACTGCTCGTCTCCGGTTGGAGAACGCTAGTCCTACATTACAGCGCGGTGAGGAAGGTGTGCAATTTAATTGCGCACACGTTTTGGTTTCCCCAAGATTATTGGGCAAAAGGGGAAACATGTAACTTCCGCTCATCTCGCATCTCGCACGCGAGATGGAGGGGGAAGTTATGAACAGTTACGATCGGACGGGACCTCGCATACAACCATATCACCATTGCTCCTCACACCCAGAATCAGTGATTCCCCACCACTCCTGTACACTCCCATCGCAACCTATTGCTATCCTACATATCCCCTGACATGTGAGCCAAAAAAAAAGCAAATCTGCCCTACACAACCTATCATACCCCACGATCTTCCTACTCCGTGTGTGCGATCCCCGTGGTTGCAGCTAACCCAGAACGCCATGCATGCATTTCGTAGTGTGTGTGAAATCTCCGACCTGGGAGGTTCCCCCGGTCACTCAACAACAGGCAAACTCGCGAAATGCGCCTTGATCCTCGCAACACGCCTCGGGAGGATGTTGTGGATCGGGTGTGTCGATTGCTAGCCAAAACAAAAAGAGAATCAATCACCTATCTGCCCCATTCCACATCTCCCATCTCCCCCCCCCCCCCCCCCCCCCGAAAGAACATTACCAGAAGGTTTTCCTTCACCCCCACAACCACATTCGCCCCCTGCACGACAATATCGTCCTCCTTCTCGTCCCACGCGTAACTGTGTTGCGCGAGAGAGAGGCCGGAGAGGACGTAGCACGTGTGGTAGTAGTCGGGGTACCTAAGAAAGGGAAAATGTTATGAGCTCCGAGGGGGTGATGGGGAATGTGGGTATGTGGGTAAGCTTACTTTTCGGGCTTATCGCGTAACCCGCCCTTTCGGTTCTGGCAGCAGGCGAGGATATATTCCTGCAATCGTTCTTTTCCTCCCATCAATCAGTAAAACCGCAACTCCCCACGCTCTCGCCCCCCAAAAGTCACTCACAACACAAACCTCGATTGAAAATATCAACCCTCGCCCCACCACGTTTCTCTGATCGCCTCGCCAACGCAGTCTCCAAGATCGGAAACGCCCCGCCCTGCCAGAACGAATAACAGCCGTCGACGAGCTTGTTGGTCCGGCCTTGGAAGCCGCCTTCGAGGGGGAGTTGGCGGGACACTAGCCAATGCTATCAAAAAAAATTATAAATCATAAGCAGAGACGCATTTGAGGAAAAAAAGGAGAGAAGGGTGTCTCACGTACGGTTAATAAATCGAGATCGAGGATTTCTAACTGGTCGATGAGTTCGAGAGCCGCGACGGCGCAGAACGTGTACCCGCCGTGTGCTTCGTAGCCCGGTGCGCCGCCTATGCCGCCTTCGTAGGTCTGGCATCTATTATCGGTATCAGAATCACCACCCCATCATAACCAGCCCCCGTGAGAGAAGCACACGTCCTCACCGATGGATAAACGCCGCGGACCCTTCGTAAAGCTCTGACGTGAGTATGCCGACCAGTTTGGCGGTTGCGAGCGCGCAGTAGATTCCTCTGTGGGAAATATGGTTCATTTCAGTACATTGGGTAATGTAACGCGTTATGGATCTTTTTGACGTTACCTGACGTCGACTTCACCGCCCTCGTGCATTGTGTAGGAACCATCTTTATGTTTGAGGCGGAGGAGGAAGGCGAGGAGGGCTTGTCTGTCATGTACCCATTTCATCAGTGACTGTGATGGTGAGTTCCCTCTGCGACCCGCCAACTCACCGATCAACAAGATCATAAGCCTCCTCCGTCCCCACAATCGCCAACGCATTCACCCCCGCATACGTCGTCGCCACATGCGGGATCTGCCCTACCCCGCCCCCAAACCCGCCATCACTCCAACACCCCTTCAAAACGCGCACGGCACGCCGCCCGACCTCCTCGGGGATCTCGACTCCCAGAAGGGAGAGGGAGTGCAGAAGCCAGTAGACGATCCAGGGCTTGGAGGCGTCGAGGGAGACGAACCACCGGGGGAGGGAGGGAAGGGAGGCGAGGAGGTAGGATTTGTGTTGCGGGCGGAGGAGTTTTGTGCTGTTTTTTGGGGGGGAATCGAGACAATGGCCGGTGGGGTGAGAAAGGGGGGAACGGGTTAACGACGACATCGACTGGATTCATGGAGAAGCCGCGGTTGAGGGTGTTCGTGCCATCCACCGCCCCGCTCGTCTTATACACCGCAGTGTCCTGCCCATTCCCTCGTACCCCATCTCCGGACCCAAATCGCAAATGCAATCCACACAACCCCTTCCGCATATCAAAACCCACCTCTCAAACCCCTCCATTAAACTCTCATACATCTCCCTCACTCCTTCCTCGACATCCCGCTGCAGGTCCGAGGTTTCGGTCGGGTGGCCGTCGTCGTTGTTGTCTTTATCGTGGGTCGGGGAGGGGATGGTGACGTACTCATCGGAGTCTGAGGGGCGTGGGGAGGAGGGGGTTTCGAGGATGCGCATGATTCGGGATCAGGGTGGGGTTGGCTGGGCTTTTGAGTCTGAAGGCCGCTCAATTTGAGGTCTCGCTGGACGTCGCCGAGGGGACGCGTGAAGAAGGGGAATTGCGCAAGATGACGACCACTTCAACGCTCCGGAAACGGTGTTCACAACGCTGTCCGACGGACAAGGGAGCGAGCGATACTTTGAGGATGGCCAGGGGTCGATCTCAGCGGCGGGCTGGAAGGAGCAATAACTGGGACACTGGGACTCTGTGAAGGAGCAATAATCTCGAGCACGCGTATTATTACGGCTAGCGACTTGGGCATTCAGCATCGGAACCCACATCCCCCTCCCCAACGCAAAGCATGCCCAACATGCCCACCCCACCAACCCCCACCAAACCCTCCAGCGACACAGACTACAACCCCACCCCGCGCCGCAGCACCCGCAAACGCCCCACCTCACCACCGCCGCCCCCAATCTCATCAACAACCCCCACCCGCCGCCCCAAACGCGCCAGAATCCAAATCGACTCGAATACCTCCATCGAGACGCTGCTGACGAGCAAGAAGAGCAGGTTGGGGAGTGAGGGGTGCGATTTGATGGTAAGGGTTGGGGGGTGGGGGCGTGGGGCGGTGTGCTCTGTGTGCACACGATGCTGATGCGATGGGAAACGAATCACGTTGTAGAAATGCTTCACCTACGACATCTTCCAAATGTTCACGCCCGCCGAGCAATCCTCCCTCGCGTCCCTCGTCCCGTCCATCGACCTCGCCCAATCACCCCCATCGTCATTATCAACAACCCTCCCCGAACGCTTCTTCAACCACAATCGCCACCTCCGCGAAAGCGTGCATGAATTCCAGGCCAACCTCGGGAACGGGTTCTACGAACCGCAGGAGTGGGAGGCGATGGTGAGGGGGAGGGAAGGGAGCAGGCGGGAGTTTGATGAGTGGAAGGAGCAGCACTATGAGGAGGTGTGGGGCGAGCAGCTGGATCAGGATGAGGCTGGGGATGAGGTTGCGAGGTGAGTCTCCAGGTCTTGGTCGCCTTTCACAACGAGAAGAAACACCAAACCGGAACGATGTGTTGCTAACCCATCATCTTTTCTACCAATTCTAGCCTCGCAAAAACAATAACCCTAAAAGACATGTGCAAAGCCGGCGTCATCCGCAAAGCCGACCGTCTCCTCTACAAAAAGAATTTCGGAGGGAGTCTGAACATCTCCGTCGAGAAAACCGTCACCGTAAGACTCCCTGCCCCCTCTTCCTGGCCCCCTCCCCCTCCCACCCTAACAGCCCCGTTCCCCTCCCCTTACTCAGATAACGTCAATCCACCCTACAACCCAAACCCTAACCATCCGCTCCGCGCGACTGACCTGGGCAGACATCACCAACCCGACGCGGTTAGAAACATACATCCTCGACCAGGACGGACGGGTGGCGAAAAGCCGGCGGCCGAACGGGAACGCGTGGAAGAGCATGGTGCTGGTCAGGGGCGCGAGGGAGGTGGGGAGGTTGGCGGAGTTGAGGGAGGCGGTTGCGAGGGGCCGGCTTCGCGTGCGAGAATAACGATGCGTTTGGAAGTGACGGTTTCCGCCAAGATGCAGATGACGCACCCATACCCCGCCCCATTATCGCAGCCCACGGAACGCGTTACGGCGTTCCGGAGATAGCGGTCGCGCGCTCACTCTCAACGGCGTATCACAGAGTCGCTATCTGTCTGTCCGGCGCCATCCCGGTTCCTGTTCACATTAGGTATGGTCCCCCCCGCTTACGGTGAAGAACGCTGACAGGTGCCAGGTGACACTCCCATGTGCCCAGAGCAACTTACGGTAGATGGGTCCGCATATATGTGGGGGGAGAACATACACGAATGGCGATAGAGCGAACGTAGTCTATGAGCGAATTTTTATTTCTGTATTTTGGCCGTTCATGCATACAGGAGTAAGGGAAAGCGGAAAAAAAGTTCCAATCGTTTGCATTGCCCAGGAAAGTCTATAAAATGCGAAATGGTGTGGGTGGTATGCGAGGGGTGGGAATAACAAGAGAATGTTGCATCTAGATGAGTCTTCGGGGGGAGGCGGGGGGGAGGGGACCTCACAAAAGACAGAAAGCGGACCCAACAACCGTCAGCGCAACGGTCAAGAACGCCGACACACCCATCCGGCCCCCACTGTTGCCCTGACCACCGTTGCCCACGCCATTCGTGCCACCCGCACCCGTCGTCTTCCAGTTCGTCACGGTGCCCGTCAGGGTCGCGCCGTTCAGTGCACAATCGCCGGTGTACACATCCGGCACAACCTCCGCAGTTCCCATCAGCGGGTTGGCAGCGTTATCGCACTGGGCGTTGCTGATACCAACCGGGTTCTCGGTGGCGACGTTGCGGAAGTAGTTGCGGACGTAGTTGGGGAGGAGGGCGGGTTGGACGATGGAGGCCAGGTCGGCGAGGACGAGGTGGTGGTACGGGACGGCGCTCGAGAACCAGGCGATTCCGCTGCCCTCGGGGGAGATCTTCTTGTCGGCGGACCAGGCCTCCTTTGTCTGGGTGATGTTGTATTTTGCAACGTCCGCGGCGGCGATGTTGAGGGAGGCGAGGAGGGCCGCGTTGTCCTTGACGAAGCCGGAGGTGATGAAGATCTCGGAGTTGGCGATCAGGTTCTTGACCGCCTCCGAGGTGGTCGGGGTGGTGGTCAGAGAACTCTCGGTGACCTTGTCCGCGGTCGTGCCGGTGTTGCCCGCGCCGGCTTTGGCGAACACGGCGCCGGCGTCTTGCAGGTATTGGTACTTGTACGGGGCGCCGAGGTTGAATTGGGTGACGCCCTTGGTGGGGTCCGGGGTATAAAAGTCGGCCCAGGACGCGTCGGGGGAGCCGTAGGTTTCTGCGGCCTTCTTGGCGGCGGCGGAGACGCAGTCGTACTGGGTTTTGATCTTTTGGACGGCTTGGTTGGCGGTGTCTTCGGCGTTGAAGAAGGCCGAGAGGAAGAGCAGCCACTCGGACCGGCCGTACCGGGTCTGGTCGGACACCGCGGGAAAGACGAGGGTCTTGTTGGCGCTCGGGGCTGGGAGGTCACCCCCGGAAATGGTAGCATTGACATTGTTGTAGGCGGCAATGAAAGCAGCACCTTCCGCGGCGGTCTGGTTGTAGGGATTGATGCTCGTCAAATCTAAAGTGGTGAAGAACGAGTGACCGTGAGTTGGGGAGATGGGATATGGTCAACGGAGACTCAGACACTGTACATACTGGCACGGTGGATGCATGGGGACGTGATGAGAGACTGGTCGGTGGTGTACTTGATAACGTTACGGGCACCAAGGATCTCAAGGTAAGCAAGCTCCGTCGTGGAGGTGGTCGCCACGCTCTCAAGGGGGATGGAGAAAACGGTAGCGCCGGGGTAGTTGGCCAAGAACTCGGGAGTAGGCTTGGCAGTTCCACACTGGTAAAGCACGTAAGTGTGCGGCTTGGTGTACGGGAGCTTGCCGTTGTCGGTAACAATCTTTATGTTTCCCTGGTACGCGACCGTGAACACATCGTTTGTGCCCTAAGAATGATTTACAGGAAAAAGAGCGTTAGAATTGTGTCTGAGAAACCACACCTCCATTTCACACTCCACATTTCACGAGTGAAACGACGGTCGGTTGCATGGGTTGATGGATGAAAACAACATCCCTCGCGACGAAGAGGTTGGGTTGCGGTGGGCGGACGGTGCTCGCTTTGCTCGCAAAAGGTCTAACGTTCGCTCGGTTACCTACATTCTTAAAAGTCTTCTGCGGGAAATAATCCGTCCCCACGACGGGGTTCGCAACACATCCCTTCGTGTTTGTCGTGCTCCCCGCAGTCCACTGGGACGTTGCTGGAGCAGTGATAAGTTGGGCGGTCGTGGATGAGACGAGGGCCGCGAGGGCTAGGAGGGTCGTCGGGGTGTGCATTTTCTGCTCTGAGTCTGTTTTTGAGAGTTGTGATAGGGGGAGGGGAGGGAGATGAGTTTCGTGGGAGTGGGGAGCGAAGAGGTTGAGACTGAGACGGCGGGAGGTGGGAGGAAGGGAGGCAGGAATACTCACTAGTGCAGTACGTTACTGAGAGGGACTGGGACGACGACGATGCAGATTGTGTGGGGGAGTGGCAGATTGTTTGTGGAAGAAAAGCAATCTGAGCTGAGTTCTGTCCCGTTTTTTTCCCACTGCCCAGCTGGGGGGGGGGCAGGCCCACGGAGGGCTTGTGATGGGTAGTTCTTGTGCGCTCTCGTTCCATCGTGTGATCGGAGTTCGAAAAGTTTGCCCTTTCGGGACGCGCCGCTTATTGTAATGCTAACCTTAATCATTACCAACGGGTTCCTGGTACCGTAGCATGCTGTTTGACGGGCTTTCGACAGGGGAATGAATCATCACATCTATTCCGGCTAACAAAACAGAACAAGCCATCAAATAGTGTTAACCAACCCCCTCGCAACAATCCTCAAAATCTCATCACTGCTCTTCCCCACGTTCGCCAGATCCTTCGCAACAGCCTGCCATTTCTCCCCGTGCGCAGGTTCAGCGGCTATGCATGCTTTCACGACGTCCTTCTGGCGCTCGTTTTCCCCGGTCGTCGCACCATTCGCACCGTTCGGAGCAGCACCCGTTCCATTTGACCCCGCTCCGTTCGCACCACCGTGCTGCTGCTCGCCATGCTCCCCCTCAAATTTATACCACCAAGCCCACGAATCCCCCAGATCCGGATCCGTCTTCACCGCCCTCCCAAACCAATTCCTCGCCTTGTCCACCTTCCTCTCCGCCCAGAACAGCCTCGCAACCGTAACAACCACAACCGGATCGTTCTCACACTTCTTCAGCGCATCCGCACTCCGCGTCTTGCGCTGCGCCCGCGGCTCCATCAGGATCGCTTCCGCCCACAGCATCCCAGACGTCGGACACTCCTGCAGCGCTTTGGCGAGCAACGCACGCGCCATCGGCGTGTTGCCCGCGCGCGTCTCGACGCGGACGGCTTCGCACCACAGTTGCGGGTTCTTGGGGTTCATGATCCGCGCTTTCTCCAGCGTGGCGCGCGCTTTGGTTTGTTGGTGCGTGGACTCTTCGAGACGGGAGAGGAGGAGCCACAGGGGTGTGGAGGACGGGATGGCGCGGATGGCTTTCGTGTAGGTTTCGCGCGCGGTGACGGGGTCGTTCTTTTCCGCGGATTCGATCTGGCCTTTGATCATGTACAGTTTGGGCGCGGTGGGGAATTTGGCGATTCCTGTTGCGAGGAGGGTGAGGGCCGCGTCGGGCTGGCCCAGCTGTCGTTCCAGCACCGCTGATTTCATCCACACGCGTTCGGTGTTTGCTTTTTCTCGGGCGGAGGCGAGGAGGATGCGTGCGCGGGCGTATTCTCCCGTCTCGACCTCCAGTTTGATCGCCGCAAGCCAGATCTGTTCGCTGTTGGGGTTGGCCGCGAACGCCGCTTCGAGGATACCTTTCGCGGCGGGGATGTCGCCCGCGAGCCATTTCTCCTTCGCGCCCATGAGCCAGAGGACCTCGGCTTGCGGGCAGTATCGCACGGCTCGTTGCAGGATCTCCTCGAGGGAGTCACGGGTGCCATGGGATTTCTCGAGGAATGCCGCACGACGCCAGATGGATTTCTTGTGCGGGAACACTTTAAGCGCGTGTGCGTAGATGGCGCGGGCGGTGATATAACTCCCATGCGCGATACACGATTCGGCGTCCTCCATCCAAGTAGATTTCCGGTCCTCGTCCTCAACGCCCATCCCGATCGTTTCCGCGATGATAGCCTGGCACGTCGCGACATACCCCTCCTTTTCAGCCGTCTCGGCTTCCTGGATCCAGTTATCGCGGTTGAGTGTTGACCCCTTTTCCGCGAGGGCTTTGACGGCACGGGAGAGCATGACGTCGACCATTTTGGTGTTACCGTTCGTTTCGACGAGTTTCGCGCCCGCGAGCCAGATCTCGTGTGATGTGGGGTTCTTGGCACGCGCTTTGTTGATGACTTTCACGGCGTTCTCGTAGGATTCAAGCCGGGCGAGTGCGAGCCACAATTCGATGGCGAGCGGGATGCATTCGACGGCGCGGGAGAGGAGGATCCGCGCGTCGTCCGGATCCTCTTCCATCGACACGGCTGCTTTCCAGAGTTTGACCGAGTTGGGGATGAATTCGAGGGCGCGGCGGAGGACGCGTTTCTTGCCTTTGGGGTCGGACTCGAGGTCGCAGGCTTTGGACCAGATCTTGACCGACTGGGGGACGTGCCGGATGGCTTGGGCTAGGATGACCTTTGCGTTGTCGGTTGTGTTTAGCCGGGCGGATTCGAGCCAGACGTCTTCGCTTGTGGGGCATTCTTCACACCCTTTTGCGATGATTTCCCGTGCTGCGCCTTGTTTGCCTGCGACTTCCTCCAACCGCGCGGCCGCGATCCACCCGGGGGCGTGCTTGGGGTTGGTGGCGGTGACGGATCTGAGCAGCGAGCGGGCCTTTTTAATATCACTGATCTCGGCATCGCTCTGAACGACGATGCTGCTCAGGTCGGTGAGGTAGCCCTTCGGGTCGACAATACTCTGCCCCGCAACCGAGTCAGAGATCTGGTCCAGTTTCAGTCCCAGCACTTTATCACGGGCCTGCCCAAACTGCGAGAAATCCGTCATGGTCCCGTCCATCGCGCCCGCCGGTGTCGCAAACCCACCCAACAACTGCTGTTTCGCATCCAACGTATTCGTCAGCGCCGACTGGCTGGACGCTCCAAGCAGCACCGAATCCGGCACCGGCACGTATTTATCTGCAAACTTCTTCTGCCGCTTCCCCTTCCTCACCAGATCCCCAACGTCCGGTATACTCGCCCATTCATCTTCACTCACAGCCGCCAACCCCCGTTTAAGATCCGCAAACTGCTGCTGGATCTTCGGCCGTTCCTTCCGGTACTTCTCCAACTCCTCCCGCTCCCTCGCTTCCCTCCTCGCCCGTCGCCGCTCATCCATCTTCGCATCGACCTCCTCATAGATCCGATCGGCCTCCTCGTCATCAGCCTCATAGGGCGCCGCATTGAAAAGCCCGGTCTCATTGTCCGGGTCTTGGAACCGCTCATCGTCGTCATCGTCGCCGCCGTTGGAGGGGCCCTTGCCTTCGGCGGCGGCTTTGGCTTTTTCGAGCGCGGCTTCGGTGGGGCCTTCGCGGGCGGGACCGATGTCGGAGCGGGTGGTGAAGCCGGTTGCGCCGCGGCCGAGACCGGCGATGTAGTTTGGAGGGGCTTTTTTGTTGAGGAAGTCTGGGACGACTAGTTGTTTGAATTGGTACATTTTTGCTGTTGGCTCAAACTCCGATTTGTGCTAGAAGCTGTGGAGTGGGATCAAGTGTGGGTATATATATACGACTTTTCCAATGCAAAAGTCCATCATCTTCATCCGCACCTACAACGCCAAAAACCAGGAAATCAGCGGTTACATCGACTACGCAAAACTCTGTGCCCCCCCTCTAATTGAAATCAATATTGGTCACTCACGTGAATTTGGCGTCGCGACAGTCGCTGATTTATTTCCGGGGGGGTACAGAGTTTTGCGAGGTGACTGTACATATATTACCCAGATAATACTCGCTGTTCATCGACCTATCAGGCTAAACCGCTGCGATACACCTATCCCGAATGAGTGTTTGACTTTTGTCGGGTTTACGAGTTAGCAGGTTGGAAAACGGGGGTCTGCAGGCAGATCCCCGCATATACCCCGCATATACCCGCGCCTCAGCAGTTGTGCATTACCACTCCCCGTCAAGTACACCTCCCCTCATAGCCCTCCCCACATTTCTCATCTGAGAGCTTCACCGCCAGAACGCCCCAGTACGCGTACTTATGCTCACACATCTACAATGTCTTCGATTTCGACGATCCGGAATGCTGACCCGCTGGCATCGCGCCGCCAGATGCTTCGGTGATTGCCCATACGTTTCCGGCATTGCTTGACGCGCCGAGAAGCGGGCCACTGACCATCGGTATGTCTCGTAGCCGCTGTGTCCATATTGCCCGCCGTGTGCTCTTTCCGGCAACCTATAGGCCTCCGCTCCAGATTTTCATTTTCCCGAAGCCGCTCCAACCACCTCCTCCCCTTCCTCCCCCTTCCCCCGACCCCATCGTCCCTGCTTTCGACCCAGCGAACTTCATCACCCCCCATGCAGCGTCGAAATGAAAACAATCACATCCCCGTCTCTCAAGACATAATCCAACTCCCCCTCCAGTTCCCAGTCCGCATCATTTATCAACACCAAGATTCCCGGTCGTCTAAGAAAAGCAGTAACCGGTATATGAGTTTTTACCATCGGCCCCCAAGCATGATAATGGGGGGTTTGTTTTTGGGGGGTACGTACACGGTATCACCCTGCATGAACAGCTCAGCCCGTTCGGTCAGCAGCGTGTCGCGGATGTAAGGGAGGAGATGGCGGAGTTCTGCTTCCGAGGTTGAAGTTGACTCTGACGGATTGGATTTGGCGTAGTGGGCAAGCAGGTCGGAGGGTGTGGTTTGGAGGGTGAGCTCTTTTTGATTGGAGAAGAGGAGTTCCATGCCTCCGCTGCGAAGGTGACAAAACGAGGTTAGGCGTGGAAGAGGTTTGACGAACAGGGCAAGCGATGGTATGGGGGCGAGGTCTGCACCTGAATTGGAGAGTGAGGTTTAGCGTCATTGTGGGTGGTGGGTTTTCTTGGGGATGTAAATAGATGATCCACTCGTCACCACTTTCCGAATTCTTCTACGTGATCGAAACCACGGGCCTCCAGCCGTAGAGCCGCAAGTGAGTGAGTGAGTGAGTGTCGTTGTTGCCTGGGGGATGCCTGTCCACCGCAGCCTGTTCACGTCTTGCCAAACGGGCAGAGTCGACAGGAAGAGAGAGCGGTGAGACTTTGTTCCGGCGACGTTATTCCTCCTCAGACTGCTCCTCAGATAGAATTCAAGCATCTGGACAGGGCCGGCCAAGCGTACAGTACGCTCCACCCGTAGACCCTGAGCAGTAGTACACTACCGCACTTCCTCTTGGAAGAAGCATAGACCTGCCTCTTTCTCAGCCTCCGAAGCGCCCGCCGCAGGCATATTCCCGAAGCAACTTTTGGTCTTCACTCGACGTCAAAACGGTACACAATGACGCCAGACTCTCTCAAAGATCCCGCCCTCGACGCAACGATCTACCTCGTCCGCCACGGGGAACGCATAGACCAAGTCGACCCCAGCTGGGTTATCGATGCCAAAAACCCATACGATCCACCCCTCACAGATCAAGGCCTCAAACAAGCCCAACGCAGCGGCGAGTTCATCGCCTCAGATCTCGCCAGATCTCAACACTCAACCTCAAACACACACCGCAAAATCATCGTCCTCTCCTCCCCCTTCTACCGCACCCTCCAAACCGCCACCTCCATTATCAGCGGCCTCGGTAACTCAACCGCCGAGAAACCACTCCTCGAACTCTTCCCCCCGCTCAGCGAGTGGCTCGCATCAGCCTACTTCCCCACCGCCATTCCCCACGATCCCTTCACCTACGCCAACCGCGCCGGCGAATTCGCGTTCCTCAACCCTTCAAAAACAGAGTTTCCGGCGCCGTTGCCACCTTATCCGGAAACGAAGGAGGAGATGCGAGCCCGGTTCCTCGCGGCGGTGCGATTGGCGGTTGGGGAACATTATACGCCCGGGTGTGTGCTGATCTTGGTCTCGCATGGGGCGGGATGTCAGGCGTTGCCGGAGGAGATGGCGCGCGCAGGGGCGCTGCATCCAACCGACTTGTCATTACCGAGGACTGCGTACTGCTCTGTTACGAAGATGGTGAAACAGAAGGGCGAGCGGGTGTGGACGGCGCCGATTGTGGCGACTGTGGAGCATCTTGGGGAGCTTTTGGAGGATAGCGGGTTGGATTTTGTGGTGGGGTATAAGGATGCGAAGAACCCGGCGGCGGAGGCGCAGATCGCGAAGGAGACTGCCCAACGACAGCCATCACCCTCATCGGCCACGATCCCCGCAGCAGGCGGCGACACCACCGCCGCCCAAATAAAGAAATACGAATCCTTCGTCAACGACCGGCTTCGCGTCGACTTACAAAACACCCTAGACGCTCGAGATAAAGTATACGAGACCATTTCCGAGTAGTAAGTAGTGCGTTTTTGTACCCCATGTACTATACCCCTTGTTATAATGAACAATGAATACCTACCTTTTTCTGATCGATTACGTAGTCTGAAACTCCGCAACCAAATAGAACTCCTCCAAACCCAAAACCTCACCTCACTCAAAACAATGATGGACGTCGGATGCGAGTTCTTCATGCAGGCCACCATGTAAGTCGCCTTTCCCAACTCCTCTTCCATGACCCCAACACCTAACGTCCCCCCTCTCTCCCCATAGACCGCGCTTGGATCAGATTACGGTGAAAATAGGACTAGACGTCCACGTCGTCCTAACACTCCCCGAAGGACTCATGTTTATCGCAAGGAAGGAACAGGCGTTGGTGAAGGTTGCGGACAGATATACGAGCAGGGCGGCGGATTTGAAGGCGCAGATTAAGATGGTGTTGGGGGCGATTGAGGCGCTTTTGGAGGTTGGGTAAGGGGGGACGGGGAGGGGGTTGGAGCGGGGTGTAGGGGAGTCGGATAGCCGTAATGTTAGGGGAGCGCGGGGCGGAGAGAAGGGGTGGGGATAGAAGGTATCGCATGATGGATAACTTATTTTCACAATTTTGTAGATATGCATGGTTATCTAGATGGGGGATGTGGTCTTGCATGGCGGACACAAATCATAGGTAGTTGTTGCTAGTCGCTGTCCCGAAGGAGCTGTGCGAAGGGGAGACGCAACCCCCGCGCGTTTCTGTGAAGCGTCACTCTTGCGCCAACTGCTCACATCTACCCCCCAGCATCACCAAGGGAAGAAGACCATCCAGAAGCACACTCGCCAACAACAATGGCCTACTTCAACAACCCCTGGACCTACACCCACGAGCGCGAAGCAGGTCTCTACCGCTCCCTCCCTCCCGTCGCATTCGGTAAGTCCCTCCCTCGCCCCGCCCCATTCGTGGCTTACCCCATGATCTCACCCGCCATCTGACACCAGCAAAAGCGTCCCGCAACTCCACCCCGCTCCTCACCCATCTCACCCAAACCCAAACCCTCCGCGCCCACCGCGGCTGCGTCAACGCCCTGTGCTGGAACGCCACGGGGGATCTATTGATCTCGGGGTCGGACGATAAACGGCTTTGCGTGTGGAAGTACGCCCCGGGGCCCGCTTTCCCCGCCTCTGATAGCGATGAGATCGACTACCCCACCAAGCTGCTGACAACCATCTCCACGGGCCACCGCGCCAACATCTTCTCCGTGAAGTTCCAGCCGCGGGATGATAGTGTCGTTTATTGTTGTGCGGGGGATGGGTATGTCAAAGTGGTGGATCTGGAGTTGACCGAGGGCAGGGAGGGGGGCAGGGTGAGGGAGACGTATGGGTGTCATTCGGATCGGGTGAAGCGGATTTGTGTGGATTGGAGGGATCCGAAGGTGTTTTTGAGTTGTAGTGAGGATGGTGGGTTGTGTCATATCTGCTAGAGCGGTGGTGCGGGGGGGGGGAGGGGGGTCATTTGCAAAGTGTATGGGGAAACTGATGATTGGTTTCATATGAGTGTAGGAACAGTCCGCCAATTCGACACCCGTGTCCCGCACACCTGCCGCACCCGCCAACGCACCCCAACCTGTTCCGCCCCGCTGATCAACTACGCCCCCAACCGCATCTACCTCAACTCCCTCTCCCTCTCCCCCCTCGACTCACGCTACATCGCCGTCGGCGGGGACAATCCGTACGTGTACATCCACGACCGGCGAAACGCGTCCAAGTGCGTCGCGAGGCTGATGCCGCCGCAGGCGATGGAGGAGAACAGAGGAGTGCAGGTGACGAGTGTGAAGTTTAGCGAAGATGGGAGGGAGGTGTTGGGGAGTTGGACGGGGTACGGGGTGCAATGGTTTAGTATGGATGGGCTTACTGAGAAACCTCGGGAGAAGACGCACGCGCATGCGGCGCCGTCGAAGAAGAGGGCGCAGGAGGGTGACTCTCAGTATGCGGGTGTGGGGGACGCCCACCATGGGGATGGACACAGTCCCGTGAAGCGATCGAGGAGGAGGAGGAGTGGGGAGAGTCTGGCGGGTGGACCGATGGATGTTTCGGCGGCGTCGTCGGCGGAACCTACGACTCACGCGGCGGAACCGGAGAGCGCTTCTCGAACCACCCACACGCATACGACTGCCACTGCGGATCCACTCCTTGCAGCCATCGGTGATCCGACCACAGGCGAGCCGACCCTCGCGAATTTATTCAATGGGACCTTTGACCCGAACTTGGACGTCGGTCCCGCGGACGAAGAGGACGAGGATGACGAAGTAGACGAAGAAGAAGACGAGGAACGCTACTGGCACTGGTCCACCGAAGACGAAGAAGAAGCCGCCAGCGACGACGAAGACGAAGATCAAGACGGGGGGTCCTACACCACCACCGAAAGCGAAGCCAACTCCACCCACTCCGACTTCCAAACCCTCCACGATCCACCGTCCACCGCTGAACCCACCACCACCACCACAACAACAACAACAACAACAACATCCCACCCAACCCGCCCCATCCCCAAACGAAACCGTACCCCGCACACCCACACCCCTGTCCTCCCCCCCCTCCAATCCTACACGACCCACACCAACATCCAAACCACAAAGGACACCAACTTCCTCGGCACCACCCACGTTGTCTCCGGGTCCGACGACGGCACGTTCCATATCTACGATAAGCTGTCCGGGGAGCTGTGCAATCTGTTGCAGGGGGACGGAAGTGTGGTGAATGTGGTGGAGATGCATCCCTGCGGGGGTGCGGTGGCCGTCAGCGGGATCGACGAGAGCGTGAAAATCTTCGAGGCGGTTTACCCGGACCGGGCGCGGAGGGGGGTGGAGGAGGTTGGCGCCGGAGCCGGGCGGCAGGATGGGGAGCCGCAGGGTGCGGGGGGTCCTACATTGACGCAGGGTGCAGGTGGCGGGAGGGCGAGCCTGCGCCGCCAACCGTCCCTCGCGGAACAGTCGTTGAGCCAGACGGAGCGATACGTCGGCGTTCTGAGAGGCATGGCGGGGGAACCACCGGTCCCACACGACACGGCATCGGCGTCCGCTTCTTCATCCGACCCCGACCCGATCCCCTCACCCACCCACCTCCTCGCCACACCGTTCACGTACCTCACCACCACCACCACGGTGTCGTCGATCCCTTCCCACCCGTCGGCCCTCCCGCCGTCGTCCTCCCTCCTCCCCCACGCCCCCCGCGTGATCGCACTCGCAAGGGAACACGGCCGGAGAACGGCGGGCGGGTTTCCGTGGAGCGTGCTCAGGGCCCTGCTGAACCAGGGCATGGGCGGCGATGCTGACGGGGGCGGGGGCGAGGACGAGGACGGGATGGGCGGCGGGGAGGAGGGGTGTGTTGTTATGTAGGTGGAAATGTCTGAATCGTAGTTTTTTGGTGAGAGCGGTCCGGGTTTGGGTGGGAGGAGATAGGGCATTCGGGGCCGGCTGTGCTATGCTATGGCATACACCTCACTCGATCACCACCCCGTTTTGAGCAGTGCTTTTGGTGCCGGCTGAGTAGTGGTTTTGTACATATGTGGCTGTCCCATATACCCTCTTTCTGGCCTCGTTTCTGGTGGGAACTACTGGGCCACAGCGAAACAGCTGTGGAGGCGTAAACATCGGTCTTACAACCGTCTCTTTTATTTCGTGCATCGTTGCGGAGGAAGCCACCGCCAGCAAAAACGGACCCGTCCCCTGCTATGTGGACGGGCTGTAGCGTAGACTGGTGTCCCGGAAGTGCCGGGCTTTGATTGTCGGGCAAGCGGTCCCTGACGCGTCGTGTCATCGCCCCATTCAAAGTTCCGCCACTGCGGGCTTTCAGTTTTTTTTTTCCGCAACCGCTCTTGGAAGAGACGGGTGACCTAGCGTACAGTGCATAAAGGGGAGATCTAGACGCTTGTTCCGCAGGATATTTGCGGGGGGAGCAATTGGGGAGGACGGTCGTCTGGGTCCGAATGTTTGCAGCTGTTTTCATTGACGTGGATATCATTATGATAGCATAGCCCGGCCTCGATTGAGGATTCAAATTCGGAGGGGGGGGAGTCCAAAACGTGTTTTTGTAAATTGTCTTTGTCTACCACGTCCACCGCTAAATGTCATTCCAACAAAGCACGGGGGGAGGATTACAAATGTCGGTGTCCCCGCAGCGTCTACAAGACCCCCGTCAAACCTCCACCCTCGCGCTAAAGCTCTCCGGCACACCCTCCCTCAACAACCCATCGACCTCCTCGGCGCCGCGCTCCGCCTCCGCGCCGACATAGCGCTTCACGCTCCGCTCGCAGGCCGCGCGGTCGTTGATCCACGGCCCGGAATCCCACCCGGCGGTGTGGTCGATGAAGAGGCGCGCGAAGGTCGGGTGGATGGCGAGACAGCCGGTGAGGATGCAGTCGATGTAGGATTGCGGGATCGGTGTGCACGGGGTCGGTGTGTGCGGGGCCGCCGGTCGCATGCACGCGCTTGTGCGGGACGACGGGGGCGGGAGCTCGTACACCCACACGACGACGGGCGCGGCCGGGGATGTGGATGTCGTTCCAAACGGGTGTGAGATGGTGGGTGGAGATGGCGGGGTGTTGAAGTGGAGGATCTCGATGTCCTCCACTCTGAGCGTTCCGCGGACGTAGTCCTTCTCGCGCTCGTCGAGCATCCGGAGCTCGGTGTCGGGGTCGGACAGGGGGATCAGCACGCCGTTGCATCGGGCGGTGGGGGAGTCGGGGATGCGGCGGACGCCGACGGCGGTGTAGGATTTGCGGGCGCATTTGTAGGACCAGGAGCGGTGCAGGCCGCGGACGACGGCGGGGATGGCGTGGGTGGGTGTGCGGACGGTGCGGAGGCGCGAGTGCGGGTTGATGAGGGAGCCGTAGCCGAAGAGGTAGTGTTGGGGTTTTTTGGGGGGTTGGACGAGAGGGAGGATGGGGAAGGGAGGGAGGGATGGCGGTGTGAAGGTCGCGAGGATCGAGAGGGGGTTGTGAGTGGCGAGGGAGGATTGGTGGTGGGTCTGGGTGTGGTGGGACCGGATGTGTTGGCGGAGTGGGCGGGGTTTGATGATCTGGAACTGTAGGTGGTGGCGAGACATTGCCGACGAGGAGGACGATGCGACCATCGCGGTGGTAGAGACATCAAGAGACTTTCCACCTCTCCGACCTTTCTCGACCACGCGCGAATGTCTCGTGGCGGTGCAGAGGACGGGGTATAAGAAGTCGAGCCACGGCTGTGCGGTTGTGGGGCGGATGTGCTGGACGGTCGCCATGCTGACTGTGGGGGTGGATTGACGACGACGGTGGTAGTGTCGATGCTGGCGGGCGGTCGAGGATTTGACTTTTCGCGGGGTTGGGTATAGGTGACGCATTGGCGGAGAGAGCGCGAGAGAGAGAGCGAGTGAGAGAAATGCGAGCGAGCGTAATGGCACAGAGGTGACAGGTTGGAGTTGCGGTGTGTGTGCTCGAGATCCGGACGTCTACGGAAGGCGGGGAAGTGGCGAGGGGGGGGGGTATATATGAGAAAAGGGGGTTGTGTAGGAAGGAAGGAAGGAAGGAAGGAGGAGGGCTTCTAGAAACGACGGTCCGATATAAGTCCTGTGGAGGGAGTGCTACTAGTAAGATGGCGCACGCAATCCTCTCAGAAACCGTATGGGAGCTGTCAGTCACAGGCGCTTCATTGCCGTCACAGCGGCTGGATTGCGCCATTTCACGTCTTGTTGACTGTAGGCGGCGGCGGGTTTGCACGCACAGCGGGTCGGAGTGTGGATCCCTCTCTCTCTTATGACTATGCTCTCTCTTAGTACTTACTGCAAGGCGCCATGGCCAGCCAATCAGCGCGCGTCTGAGGTTATGACACACCCTCCAGAGGGACACAGTCCCCCCCATGTCGCGATCGGCGGCGCGCATGTCGTGCCCCAGCCAATCAATCCATCACATTCGACAGCGCGTTTTTGGCCACCAGGAGTTGCGCTGTTCCACAACATCTACTTGAGAAAGATCGAGGCCGCCATCAAAGCTATGAGAACGTACGTAAGGTTGTTCCCCTCTATCGAACTACTAAACAACAGCGCCCCGAATGCAATCCCCTGCAAGACCGGGAACGCATACTCCCCCACGACCCGCCGATGCCGCACGACCATCCAAACAGGCCCCGCAGCGATCCCTCCCACCAACGCCAGCCAAAACAGTCCCGTCCACACATGCTTCACCGCCGCCTCGTCCGTCACGACCGCCCATGGGGATCGGTACGGCAGCACCTCGCAGACTTGGATGCCGCGCAGCGGGAGGTGCTGGCAGAGGCGGTAGCCGAGCGCCCGCAGGCCGTAGAGGAGTTCCGTGGGGGTCGGAAACGCCAACAGGGTGGGGTCGATGGCGAGGGTGATTGGGAGCTTCTCGGGGCTCTTGCGGAAGGTGTTGGCTTGCACGCATGCGAACCCGACGAGGGCGGCGACGAGGCAGGTGAGGGATCGCTTGTCGGTGTGAGGCTCTGAGGGTTCGGCAGGGCGATGCCCGCCGAGCGGCTGGCCTGCTCCTCGCGCTTGGTAGTAGGTGTTTCGAGACATTTGAAGCACTATCATGGAATTCGTGTCAGTTTCGGTTCGTTGCAAAGACGGGAAGCTTGATGTAATATGCCTTTTTCCGAAAGGACACGACTGTCTGGAACTTTATATGAGGTGCTTCGCAAGCTTCATGGTCAGTGGGCGTACATGCATGCGATATAATGTCGACCTCATGAAAGGAAAGTATGTCTTTCAGCGGGTTCCTCCAAACAAAGGTAAATACCGGACAGCCCTGTCAGCACAGTGCCACAATATGCAAGCCGGAAGGACACGAGGTGCCTGGCCTGGCACGGCACATCGCAGCAAAAGAACCACTATGCAGTAGATGGATGTATCACTCTGGTAACTCTGATAAGTCAAGTAACTGTGCCTGGTTATCGGAGTGCATTCGCGCGTTTCCCCACAATGATGTCCGAACGGGAGAGAACACACACAATGGTTCTATTTACGTTCTCACGCAAAAAGAAGGCGGGCCTCCCAAGATCATCCTGTGCCAGCACAACGCTCTCCCAAAGACAAGCACACGCATACAACGAGCACTTGATCCACTAGTCGGCCCCTACCCATGTTTGCAGCACGCCGACAGCCCGAGCAGACCTCCAGGCCCAACATCCCAAAGCGGAAGCCGCGCGGAAAAGACGACGGGAGTCCCATTGTAAGTACATCCCTCAACGAGTCCCCCACCTCACACTCGACTCGCAGCCTTCTTATAACGGGTGTTCATGTTTGACAGCTGCAACTGGAACGAGTCCTTGGTCTAACAGCCAACAAACCCACCAGCCTCGCCCTCAACCCCCATCTCGAGTCCGACACGGTCGCCTATCCCGCGGGCGGGGTCGTCGTCCTCTACAACCACCGCCGCAACCGGCAGGTCGGCTTCCTGCACCACACACCCGAGGCCGAGAAGGGGGCTTCGACACGGCGGGTGGGGCAATCGGGCGCGAAGCTCGTGGCGTGCTTGACGTATAGCCCGGACGGGGAGATTCTGGCGGTTGGCGAGGTTGGTGCGTAACTGCTCACCCTTGAAGCGGATTTTGGGGCGGGGGATGAAAAAATCGAGCGAGCGGGGGGCGCTGATGGGGCGACTTTTGCTTGACTGTAGGCCGGACATAACCCGAAAGTGATACTGTGGAAAGGGCCGACGGTGGTTGCGGAATTGGTTGGGCATAAGTATGGGATTGCGGCGTTGGCGTTCTCGCCGGACTCGAGGTTCCTCGTCTCGGTGGGATATCAGGTATGCGGCGGTGTTTCCCATGTGCAGCCACCACTCTCGCGATGCCCGTGTGACGTCTTACTCGGGGTATGGTTCGTAGCATGATGGCGCCGTGTACCTGTGGAACTGGCGGACCGGCCAACGACTCGGGTTCAACAGGATAACCACGAAGGTAAATGGACATGTTCGGGGGGGTCGTGCCACGGGCCAAACCTTGCTGAACGCGTCTATCGGACCCGAAACAGGTGCATTCAGTGGCATTTGATCCGCAAGGAGAGTTTTTCGTCACGGCGGGCGTCCGACATATGAAGTTTTGGAATTTGGACGTGGTCAAGCTGACACAGGCGCTCAAGGTGCGAAAAGGGGAGAGTCGCACGTGATGGCTTAGAGGGGCTGGCTACTGATGCTATCATGTTTCCACTGTGCCGACAGACACCAAAGCTCGTACCGATGGCATTAGAGGGCACGTTCGTGTCGACGCCCGGGCATAAAGTCGGGGCCTTCACCGACGTTGCGTGTGTGACGGGGCCAGAGGGGCTGACGTACACATATGCCGTGACGGAGGAAGGGACGTTGATGTACTTCAATGCGGAAAAGCAGATGGAGAAGTGGGTGGATATGCGGGTATGTCATTCACACACACTAGGGATCATGTTAGGCGGCGCATAGCTAAGGAAAGACTGGTCCAGGTCGCTCAAGGACGTGCACTGCACGTTACGGAGAAGTACATTGCATGTGGAGGCACGGATGGGATCATTCGGCTTTTCGACTCTACAAACCTGCAGTACATAACAACTCTCCCACGACCACACGCTCTTGACGTTGAGCTGCATACAAGTGCTCCATCCATGTAAGTCAGGAAAAGCAACGACGTATCTCACCCGCGAACTGGCTCACTCATCTACGCGTAGAGCCTCGTCTGGCTGGGCCGACGTCGTATCGCTGCAGCTTGATCCTTTAAGCCAGAAGCTAGCGTGTGTCTACAGCGACCGCAGCATGTACATCTGGGACATCACCGATACGAAGCAGATTGGGAAATACAGGAGCTTCTTGTGGCACAGTGATGCCATCTGGGGCGTCGAGGTATACTTACACATCGTGCGTCGATGTAACATTGGCGATCTGGGTAGGCTGACCCACCGTTGCATTCTAGATGGCACCGTCGTCGGATAGCACCTTGCATCTCCGAGGTTCCGCCCTGGGCCTACCGCCGCATACCTTCACAACATACTCATCCGACGGGACGGTACGCTTCTGGAACCTGGACCTCGCCGCGCGCAATGGGGAAGCGGAGCCAACGACCGAAGATGCGACGGCTGTGCAGCGCTACTTTCGGGAGAATGTGTACTCGAGGGAGTTGATGCGGGTTTTGTATGTGGATAGAGCTGGCATTATGAAGTTGAAGGCGTCGACTATAGGTGCGTCATGAGGATCCTTGATGTCCAGGGAGCATGATGATTGGTGTTGGTGAATCTGATGTCAAAACTGTTACCGTTAGAACCGGATGTCTCGGCGCCAAAGACGGGGATAAGGTCGTTGCGGATAACGGCGGATGGGAAGTTTCTGGCTGCGGGGGATCGGTTGGGCAATGTCAGGTATGAATGGCGCCCTGTGTGGTTTCTACGAAGGATATGCAGACGCGAAGTTTTTCCCGAAACTCAACCATCGTCGTCTTTTTAGAGTGTACGAGCTTACGACTTTCCAGGAAGTGAAGACACTGGAAGCCCACGATGCGGAAGTCATGGCGATCGATTTTTGCATCGAGCGGGAGTCTGGTAGATGTTCCAAACATCCATATTTGTATCACGGCCAATTCGGCGGTCTTCTAACGCCATTCTTCCCTTCAGGTTCCTTGCTGATGGCGACGGCAAGCCGGGACCGGTTGCTTCACGTCTTTAGCGGCGATATGGATTTCGAGCTGATTCAGACGCTGGATGATCATACGTCTTCGATTACGTGTGTAAGGTTCGCGGATGGGGGGACTAAGTTGATTAGTGGGGGCGCGGATAAGTCTTTAGCGTTTCGGCAGATCGACGTAAGTTACATCAGATTGCAGTTTGATCCGAGAACATGGGAAAGCTCACTCTGACATCTCCAACATTGCTTCCGCTGATAGCCCGCGGCCGGCTTCCAAACCTACCACAACGCCTCGGGCCGTCTCTCCATCTACGACCTCGAGATCGACCCCGACTCCAAATACGTCGCCGCCGTCTCGCAAGACCGCCGCGTGACCGTCTACTCCGTCGCCACCGGCAAGGTCGTGCGCGCCTACAAGCCCGAGCTGGACGACACGGGCCCGGAGGGCGGGTACAACAAGCTCTCGATCGACCCCTCGGGCCTCTACATCGTCACCTCGGCGCTGGACCGCGCGATCCGGATCGTTGATTTCTACTCGGGGATGTGTGTCGGGAAGGTCCCCACCGGCCACTCGGAGCTGGTGACGGATGTGAAGTTTACGATGGATTGCACGCGGGTGGTCTCGACGAGCTCGGATGGGTGCGTGTTTGTGTGGAGGGTGGCCAATCGGCTGGTGAATCAGATGCTGGCGAGGCTCGGACGCGCGCCGCCGTCGCTGGCCGGGAACACCGACGAAGGCGAGAGCAGCAGCGGAGGGACCTCGCCGCTGCGGAAGACGAGCGTGGGGCAGGATTCCGGCGAGGGAATGGAGCGGGAAACCTCCTCGTCCAGCTTGGCCGCGTCGTGGTATGAGGACTCGGAGTTGCCGGCGTGGGCGCGCTCGGGCAGGAGTCGGCAGTCATCCACCACCACAACCACAACCACAACCGCATCGGAAGCCGGCCGGTTCGTGGCCCCCAAAGGCCGCTGGGCGCAACGCGTCGGCAACGAAGGCGTCACGCTCTTCTCGGAACTGGAGGACGACGACGTGTGTGTCGCCCGCCCGGATGATACCTCGGAGCGACGGTACACGTTTGATGTGCACGAGAGTCCGAACCGCGCGATCGAGAAGATCACGGATGCGCCGTTTGTGGCGAGACCGATCATAGAGGGTGATCAGGAGACGGTGCGACGCGCGGGGTCCGAGAAGGCGGATTTGGTGGTTGTGGATTTGGAGAGTGACTTTATGAGTCGGATCACTTCGGGGCCCGCTTCTGAGGATGGGGATGGGGAGGATGGCGAGGACCCGTTTGCGGCAAGGTTCAAAGCCGCTGATGAACCTGACGAGCCCGAAGACGCGCCGATATACCTCCCTAAGAATGACGCGGATGACCAAGCGGGGACCGGTGACTCGCACGTGGTTCATATCTCCCCCGCTTTGCAGAAAGGGGACCCCTCGGAGCACGAGCCGAAAATGGAGCGGGAACCTGTTGACGAGGAGGACGAAGACGCAGACTCGGAACCGGTATCCATGACCGCGACGGAGCTCCACGAAGCCAGTCTCGAGCTGCAAGACCATCCAGCCGCGCGTACCTTATCCCCTCCCCCATCATCATCATCCTCCATTACCACCACGCGCCAAAGCCTCTCAGCTCGACACATTGCCGCACGCTCCAACGACCCGGTTCTCGAACACGTGGCGGAGATTCCCCTCCCGAGCACGGCCGCCCCCTCGGAGACGGGGAGTACTGTCAGCACGCCGGCGTCGTTGAGGCAGCGCAAGGAGGCGACTGCACATGAGGTGGAGCGGATGAGGGTGAAGTTGGCCGCGATGGGGATTGTGTGGCGGAATTCGGAGGGGGATGGGTTGGAGGTCGATGGGGGTGGTGGTGGTGGGGTCAGCGAGGGTAAGGTGGAAGAGGCCTCTGTGACGCCGCCAAGGGGGCATGCTGAGTCGGTGGCTGGGGAACCGCCGAACGTGCCCTTCGAGGGTGCGGAAACGAATGGCCAGGACTCCCGCCCCGACGTGGTGATCGCACCCACCGACGCGATCACCCCAGAACAATCGGACGCGGATACCAGCACGCCTGTGATCGAGAATCCCCTCCGGACCGCCACAGAAGCCGCCGAACATGCAGCATCGCGGAACCGGTCCCGCGATCGGTCGCCGCACCGTTCGCGGCCGCGGAGTCCACCGCGGTCGGCTGCTGATCGGGACGTGATTCTGCCGATGCTTGGGGGGACGGAGAGTAGTGGGATTCCGGCTGATGGTATGTATCTTTCGCGAAACCCTGTGTTTTCAAAACAAACTTTTGAACCTGGTCTCATTCTTTGGCTTCAGTGCATGCACCAACAGGAACGTCTCCCGTCCCATCATCGCCCCACCGCGACACCGACGACGACACTCCACCCCTAACAACCCCCGACCTTGCATTCTTCGAATCAATAGCCCACCGCGCCGTCAGATCGCTGGCCCAGCTCGCCCAGCATCCCACCGCCGACCCCGACATCGCATCCGCCACGGATATCGAGTCCGCGCTGAGACGTGTGCAGGGGGTTATTGAGTCGTATCTACAGCATGTGCGGGAGACGGGGCAGCGGCAGGGGGAGGGCGGAGGCGAACTGAGACGGGTGCTGGAGACGTATTCGGAGGTGCTTGTTGGGCTTGTGAGGGGGAAGTTGGGGGGATGACGGGGAGGGGTGCGGGGTAGGGAATGAAGGGGGGAAGGTGGGGTATACCCGGGGATGGTTCTGCAGAGAGGTGTGCGTATGTGATTGTTATGGTTTCGGGTGAGGGCATGATTTGGAGGGTGCCGTAATGATATTCTGGAGTGGTGTATTTACGACCTTGCTTTTTGACTACCCCCTGCCCTGTTTTTCTCATATCCCTCCACGAAAACTCAGAACCCTCAGAATGGGCAAGAGCTTACAGATACGGTTTATATTGGTAACTTGGTTTTTCTGTTGCTTCCCAGTTCACATCCCTCGCCGACAACAGAACTCGTTGCAGAAACGCTTTTCATTGTATACAAATCGCCCAACGGGCATATGACCCAAAGTCCAGAGGAGAATGCATTCCCTCGTCAAGCCTACGCTACGGCCGGCGCTGTCCGGGCATCCAAAAATGTAAAAATATGCTGCCTATGGCCCCTTTATGGAGCGGGGGTATACTACGAGCGGGGGGGTGGGTATGCGCTCGGGTATATGACTGTTCACCCGATGACATCGCAGGCGTTGCATGAGCTGCACAGGATCAGCAGGCCTGTTTCTTCGTGGAAGCTGAAGAGGGGGTGGCCTGGGCACGCTTGGCTAAATCCGCGGGGGGCGCAAGTCCAGTCAGAAAAGTGGGGTGATTGAAGAAAGGAGGATGCCAACACCACTCACGCATGATTCGACGCAAGCGTCTGCACCTGCGCGACCATCTCCTCCGCGCTCCGCATATGCGCCGCACACCCGATCCGCACATCGCAGCCCGAACACGCAATCGCGGTGCCATCGCTGCCCAGAGTGCCCTTCTGACACACAAAGCACGTGGTATCCGCCCCGCCGCCGGCCGTGAGATACGTGGGGTTGACGTCCTCCTCGGTAAGGGACAGCTCGTACGCCCGCAGCAGCTCTTCGTCGTGGGATGAGAGGGAGGAGGAGAGTTCGTGGAGGATCTCGTCTTCCAGGTCGGGGGTTAGGTCGCCGAGGGTCGCGGCGGCGCGACGGAAGTGGTCCCATTGGTTCGTTATGAAGGCTTTTGTTAACTGGAGGATACAGAGACGTTGGGTTAGCCACCTTTGTAAAGATGCGAGGGGATGAAATGATACCCTCGCTCGCGACAAGGATGGTGGGCGAGGTGTGAATATAAACGATTGTTGGCTGTCGCGCACAGTTCAAGACAGAGGCTCGCTTGAAAAAGTACGATAGTTCGCTGCTCGCTCACATTTATTGCTCGCCCCCGCGTGCGCCTACCTGCTGCTCAACGACATCACCAAACCTCCTCCTCTGCTCCTGCGCCTCCTCCGAGTCTCCCGCAAGTGGACTCGCGATATGGCCAAACCGCCGCCTCCTAATTTCCGCCTGCCTCGAGTTTCGTAGTGACGTGAGACACTGCTGCTTGAACTTATCCCTCCAAGCGAGCGTCGTAGGAGAAAACCCGTTTACCGGCGTTGGAGCCGGAGTGCTGAAGGAGTGGGAGGGAAAGGAGCGGACTTGCTTGACGGGAGTGCGGTGGGTGTGGGATGACATTGTTGCTTGGGGTGTTTACGCTGTGAAGGGGGTTTCGGAGGGAAAAAGGGGAGAAAAGAGGGAAACGCGTCCGAAAGCAAAACGCCCGTCGGACAAGCGACTCGCAGAGGGAGGTGTGACTTTTCCACAGAACGCTTCCGCACCCAACACAAAACTGGTCCAACAGCAACGGCAACCGGCTCCCCTTCATATGGACAACGCTAGCTCTCGCTTATAAGCCCCTCAGCAACCTCAGCTTCTCCAACGTAAAAGTTCGACCAGAATACCAGAAAACATGGGGGGTAAGTCTCACCTTCAACTCACGCCGTTCACATGTCACTCTTGCCGCTAACACAAAGCTTCCTCGCTCTCAACATATAGCCACCGCCACTTGCCGCTACTACTCCCTCGGGTCGTGCACGAAGCGGGATTGCACCTTCGCCCACGATCGCGACGGAGAGAAGCCTGTCTGTCGTTGTAAGTGCAAGCTCATGGTTTTTCTGTATGTTCTCAAAACGACGCACGTTTGGTGTTTCTCGCACTGACGGTATAAACCCTGTGCAGATTATCAGCAAGGCGAATGCCGCTTTGGGAACTTTTGCGCTTTTCAGCATACCAAAGTGCGTCCACCGACAACAACAACGGCAACGGCAACGGCTGCGACGGGGGCGAAATTTGGTGTGGCTAGCGCACCTTGTGTCCCCTCCGCACAGGCTCCCACATCGCCCGCGACATCGACTCCAACGCCAGCAGCGCTGCGAACAGCGTCTTTCTCATCAGCACCATCACCATCAGCAGCAGCAGCAGGGCCTTCCTCGGCGGATAGACCTGTCAGACCGCCAGTGCCAATAAAGTTTGCAGCACCAGCAAGGACCACTGTCCCAGTAAAGACGGCCACACCACCGCCGACAACCTCAATTCCAGCAAAGCGCGTCCTCTCAACCAGACCGCTCATCTCGTCCTCTGCAGGCCTATCCAGCGCGACCCAATTCCTCAGATCCGCCCAAAAAAGTCCCCAAAACACGGACATACAAACTGATCTAGCAGATCGCATGAACCGGGTAGGCATCTCCACCTCCACACCCCGTTATGAAGACGACGACGACGCAGAGCACTATTTTCGCAACCCGGACGTCATCTACGGCGTCCACGACACTATCTCAACATCCGACCCCGAAAGCCCGCCCTCCTCCCCGGAACCCACCGATTTCTCATACTCCTCCATCGCACGGAGTAACGTCCTCATCCCCGACGGGGTAGAGGCGTTCTACCCATCCAAACACCACGAGGGCGATGCACAGCCTGAGGAACGCGAACCCCTGTGCCCGTTCGCGATGCAGGGCCGGTGTCGGTATGGCGAGCATTGTCGGTATAGACATGGGGACGCGTGTCCTGTTTGTGGGAAGATGTGTTTGGATCCTTTGGATGGGGTGGAGGTTCATCAAGGTGGGTCAAATAAACCCGTCGTGCCCCTTGCGTACTTTGGGGTGGTCTTGTTGACTTTTGCATGTCCATCCGTGAACAGAACACATCAAGCAATGCGAACAGGAACAGCATAACCGGGTAGACCTCGCTGCCGCGGCCTCGGCGTCGGAGGAGATGGACTGTGTGGTGTGCATGGAGACGGTGCTGCAGAAACCGGACCCGCGGTTTGGATTGCTGGGTATGGTCTTCGTCATCATTACAATTCTCAGTACTTTTTCATCGGTGTCTGACATTGGGCGGTGAATTTTCGTAGATTGCGAGCACTGCGTCTGCCTAGACTGCATCCGAAAATGGCGTACAAACGAGCGTATGGACACCGCCAAGGTAAAACTCCCCCTCCCCTCCCTCTTCCCCACCCCCACAACTAACCAACCCCATCTCATTTATAGTCCTGTCCAATCTGCCGCACAACCACGCACGTCGTAACCCCCTCTACCACCTGGCCCCTCACCCCCCATCACAAACAATCCATCATACAAACCTACAAATCCCGCCTCAACACCATCGACTGCAAACACTACGCCCACGGAACCGGAACATGTCCATTCGGGACCAGTTGTTTGTACCGACATGTTGGGGTAGATGGGGTGGAGGAGAAGGTTAGGTTGAGGCGGGTTGTTGGGGCGGGAGGGGAAGAGCAGGGGGAGGAGGTGAGAATTTTGGGAGGGGTGATGTTGGTGGATTTTTTGGAGAGGTGGGAGGGGCGCAGGTAGGGGTGTCAGGATTGTGGGTTTGGTTTTATATAGAATGCTTCTCTCTCTCTTTGATATCCTTAGGTTTGGTAAGATAGATGCGGGGTTTTTTTTAAGGGGGATACCATCATTTTTCACATAGATTTTTTTTTGTCATTTTCCATTTTTTTCATCCCTTCTCGTTATTAGTTGTTTGTCTTCAACACTGCTGAAAATGCTCAGGGGTCTGTTCGCTCTTACCCTCGCTTCGACGCGCGGCATTGCTCATGCTGGCCACCTGCTTCTATCGCCCCGCCGCTCTGCATGCTGTCCGCACATCCATTGTCAGCACCGATAAGGCGCGCTATTCCCGTCGCCAGCTGCGAGGGGCCCTTCCGCCACCCCCGGGCCCACTGGACATATGGCGGTCCGCTAATTAGAGGCGCAATCTAACGCGCCATCTCCCGCGCCCGGAGAGATTCCGCGTGAGGCATCCACATTCTCCTTCTCGTTCACCTTTACCCCCCATTCCTTCCTTCCATGTTAGCATTCTCCATAATCACGCTCTCTGCAACCACCCTCATTCTTCTGGGTGTAGCAGCGGGTCGTGTAGGCGCAAGCCGTCAAGTTAGGAGCAAGGCCGTCAATCCGGCCCGAAGTAGCCCATCAGTTCCTCTCGGCGCATTGCTCTTAGCTAACGCGTTCCGATGGTATGGCAAATGGACATGATCTTTTCTTTGCTCAAGTTCTGCTCGAGAAGCTGCCAACTCTTACTCCTGCTCTCTTCCACCTCTTTGATCTTCTGGAAGTCGGCGCTCTATGATTGTTTGAGGGCGAATACATTGCTTCGTCATTTAGGCACCAGCCACCGATCATTTTGCTACTGTGGGAGGAATAGGCATGGGTTTTGGCGAAGCGCTAGTCACAACCAAATTTCCGTCAGTGGAGCTTGGGCGAGACCAACAGCCTCCGGGAATTCTTTAAGCAACGGTGAGAGAAAGGAAAATATAAGCATGAGGGAGCAAGGGGACTTTACAACAAGGGAAAAGAATGAAGGATGGACACGCATTCAAGGAGGGAAGAGGGATTGTAAGTCTCCGTGGTAAGGAGGATGGAAGGGCTTAATTGTCCCTTGCAAGATTCAAAGGAGTGGTACAGGGGCCATCCCGTCGGAACCTGTCGAAAATGGATCACGTAACACGCGTATCGCTGGATTGCAGATGGTAGCGAAACAAGAGACGAAGTTGGGTCCGTTCTGCTCCGTACGCAGGACACCAACAGTGTCCCACACTCCCTGAGGTCGACATACCGTCATATCGGCATGCTTTTCAAGCACTATTTCAGAGCCCAGAAAAGGAATTCCTCCAATCTTCCCAGCCCACTCTCCAACACGTGAAGAAGGTAGGTAGTGCGGGTTTGATCGCAGGTTGAAAGGGGTTGGTATGCACATGTAGTTCTAGATACGCTTTGGTCCTAGTTCACAACACGAAAAGCTGTTCCGACAGTTGGCGTATGTTCTAGCGGATTGAGCATGTCATTTATGAAATATCCAGTTTAATTTCTAAACTGAAATGAACCAGGTATATGAAACTCTGGATGCAAATGGATATCTTCTAAACTGAAGTGAACGAAGTATATGAAACCCCGGATGTAAATGGGTATCTACATAACACCTAACCCTACACATCCAGGCCTAGTCAAAGCTCCTATTCAAAAAACAAAAACAAACAGCTACCAAAGTCACCTGAAACATGGCAATATCGCATATGAATGTCAAACAAACCACTTCATCCGCCGGGATTGGCGGTACCGGGAGTGGTTGCCTCTTGCATCTCCCCACGCAGACTTCGCTTCTTCTTCAAAAACAGCCAGAGCGCCGCGGCAGACGCAAGCGATGCCCCGCCAGCGGCGCCGGCTATCGCGTATGTTGTGGTTTGCGTCATCGTTGTCGTCCCAGCTGTGCCGCCCACCTTTAGACTTGGGTCGTTGATGGCTGTGGCAGGGCTGGTGGACTCGCTGCTGGTGGACTTGCTGGTGGTGGACTTGCTGGTGGTAGCGGTGGCAGGTTCAGTGTTAGCGTCAGGACTACCGCTGGTTCTAGTGCCAGTGCCCACGCCCCCGGCTCCAGCATCGGTCATCGCCACCCCAGCGCTATATGTAGTGGTGCGTGCGGGACGGCTGGATGTGGTGCTAGGGGACTGAGCGCTAGGGGGCTGACCCACCGTGATACTGACGGTTTTCGAGGCAGTGCCGTCCGATACCTCCAACCTTACCGTCGCATCCCCACCCGCCGGCTGCGAATAATCCCAAACCACCTCCACATAGCCGCTGTCGATATCACTCTGCGTGAACGTGCCGCCCGCCTGCAGCTGCCTCCCAGCATCCAAAATCTTCACCCACGCGTCGAAGCCCACGATGGTGTAGACGATGGGTCCCACGGGTTCCCCGAGACTGGTGCATGAGAGCACGAAGGGGATCAAGGGGTAGTAAAGTTGGGAGCCCCATGGGGTTAGGGTTTGGGTGCCGACACAGGAAATGCCGCCGTGGATGTTGATTGGGAGCGTGGTGGTGAAGCTCGAATAGACGCCGTCGGATACCTGCAGCCTCAGGCTTGTGCTGCCGTATGAATGGTCGGTGGTTTCGATGAGGATGATCCCGTCGAGCAAGTCGTCGACGGTGATCTCGTCGCCTACCATCAAATTGGTCAAGATATGGGCGGAGGAGTCGACTGCGACGCCGGTGGAGGTGTTTAGTGCCGCTGTGATGGCTCGTCTGTGGACCGACAGGTTGAATTCCGGAAGTCTTTGAATCGTTATTTTTACACCGTAGTTGAGACTGCCAATGATGGTCGCACCGCCGTCGAAGGTCAAATTGAGGTGCGTGGGCAGCAGTGCCGAACTTCCAGGTGTCAGCATCGTCAGCGTGCCAGCCGACAGAGTGGGTGCCTGAACACCGTACACAACGAGCGTCTTCTTTGCCACGATCGATCTCTGAGCGTACTCCGACAGGGTCTCCAACACCATCTCTTTCCGGCCTGGCGTAGCGACTATGCTAAGGATGTTACCCGCCCATGCCTCGGTGCGTGTATAGGCGCGCGGTCCTGCAAGCGACGCAATCTGATAGTGCAAGGGGCCCTTCGCATTCAGGCCGAACACGGTGGCATCTACTTCCGTCGCTGTCAGATCGGCCCCATCAATAACGAACGGGGCTTTGACAGCCACAGCAATCGGCGCATCACGGAGCCATACCAACGGAGCCTTGACAACGAAGGTATATGACACCGGCACAGGGTCTGTTCCTCCGTCCGTCACCGACAGGGTCAAGACGCTCGATCCCCACGTTGGGTTTGAAGTCCCGACAGTCACGAGCAGGGTTGCTGTATCTGTTTCTGTAAAGTTGTCGCCCACGGTCAGTGGCGTACCCATGATGGTGCCGTTGGCGTTTTGTCGCTGGAAGGTGAGCGTCCCGGTTGTGTCTAGAGACGCGACCTGGAAGGACAAAGTTTTGTTCGCGTCGGGCTTGACGATCTGAAAGTCACGGGTGAACGACTCGCCGGGCAGAAGGACGGCCGCAGTGACTTTTGTCTATGCAGTGTAGGGGAAGAAGTTAGTCCCATGATTCCCCGATCGAATGGAATTGACAAGTCCCCTACATATGGAATCTTCCCGAACTCTAAGATGAGCAAGCCTTCCCCAGTGTGGTACCCGTCTGATATCTCGAAGTATACATAATAGTTCCAGGTTGCCTCCGGCGACGTCGGAATATGTCTCACCTTTAGATTCCCGTCGTTGATGTCATCCTGTGTCCACACCGTGGACGCAAGCATAACGGAGGACCAAACCGTCGTCAATCCATCAGGCCCGATCCGTTGCAGCTCGAGCGCAAAGCCCAAATCATACGTTGGTAAATCGTATTTGAGACGGTACGTCACCGTCTGGCCCGTCAGTTCACCTTTCGGGACATACGCGTACAGGGCCGCGGACGAGACGACGGCGCTTTTGTTGAAGGGCGTGACGATGTGAACTCCCGCAGGATCGATGTCGTTGCGAAATTGGTATTTCCCATACAACTGGATTCCAAAATGGAACGGACCGACGACGTTGTGCGCGTCGGACACCATGTAATCGAATCCATCGAGCCCGGACCCAACATCCACGGATCTGTACTGGACCTGGTTGGCCCTGTCAGACATCATCAGGTCCGCGACGGAGAATGTATATCGGCACGGCGACACTGGCGCGGTGCACGGCATGCTGAAGTTGCATGTGCAATACGTGGCGTTGTAAATCGGTGTCGACGTCCTGCCTTGCCATGAAAACATGGAGTATGCCAGGCTGCCGACTCTGGGACTCACCACGACGGTGATTAGGCTAAGCTGATTGTTGTCGGCGACATAAAGGTATTGGCTCGAAATTGGGGTCCATTGGTCGATTTGCCCCCAGTTGACAGCTAGGGTCTGGTTAACAGTTACTCGCGGCATATCGTCAATGTAGATCATAAACGGGGCCGCCGGGACGGTCCATATGCCGTCGGTGATCTGGTATGTGAAATTGAACGTGGGGGGTGTGGGCGAGGGGTATGTGGACGGCAATCGGACTCGAAGCCAGTTCCGTCCCACGTCGGCCATCGTCCAGTTCGTCGCCGTTACCCAGCTGCCCGTGGCATTGTCGTAAGACTCCACGACGCCCTCGGACGGCTGGCTGAGGAGCGTGAACGCCAACGTGTCTGTCGTGTTGTCCAGATCGAGCCACGAGAGCGCCGAGGTCGGTATCAAGCCTCCCTTGGCGGCGTAGCCGAATGTCACCTCGTTGTTTTGCACGTACGGGCGGGACTGATACTGGAAAACGTATGATATCCATTGCGACGGGTTCAAGTTGTCAGTGACTTCCAGCTGGAAGGTTTCTGTCTTGCCAGTAAGGCCCGCCTGGTATCTTTGCATAATCAGCCCGGCCGCAACCGAGTTTTGGGAATAACTGCCGCTCAACATGCTGTACGACGTGTCGAACCAGTACATCGTCCAGGAATATGGAGGCACCTTCCACGTGATGCTACCGGGCGGGAACCAGGATACGGCCTTCGTATACTGTTTGTCGATAAAGCAGGAAAAAACGTTTATATCCTTCCTCGCGGTATCACAGAGGATGACTTTGGGGACCGTGGGGAGAATCAGAGGCGGTATGAACGTGATGTTAGAAAACCCGGGAACAGGCGCGTTCAGACCGTCCAACACCATGTATGTGAACGTCAGCGAGAGCGGCTGCAGAGACTGGGTGGCTAGACCAGAAGCCGCGAAGAGCGAGTTCATGTTGGTGTACGTCCATCCGTCTCCGGGCGTCAGCATCGTGCCGTTCAACGTGAGGTTGCCGCCGACGGGCACGCTCGTCAGCACGAACGAGAGATCCTGCGGCCCGTCGGGGTCGGACCAGGACAGCAGGTCGGCTGTGAGCTGGCGAGTTGGCGAGGTGGGGTACGACGCCAAAGTGCTGTTGTATAATTGCGACGGGGCCACGTTGTGGAAACTTATGGTGAAAGAGCCATTGATTGCCGTGCTGAGAGTGCGTCAGTTTCAGTTTCCGCCCAACATCTGCAACAAAGGATTGGTCACATACCCAACTCCATCGGAAAGCGTGAAGTTGAACGAATCTGTAACATTGATAGGCCGGTTGTCCCTGAGATGCGTATATCGCACCTGTCCCGCGTCCAACATCGCCTGCGTAAACACCTTAGCCGACAAATCTCCCCGTCCAGGTTTTGTCGTCACATTGTACAGAAAAGCGGACCGATTGAATACAGATGTACTGGACACATTCAGGGACGAGTTCCTAATATCCGCGCCAGAGTACCAATTGACCACCAAAGGGACGTTTGTCGTGATGGTTGGGAACAGGTGATAGCGCACCTTGAAACCGATCGTCGCTTGGCTGAGTGGACTAGCGGCGGTTAGGTTCCACACAAAGATGTCTTCGGCGGGTGCGGTTCGGGTCACCCGGACAAACTGCTGGTTGACTTCATCTTGCGTGAATATCCCGTTTACAGGAACTTGGATCCACAATCCCGCCCGGAAGACCTCGAAGAACAGCGAGCCGGGGGGAAGTGTCGTGCCGGTCACGGTGTAGGTGAGTGCAGCAGGACCCGTATCAGTGGACGACACCAGGAGGTTCGAGGATGAGAGAACAGATGTCTGCTTTCCGCCGGTCACGGCGCTTAGAACTACGTATTGATTCACAGGCACCACCGGCGCTGGGACGATCGTCATGTTCAGCGTGATCGGAACCGGGTGGGTGTCGATAAGGTCTTTGATGGTGAATTGGATGATCTCGGGTCCGAGGTAGGTGTTATTCGGCGCCGCGGTATACCTGAGTAAGGTGTGACCAAAGGAATAACACATGATATTGCTTGGGGACGCGGATACTTACCTGATATTCTTAGTATTCAGATCGCTCTGTGTCCAAGTGGTGACGCAGCCCCACCTTCCTGCAGTCCACTTCTCAATGCAGCCATGAAGCAGCGGCACTGCAGTCAATGCAAAGGTGATGTTGAACGGTGAACTATCCGGATCAACGGTTTGCAACGCATCAAGAACCAGGAACGATCCACGGGCACAAGACAGTGTGCCCACGGGCGGAAGATACGGTACCGCATTAACGTGAATCGGATAGTCGATGTGGGAAACCTGCACGCTGTCGGAAAGGTCGAGGCCAAGCGTGGTGCTCCCGTTATAGGACGCTGAAGTCGTGTACTGCAATCTTCCATTCTGGATATCGTCCTGCTTGAACTGGGACGAAACCGCCAGAGAGACATTACCGTTTAACAGCGTTCCTGAAGCGGGGAGTTTGGTAACGGTGTAGACAAGACTAGCAGCCGCCGCATACGAGCTCGTGGCAGAGACGTAAGTAGGAGAGAGTGTCACCGACCCGTTGAATGAGATCGTCAATCCTGTTAAGGTCACTCTGGGGGCAGCCACATGGTTGACAGGCAATCTGGCAATGACTGCGGGATTGACACCATCCGACACAAACATTTCAAAGTACCCATAGCCGGTCTGCGAACTATCGAAGACGATGCCGATGTTGCCAGCGTTGAAATCCGCCTGACTGAATGTTATTCCCGTAAAGTACGCGCTTGCCCATTGGCCGTTCCTGAATATCTGCAGATTCATGCCTATAGCAGAGGAGTACGCATATGGCGACATCCGGATCGCAGCCGGATCCCAAGTCTCGACGTCCGACGCGAGAAAGTAGGTGCTGTTGACGATTATCCGGTTAGACACCTGCGGTGCAGTGATGGTCTTTAGGGTAATCGTGGGCGGACCATCGGAGACGATCTGAATGGTGCCGGATGTGGGATCACTGCCTGGTTGCGAGGTGCCGATGACGTTGTAAGTGAACGATGCGTTTCCAACAAAGCCGCTGGGAACACCAATCTGGATTTGACGGAAAGCGACCTTGCTGAACGCGAACTCGTCTCCGACGGCCAACGGCATCCATCCCGTGCTGGTGAGCACACTCAGGACCACCGAATCGAGTGCTTTGATCGTGCATTTGATCTCGGTGAGGTTCCCGCTGGGGTCAGGATTTGCCAAACTGGACAACCCGAGAATCTTCGGCGCTGTGCCTTTCGGCCAGACCCATCTGACCGGCTTGGAAGCCCAGTTGGGGGTTGCGATCACCCCTTGCAAGGTGACTGGGACAGGCTTGACACCGTCCGTGACCGATAACGCCAACGAGAAACTGCCAGTAAAGCTTGCCACGGGAACGAAGTAAATTTTCCCAGCGGACACATCGGTCTGTCGGAATGTCGCTCCGTCGCCTAGAATGACTGCGTTAGACGATAAGTCTGGCGGCAGGACAAAAATGCTCCCAGTTCGACGGAAAGACGAATCGGTTACTGCCCATAACAGGTTGTCGGAACTTTCTTCTTGATCGGTGGCCCGGAGGAAAGCAGTGTCCAGCAGCACGGGCTGGTTTTGAGCGGTAAGCAGTGCTGCCGGAGTTGCGACAGTCGGCGCCCAATTCAACTTGATGCTGATTGAAAGGTACGGAACATAGTATTGGCTCCCATCTCGTATCTGTCAAATCGCCAAGTCATGAGTTTGGGATCCTTCTTCCTCACAGGCCAATGCGCTCGGCTCTCACGTACCGAACCACCGAAATACTTGCTGGTGCTGACGGGCGTGTATATGTACGTCTGAACGGGACCATTCGGATACCTTGGATTGGGGCTATAGTACCCGCCGTCACCCGTTTGGCCGACCGCAACGAACGTCAGGTTCCCGTTGTTGATATCTGCTTGTGTGCATGTAGACGCCATGACACCGTTCATCGCAAAGTACCCAAACTGACTCGCTGTTGTTGGATCTCCCCCGAGTGTCCATACTGTGCCGTTGTCGCCCACTCGCTTTGAGGTGTATTGAAATATCTTGGGAGTGATGGTTGTAGCACCGTAGGCGCGGACCAGAACGGGATTGGGGAAGGGGGTCCAAGCGTAGGGATCCGTGCACGAAACCGTAACTCCAGCGAGAAACGGGGATGTCGCAATCGCACTGATTGAATTGACATATTGTTGCGATGGTTGGGATGAGCAACTTGTCGTACGCCAGGATGGGTAGGTCTGGGTCGTATACGTTCTTTGGCTGTAATAGCCGCTTGCATCATATTGTGACAACTGGAAGGACAAGACCTGATTGGCGCACGTAGCCTGCACGGTTTCTAGTCCAACCATCCAGTACTTCCCGGAGCCCTGCTCGTCCATGGACAGACTGACATTTACTGCAGAAATACGCGGTTAGCGCCGCACGTTCGGACCCATCTGAACATAGATTTGCATGCGACCTGACGTACCAGGGATTGTAGCGCTGTAGTTTCCGTACGTAGTACCACCCGTACAGGACAATCCCAACAGAGTATAACCTCCATTTTGCACATAACCTTTGATTCCATTGATGAAATGGCCTAATGGTTCTCGCCGGGTTAGCATCTCCCTTCTACATATAGAACACCACACCGGGCCACCCGAACCTGTAGGGCAAGTGAAATTGAACCCGCCGCTGCACTCGGCGTACACCGCAGCAATGCTGCCAAGAAGCGCAACCGCGAAGACCAACAGTCTGAGCATGTTGAATATCTTGCAAGTTCGGAACATTGTCAACGAGAGGCGGCAAACCTGAAGCGGAAACTGAAGTTCAAGTCGCTTACGTGATGCGATTGACGATGCTTGACAGCGCGTTTGGCGTCATGTTTCGCGAAATTGCTATGGCGCAGAAATGTCCTTCCAAGTCCCGCCCACCTCCCGCTCCGCCATAGTATATAAAAGGCCCCACCTGGTCTCGTCCACTCTCAGGTTCCTTTCGCCTCAGGAGTTTGTCTCACACAACTCTCTTTCGGGAGGTCGCGTAATAACGCGTTGCCTACTTAGTGGAATCTGGATGTGCTTTAGGTGTGTAAGTACGTCTCGGAGTGACCTGAATTTTGGTCAGGTTATTCTTTTAAACACGGCAGGGTAAACACGGCAGGAAGGTAAAATGCGCGTAAGGCAGCAGCTCGGCAGGTAAGTTTGCGGTGGGTAGCTAGGAAGGACCTACTTTGTTTCGTACAGTCACCATCAACATCTCTGGGTCTGGGGTTGAACCACTTGCGGGTTTGGGGGCGAATTTGGGTTTGGCAGGTAGGTGTACGTCGCTATTATATTCAGGGTTCAGCCTGGCGGATAGATATCCCTGGAATCGCCTGGATAATGCGCGTACCGCAAGGTAAGGACCAACCCACCCGTACGTGCAGAAGTGCATGCCGACATGGACACTGGAAGCAGGAGCCATGTGCGAATGAGCAGGCTTGGGGGGCCCTTGCGGCGCTGCAGCGGATGCTTGTATGGCGACACCTTCGGCTTCAGCAATTCCCTCACAGCTTCAGTAGGGCCAGAATAAGGAAGCATAACGTGTTTGTGAGGAACCCCTTGTAGAACATTTTGGGCCGAAAGATCCGGAATGTAATCGTTGATCCTGGAGGTCCCTACGTTTCACCTTTGCCTTTACCTTTGCCTGACCTTGCCTTTCATGAACCGCCGCTCAAATACCGACTTCGGCTTGGATGACCAACGATACCTCCATCTGGACGCCGACGGCACGTGGAAGCAACGTTGTGGTTTACGCAGGGAGCACGGGACCTGCACCGACGTGTGCCTTTTTGAAAAAGAACATGATCGGAAACGGAAGGCTATCTTGGACTACGACTTGGTGTGGGCTCCTTACTTCTCCTCACTGAAACATGGGAATCCGCATCTGGATCTGCGTCAAGCAGGAGCGATCCCTTCCTGATACAAGGTCCAGATACCGCCGCGTCGCAAGAATTCGAAGCATCGCAGCGTTTCCTGAGTTTAGCCTCTAGTTTCGACAGGACCGCTGATGATACTTCAGGAGAGGATACGTCTGCCCCCGGCAGGAGAAAAAAAAAACAAAACGACAGCACCAGAGTTTGCCCCCTGCGTGGATCGAACACGCGACCTTCTGCTTACGAGGCAGACGCTATGCCACTTAGCTAAAGGGGCTCGATTACGTAATCTGCATGTAGTTCTAACTTGATATATGCAGTATCACTAGCGCTGGACAGTCTTTATCCTTCCTGCAAGGCTTCCCAGCTGGCCAATATCTCCAAAAGATGCCCAATTTCAATGACCACCTTATTCGATCGGTTTGCAGTGCGACAGCCCAACTCTCCTTTCCGCCCTCAGCGTCTCGCACATCTACCGCTTGTTGTCGCCCAGGGCCCTGGCGCTCAGGCTCGCTCGTCGTAGCGTCCCAGGCGTCGTGGAAGACCGCCTAGCCGGATTTCCAGACGACCATCTCCTCGCATTTCTAGGTGAGTACATTCGAAGCAATCCGGAGTGGGACGACTACTTCCTCCTCACCTTGGGGTGCGCCATAGCCCGGCACGGACGTCTTGACGCGCTTCTTCGCATGGAGAGCCATGGTCTCATCTTGGGGGTGGAGACTTCTATAAATAGCTATGGTATGTGCGACAGCGGCCGGCCACCTAGCAATCGTCAAACATCTGTTGAGTTTAGGACCTACGTCGAATGAGATTCAGGACAGATCCCGACAGGCTTTGAAACTAGGGAATGTGGATTTGGTGCGATTTTGCGCATAGAACGGAGCAGAACCCGATAAAAACTACCAAGAGGGGTACCTATGCCGCCTAGCCGCGCTAAAAGGAGCGCACTTGGACTTGGTTATGTACGTTTTCGATGGAGATACATCAGCGGTATTGGTGGTGGGTGTCGATCGAGAGGAGATCAAGGTCTCGCTCATAGAAGAGCTCATAGCCGCCGGAGCTGCCAGTCTGGATATCGCTCTCATGCATGTCGTGGTGCAAAACCAATTGGACGGCGCCATCGAGGCTCTCGTACGTGCAGGGGCGGATCCTAACTATGACATGGCTCGAGATCATTTGCCGAACGCGGAGGATGCTACAAGAGCTCTGATTGGATCACTCATGGATGTCGCATAAAAAGTCCAACATCGTGTAACGAAAACATGGCCGACGAACAGCTCCTCTCGCTGCTCAGGAGCACATCATCGAGATTGACACACGCCTCCCAGGCCCCGATATCTGCCTCGGCCGGGCTGAACGCTGAGATGTGTGTGGGCGGGGCTCCTGGCTACTGCCGGTCCAGGAAGTTGTAAATATGTGTGTGGGCGTCTGAAACAGGGAGGAAGAAATTAAAAAGTTGAAGGAAAACGGGAGAATATAGACAAAGATGGACAAACAAGGGTTGCTATACATAATTGTAGTAGTCTCATAGCGGTGGTCGTGATGCAATAGCAGTCGTAGTCTTCAGACGTTATTGAGAGGCTCGCCTCAGTTGCTGGATTCTGATGTCTGCTTTGAACAGCTACCATCGAACCGGATAGCATATACAAGAACATTTCTGTCCATGATCGTAAGAAGCTCCTTCGTGCCTCAGAAACTCCATGCTCCATTGGGAAACGTTCCCTTTCTTGCCGCACGTTTCGCACGATATATTGACACAGGTTGGAGTACGCCCACAGTATTGAAGTTTTGGGATCGCGTCCTATTTTTCACAATCTCGTCCCTGCGCCGCATGCATGGACATAGACGGACGCGATCCCGACATTCGCTCTATTCCATCGGTCTTTATTTCGCTCGGCGACGTGTCTTCCTGTTCTTCCCTAAGGATTGGCCATTGCTAGCGGCCTGGAAACGCTTCGAGTGTGGCCATTGCTCGCGGCTCAGAACATGGACCATTGACTAAAGGCGGTACTCCACCTGCCGACCCGGAGAATGTCTTCTTGGCCCCGCTCAGGGATTGCCTGCTCCGGCGGCACGTGCAACGGGTAGCCAATGACGCTGCCTAAGCTCACAAGGCGAGCCAGAGTCGGTCGATCTAAATAAAGTGCTTGTCCCTTGTCCTTAGTACAGAGCGTCACGCTTGCAAAGCTAGCACAGTTTCCGGATTTTACGGCAGGTTTCTCGCTCGATAATCCCCGGGTCGAGAGCCAGCGGACCCCACGTTCCAGGAGACTTATGGTTCCTCTCCAAGTTTCAACGTTGGTTGCGCTGAGTAGGGAAGCTTCTGATGTTGATGAGCCCGATTTCAGCCTTCGAGAAACGGGGCAGAGCGGAGAGCGACTGTGACACACGCGTCAGATCGAAACTAGGCCGCTTTCACACCCTGCCCAAAACCGCCCCGAAAAGTGGACCCCCTGCTATCCACACTCCCCCAGTGGCTGCATAATGACCTTCATCCTCAAGAACTCCTGGGTCCAGCCCTGGGTCCCCACCCTCGTCAAAGAGTCCCTCGGCATCGGCCATCTCGACGGCCATCTCGACCGTTTCAACATCCCCTACACAAAAGAAGAGGAAGCCTTCGAACGCCAGCCCTACTTCACGGGCGACAGGCACACCGACTTCAACGAGCACAAGATCTTCAGCGCGACATGGGATAGGAGCGATCGGACAGCGGTGGCTGATGTCATTCAGGTGCATGGGCTGCATGACCATGCGACGCGATGGGCGGCGACACCGTGGCCGAAGGCTATCCTGGACGCTGGGTTCCGAGTTACGAATATCGATTTGATAGGGCACGGACGGTCTTCCGGACTGCATGGAGCGTTCACGTCCATTGACGAGCAAGTAGACGCCGTGAAAACCGTGTTGCTAGAAGTAGTCAAAAAACTCCCACCCACCAAATCCAAAAAAGTGTTTCTGCTCGGCGGGTCGTTGGCGGGACTCATCCTGCTGACCTACTCCGTGACGTACGGCAAAGACCCGAAAGCGAAACCGGACGGGATGGTCGTGCTCTGTCCGTTGGTTGACGCGGCGGCGGACTCGAGGCCGTCGTATGTGGTGGAATTGATTGCCAAGGGGTTGTCGTATTTCACACCTTTTTTGCCGCTTGCGGAGGCGAATCGGGGGAAGAATTCGACGGATCCGAGGATGGAAGAGCTTTTCTTTGAGGGTATGATGAGTGATCATTGTGGGATGGACTGGCTGATGATGGACCATGGGATGCTTACATCTTCCTTCCTCGATTCATCTGAAGATCCGTTAACGTATCACGGACGCCTGCGCATCGGCACCGCGTTGGCGCTGCTGAGAGGTTTTGAAAGGTAAGCCGGTTCGAAGAGGGTCGGGGCCACTGTGATCAACCATTTACTGATCGCCATTTTCCCAATCAAAACCAGATTGCAAAAGAACCTAGAGAACGTCGAGACCCCATTCATCGTCATTCACGGAGACGCCGACCGTGCTACAAGGTAAGGCCTCATTCTCATATCGCAACTACATGAAAACGCCTCCGATTATCGCAAATTCCCCTTATAATCGATCCCTATTCTCTCCGCATACACAGTCCCGAAGGCTCAAAACTCCTCCATGCAAAATCCCGAGCAAAAGACAAAACGCTGCGCATCGTGCCTGGCCAACAACACGATCTGTGCCGCGAACCCAAGTCGAGGGAGATATTGGCGGACTCTATTGAGTGGTTGAAGAAGCGGGTGTAGGACAGGGGAAGGGATTATGGATGATGGGTTGGATTGGAGTGGGATTATGCACATACATTACGTGCTTTTTTGAGTTATTAATGGATGGTTATTAATGGGTGTCTGCGATAATAAGTACATACATATCGGTTGGCCTATTCTGGATCCTGGAGCTCCGGATTTAACTTGCAAAGTGTGGAAAGTCTCGGAGTGAGAAAGTGCTTGGGGTCGTCTATTGACGGCCCCGTCAAAGCCAATTTCAACAGGCACAAATGCCGTCAAGGGTTTTCGGTCCCCGTTTTGCTCCAGGAAAGACGCCCCCGCACTGCGTGGGATGCGGCGCCTGTGACGGGCTGCTCCATCATGTAGGCTATAAACGAGTGTCTATGCGCATCTCTCCGTCTCTGGTCATCGTGCATTCTGGTTTTACCACACGGGACAACATCTCAATTGGGAAAACCCTTGCGCTAATTTCATATTGGGAAGAAAAAATAGTCATATTATGCTAGCATAAGGCCCGCCTTTTTGAACTTCCACTTGGCAGCTCTGCTTCCCTTTTCACGGGCTAGCACCCACTGAAGAGCAGAAAAACAGGGATCTTTACAACGCTGCTCCACTGCAGCTCCAGAGCTTCCCACTCCCGCTCGAAAAGTCAAGGAGTGCAGCAAGCGTCCTCATCCTTCCTCCCTCCCAGACATTCCCTCTGGTCCAGCGAGGTCAACTGAACCAGCCGTCCCTTCATTCGCACCTCTCACCACCGCAAACCCCACTCGATATGCAACGAAGCCAGAGCTTCTCCCGCTGGGATACCGAGCCAAGGAAGGACGGAGCTGAAGCGTTCCGAGGCGGTCAGGTGTTCGAGGGTCAAGACCTGTTGGACGCTCAGAGTGGGACAGGTGCTGATGTGGGTGTTGGGTATGCTCAGGGGTCGTCGGTCAGGAATACCTCGGTTAGTACCAGGATTCAGTATCTGAACAAAACTTTCACATGCCACCTAACTACCACTCTAAACCCATCACACATATCCTATTCCCGCAGACAAGACCCACCCCTCGGCCGCAAGACCACACCTCCGCACCCCTCTCTGCTGGTTCTACAACCGACAAGCAAACAGCCATCCATGAAGAAGCCCAACGCATCGCGCGACTTAACCCGGATGCGCCGGAGTTTGCGCCTGTTTGGGGTGCTGTTGGCGCGGGGACTAGATCTACGGATGAACGCGTGGCGAGGAAGGAGAGCGAGTGGGGTGGTGCGCCGGGTGTCCAGGGTGGGTGGGGGTGGCAGGCTGGGAATACCGTATGTGTCCTCTGTATTCGCTTCCGTACCTCAATATAGGACGCAGTCTGTTCATGTTTTCGTATTATCTTGTTTAGGCACCGATGACCACCACCACCGCACCCGAGACCCAACAGGGCCTCCCTGCGAAATCACTGAATTTGAGCTCGTACACTATCCCGTTGAAGTCGAGGCCGAGTGATGAACCGGGGTTGAGGAGGAGCCAGTCGGAGGGACATATGGCGCCGGCTGCTGAGGGGGGGTCTCAGATGGTAGGTGGGATGAATAGGATGGCGTTGGTTTGAGTCGAGGGGGTGGGGTGTAGTAAGATTATTGAAGAAGGGTTCCGCTATGCATCATTTACCCGTCGTTCATTCTGAATGATTATCGCAACCAGATGCTCGGCAACCAAAACGGCAACCCCCAACGGCAAGGCTACATCCCCACCTCCTCCCCCATCCACGACACGCTCGTCTCCCGCGTCAAACACCTCCTCGAGCACCAGATGCGCACTAACCTCGCCTTCGCCGAAGCCGTCGCCGCCGAGTACGGCCGCGAGCTCGCCATGCGCGCCGAATCCCAGCGTCGCGCGTTTACGAACGAACTCAACCGTCGCGCGCAGGTGTCGGATATCGTTGTGAGGAGACGGATTATGGAGGCGAAGGAGGCGATCACGAGGGAGTTTGAGGATCGGCAGAATGCCGCGGAACGGAGGGGGAGTATGGGGGGTGTTGGGGTGTATGCGGAGGGGAACGTGAACCCGGTTGTGGTGAACACCCTCCAGATGCGGAACGCGGATCTGGGTCGGGAGGTCCTTATCCTGCGCACCGAACTCGATGCGCAGCGACATGAGAGCCAGAGGTGGCAGAATGAGACGATGCGGCTGCAGGCGTTGCTGGAGAAGAGTGGGTCGAGGCAGGGATCGGTTACCCCGTCCCAGCATCAGCAGAAGGAGGCGCATGCGGAGTTGGTGGAGCTGTGGAGGGAGAATGAGGGGTTGGGGAGGGCGAATAGAGCGCTTCTGGCGAGGAATGAGGCGTTGGAGGCGCTGGTTGGGGGGATGGGGAGCGAGTGGAGGGATGTGGCGGAGGTAAGGTTTTGTTGATTTAGACTTTCTTTCGTACATCGGGATGGTGTATTGACAGAATCTTCTTTGATCAGCTTCAATGCCCCCACCAGATGAGCGCCACATCGGTCCAAGGCAACCCAAAAGGCAGGGACATCACGCGAAGCGAACAACATGAAGTATCGGAAGACCCGCAGTTGATCAACATCGAAATCGAGGATGAAAACGACGAAGAACAAGCGCAGGCTGAACCCGAACCGGAATTGTTTACGGCTGATGACGGCTCTCACGCCGGCCAGTCGCAGATCCAGTGGAGGTCTTCGAGGGAGGCTGGAGATGGGTTGAAGGGTGATGGTGCTGGGAACGATACCCGCCAGGTACTACTCGCTGTTTTTTTTCACCATTGTAAGTCTTAATGGCTGATTTGCCTGTGTACAGAAAAATCCGTCCTACAACCCGCGCTCCAGCTTCACTCAGTCCGAAGCCTTCACCTACAACGCGACATCTCCGCCGTTCACGCCTCACTTTTCCATGACGTCTGAGAACGGAAATGCTCACAAGACCGAAACGACTGAGGCGGGACAGGTAGTGCTTGTTTCTCCTTTGCGTTTGTTTCCATTATGCCTTACTCATAATTGTACGGATGCTCAACAGACGTCAGCAACCCATCCATCCCCCTCAGCCAAGTCAACCTCTAGCGCCACCGCAGCACCCACAAAGACCATGTACACCCGAGAAATGGTCGACAGCGTCTACGCCTCTGCCCTCGGGTTTGCCAAGAACAGTTCATCTGCACCGGGGTCGTCGGCTGCCCAGGAGGCTCAGAATACGTTCTTTGGTTTCGCTTGAGAACATTGGCTCACCTCGAACATCTGCGCCAAGCCGGCGTCTCTACGCGAAGATCTCTGGAAACTCCTCCACGGACGCACCCCCGAAACCAAGATCTGCGATTTTCCTCGTATTACTGAACATGGACGACAAAACAGAGAAAAAATCATAAATATTTGTGAGCCTGATCGGGGTTATTGAGTGGGGGTGCCCGTTTGCTTTTTTGATGCGCTTATGGCTTGCTTTGTACGTAGTGATATATTTGTGAATTATGAATGTATGTATTGAGTCATGGGACTCCTGAGTGAATACATTTGTATATCCTCTTGTCATCTTTCCCGTGTTGGACGATTGGGAGGATGGGTTGGTTGGCGAAGGTTGACAGCAAATCGACGGGGCAGTCTGAGAGTGTCGAAATGGGCGCCCCCTGAAACACTCCCATCAAAGAAAGACGCGGTGATGATTCATCGGTCGGCCGTTCGTTCCCACGTCTCTCTGAGAGCTCTGAGCCTGCCCAAAAATCGCTCGTTTTCTCAACTATATACAGTACGTTTCGGTCCTCAATTCCGCCTCGTTCCCCACCCAACCTCATTTTCCCACGATACTACGACAGGTTACCCACTCTGCCACTCAACAACACCACGACAGACGACAGACCACAGCTTCTCCACTAACGATGGACACAAGCCGCATGAAGTTCGTCTCCCGCGGCGGAACCCAGCTCGATATCTTCTCCAACGCACTCGCCAGGCGGCAGTCCGTCTCCAACCCCGCGTCGAATAGCGCCTCTGCACAAGCGCTGGGTGCTCGGGTCTTGGAGGCGAGAAATGCGACGGCGAAGAAACTGAGTACTTTTGAGGGGGTGTTTATTCCGGTGTTTCTGTCTATTTGGGTAGGTTGGGGTGGACGGTGTTTGTAATCGTCGTGAGAACGTGAAGTCTGACGAAAATGTTTCCCAGGGAGTCTTGGCGTTCCTCCGGCTGCCGTGGGTGGTTGGACAATCCGGTCTCGTTGGCACCATCGGCCTCTTCACCCTCGGCTACTTCCTCACTGGCACCACAGCACTCTCGCTCTCCGCCATCTCCAGCAACGGGCAAGTCGGCGGCGGCGGGCCATACTATGTCATATCACGGTGTCTCGGTCCCGAATTCGGCGGGTCTATCGGCGTGCTTTTTTACTCAGGCACGGTGCTTGGGGCTGTGTTGAATCTGTTGGGATTCGTTGAGCCGCTGTTGGCGTCGTTTGGGGAGGAGAAGGGGATGTTGGGGAAGGTGCTACCGGAGGGGGTTTGGTGGCAGTTGTTGTATGCGACGTGTGTGGGGCTGCTTTGTGTGGCGTTGTGTTTGGTGGGGTCTGCGGTAGGTTTCATGTCTTCTGTTGTCGCAAGTGTATAATATTGCGAGTCTGACGTGGAGTATCTTGATAGGTCGTTGGTCGACTTTCGGTCTGGCTCGCGATCGCCCTTCTCGTCTCCACCTTCTCGGCAATGGGGTCTCTAGCCCTGCGACTACCTTTCGGAGACCCGGACTCAAGCGTCTACTTCAACGGCTTCAACAGCGTCACCCTGCACGCAAACCTGTTCCCCCACTTCACAACCGACTTAGGCGTGCAGCAAAGTCTACGGTCCGTGTTTTCCATCGTCTTCCCCGCCTGCACAGGTATCCTCGCCGGCGCCTCCATGAGCGGCGACCTAAAAACTCCCAGCCAGTCCATCTCAAAAGGGACCATTCGCGCGATGGGGTTCACGTACATCTTGTATGTCGTCCTGGCGCTGTTGATTGCCGGGTCGATCGATCGGGCGGTGTTGAGGACCGATCTGAATGTTTTGCAGGATGTGTCGATTGTTCCGGCGTTGGTGGCTGTGGGTGTCGCTGCTACGTGTTTCTTTTCCGCGTTGGGGAGCTTGCTTGGGGCTGCGAAGATGTTGCAGGCGATCATCAGAGGTATTGTCGATGGTATCAGCGGAACGCATATGACCTCACCACCACTGATACTTCGTGAAACTACTTTATAGACGATCTACTTCCCATTCCTGCTAAAGCTCGTGAAGCCCTGTCGGGCGGGGATGAACCTGTATGGGCGATTTTCTTGACGTTCGGCCTGATCCAAGCTGCGCTGTTCGCAGTTAGCGATATGAATCAGGTGGGCTTTTCTGTCTTTCCCTCGTCTCCTAATTGTGTTACTCGCTTACATCGCTTTCGAAGATTGCACCTTACGTTGCGATGTTTTCGCTGCTGACGGTATGGCTTAACACAGAGCGCCGTCCCAGTCTCTTCTCGCACCCCTTAATCCTTTTCATTCTCAGTTCGGAGTCCTGAACCTCGCCTGCCTCCTCCTCCGCATCTCCGGCTCCCCCAACTTCCGCCCGTCCTTCAAAACCTTCTCCTGGCGCACCGCCGCCTCGGGTTTCGCCGGCTGCCTGGTCGCCATGTTTGTCGTAGATGACATCCACGCCATGTACTCCTGCGTGTTGGGAGGCGCTTTGTTTGTGGTTATTCATTACTCAGCGCCGCCGAAGAGTTGGGGGGATGTTACGCAGAGTTTGATTTATCATCAGGTCAGGATAGGAATGGGATGTGGTGGGATGTGTGTACGTTTGCTGACTGGGTGGTGATCGTAGGTCCGGAAGTATCTCCTGCGGTTGGACGTTAGGAAGGATCATGTCAAGGTATGCATGCCCGGTTACGGCATTAGACAATTCGGCAACCTAATCGTATCCTCGATAGTTTTGGCGTCCCCAGATATTGGTCCTTGTACAAGACCCTCGGCAGGATTTGCTTTTCATAAAGGTAAGCGTCCACAGGCTCGGTTAGGAAGCGTATGAACGACATCTAATAAACGCTTCCTGGCCCTCAGTTCTTAAACGACATGAAAAAAGGCGGCCTCTTCGTCCTAAGTCACATCATAAAAGGAGACTTCACTACCAAGCTACCAGACTACAAGAGGCAGCTCCCCGCCTGGTTGCGATACATCGATATCGCCCATGTCAAGGCGTTCGTGCAGCTTACGATTTCGCAGAACGAGCGTGTTGGGGCGCAGAATTTGCTTTTGGGGGGCGGCCTGGGTGGGATGAAGCCGAATATTATCGTAAGTCGGAGGCGTATGTTTCAGCCGTGGGTATCAGTGAGTGAGCGGTTTGCTAACATGTTGCACATTTCAGGCCCTAGGCTTCCTCGAAAGCAACCGCCGCACCCCCGACTCAGACGAGGAATCCCTCACAGGCTCCCACACCGGCGGCGCCTTCACCATGTACTCCCGCACCAGCCCCGCACACAACCTCGCGGAACAAGTCGAGGAACTCAACAGGGACCCGTTAGCTGCCGACCTACCCAACTCCGTCGATCTGGACGACGGGATCGCGGAGACGGATTATGTGGGGATTATTGAGGACGCGTTGGCGTTGGATAAGGCGGTTGCGGTGGCGAGGGGGTTCGAGAGGTTGGAGAGGGGGCCGGAGGTGAGGAGGAAGAGGATGGCGCAAGGGAGGTTGACGAGTTATGCTGTTGAGGAGTATAAGCGGTGAGATTATGGGATTGGCACGAGTGCGCGTGTGGGATAGAGCTGATGATATTCACAGGTTCTCGATCTTCCTCTCCAACCGCTTCTCCCAAGCCTTCCCCGACAACGTCATGTTCACATCCCCCAACGAGGCCTCCCCACTCCTCCCTTCCAACTCAAGCACCACTTCCAGCGGCTCCGACTCCCAAACCAAAGAACCACCCAAACCGCAGTACATCGACCTCTGGCCAATGCAGCTAGCCCAATCGGGTAGCGGCAGGGGAGCGTACAGCTTTGAATCGTACACGATGGTGCTGCAGTTGGGAACGATCTTGCATATGGTCCCGCATTGGAGGGATAGCTATAAGCTCCGGACGGTGGTTTTTGTGGAGTTTGAGGGGGATGCGGAGGAGGAGAGGGTTAGGGTGGCTGCACTGCTGCGTGGTCTCCGTGTTGATGTGAGTTTCTCGTTCCACCATTTCACACACTTTGTTTCAACAAACCTGAAGAGATAATCTTTTCCAAGGCTGAGGTACACATGGTCTACCTCCGCCCACACACCGGCCCCTCCTCATCACCCGAATACGAACGCATCTGCCGCGAAATCTCCCGGAACATCAGCCCGACCGATACCTCACGGCGTCTATCCGCCCGATTATCAAGCACACGTCTCTCCCGCGAATACCTCTCCACGTTCAACGTCAAAGATTACGATGGTGATGCGGAATCATCTCGCGGTGTTCGGTCACCACCATCGCGGAGACAGATACCGATATTCGACAGCCTCCCAACCCGCATGCAACATATAATCCTAAACGAATTGTTGCAACATTGGTCGGGGCATGCGACTACGGCGGTAGTTTTGATGACTTTGCCGGCGCCGGAGCCTGGGTTTGTTATTCTCCTCCTTTCTTCCATATCTTTTGCGTCGCTTTAACCGTATGACTTTTTTTTTGATTGATAGAACGGCGGATAATAGTGAGAGATCGACGACGTATTTACAGGAACTGGATTTGTTGACGAAGGACTTGCCGCCGACTTTGTTGGTGCATGGGAAGGGGTTGACTGTTACTATGGAGCTATGAGAGTGCTTTCCTCTAGGTATCTTTACGGGCGGTGGTACATGGTTGGACATCCATCCCTATTATATTAGAGGGCGGCGGCGTACGTGTAAATAGGACCTTGAGATTCAAACGCAAATAAGAAGTTGTCACCACTTTCGAAATACCGAATCATAAATGATACATTGTGTTATGCAGCACATTCAGTCGTTGGCAGTCCGAGAATGCGCCGACGGCGTTTTTCGGTGATTTTCAGAAAACCCTGGCGAGAAGAATGCTGTCAATGTCCAAGAACGCGCTGTCGGAATCGTCGAAATCACGAAGTCCTACTACTAAATTTAGATGTTTTCGAGTGCCGTAAGCAGCTCCGAATCCGAAAAGTCGCCCGTTAACTTTGATTAAACGTGAGCGTTATTTTCTCTTGGCGCTGTTTGCGGGAATGATTGAAAGGCCAAGGGGTGTTTACCTGCCCCTAAGCCCAAATAGACATCTACAGAAGGCGAGGTCGGTGTCCAGAAAGCCTCTTTTTTCGGGTGTGATCGGCTGTCTTGGCAAACGAAGGTTTCGGGGTCTCTGTAGAGCAGAGCGCACTCTCTGTTGAGCAGAGGGATATATCGTTAGTAGCAGGCTTGCGTTGAACCGCAGCAATAAACATCATACACAAAACCGTCCATCGGCTTCCTCCCTTATAAAAGTCCGAACTAGCACTTTCCAATCCCCCTCTTCCCTCCATCAACCCCATCACTCCTCGCCCACCACGTCCTACCCAACCCCCTCAGCGCCAGACGCAATGCCTAATACCCACCAAGTATACCCGACCGCCTACGACGACGGCCAGCAATGGGCGGCGGCCCGGAATAGCGGTCCGCCACAGGGCTACCGCATGCCCCCGCAACAACACCCCGGGGGCGGTGGCGGTGGATTCTACCCACCAGCCCAGCCGCATCAGCAGTACTACCCCCAACAGCCGTACGCCGCCCCGCCTGCCCATTCACATGCGTACAGCGAGCCCGTGTACAGGCAGCCGCCACCGCAAGGGCATTACCAGCAGGCGCCCCCACAGCAGCAGCACTATAAGCAGCCGCAGGGATACCCCGCTGGCCCGAACCCGTATATCCAGCGAACCGCGCAGGAGAACCAGGATGGGATATACCCGGCGCCGTTGCCGCAGCAGCAGGGGCGGGGCGGTCCCCCCGCTGGAGGGAACCCGAAGTATGAGATGGAGCCGGCGCCACGGGCGGAGAATATCTATAATCGGAAGTGTAGGGATGTGATTTGGTTGATTATTTTTCTGATCATGTTTGCGGCTATGTGTGCTGTGGGATACTATTCGATTCGTTATGGGAATGTTGATAGGTGAGTAACGTGGGATTTGGCACACAGAAGGATGGAGCTGTGGTATTAACACTGGTTCAGGTTGATCTACGGCCGCGACTCCGAGGGGAACCTCTGCGGCGCCCCCAACGGCACCGACTCCTCCCGCGATCTCCGAGGGCAGACAGACTTAGTCTACTTCCTCAACGACAACGATTACCGCCGCTGCGTCGACGGATGCCCATCTGTAACAGCCGACTACAACACCGTGATCTGCAAATACGACGTCGTCATCGCCGCCTCCGTCTCCGACAGGGCCGCCCAAATCCAAAGCGGCGACTGCTCACTGACCATCGAATCCAAAGCCGTCCTCAACCGCTGTATCCCATTGCAGCTGCTAAGCGACATCCAGACCGCCGCCAACGCGTCGCTTCACAACCAGACGTACACAGCCTCGGGCTACTCCTTCGAGTTTGCCCGGCTCTTTTCGGCGGAACTGGACGCCCGCGACGCAGCGACGGCGATCTTCCAAGACCTTGCGCAGAACTGGTGGGTCATCCTCGTCTGCGTCGGGGGTTCGTTCGTGCTCGCGTTCCTCTATATGCTGCTGCTGCAGTGGTTTGCGTCGTTGATGGTGTGGGGGAGCATCTTTGTGGTTCTCGGCGTCGCGTGGGCGCTGGGGTTCTACTTTATCTACAATTATGTGCGGATCAAGGTGTTGCATCAGAATATGCTGAGCGTTGGGTTTTCGCAAATCGATTCGGTGCTCTATAATGAGAAGCTGTTGCTGGTTCTAGGTATGTTCAGGAAACGGTGCTATCTGTTAGAAGCCGCGCTCACAGAATCTTGTGTCGAATAGGTTGCATCACCGGAGGAATCGCTCTGATCCTAACGCTAGTTATCCTATGCCTGGGCCGGCGGATCCGCCTCGCCACCAAAATCGTCAAAGAAGCCAGCGCCGCCCTGCGCGCAATGCCCTTCATTGTCTTCTTCCCGTTCCTCAAGTACACCGTCATTCTCATCTGGATGGCCGTGTTCGTGGCCGTGATGGCGCTCCTGGCCACATCAGGCACGGAGATCACAACCGCGGTGGAGGGCGACGTCAACGACCAGCTATCGAAGACGGGAAAGAAATACGAGAACCAGCCTACGCTGCAGTATCTTCAGATTTACTTTACGTTTGGGTTCCTTTGGGTTTATAACTGGATTATCGCTATTGGGCAGACTACGATAGCAGGTAAGAGCCCCAAATTTGTGTTTTTGCGCTTTTTGAGGTATATTCCTAATACGTCATGTCGCACTGTAGGATCGATAGCAACATGGTACTGGGCACGGGACAAAAAGAACCTCCCATCCTTCCCCGTCATCCGCGCCCTCGGCCGTACATTCCGCTACCACCTCGGATCTCTGGCGCTAGGATCTCTCCTAATCGCCATCGTACAGCTGATCCGATTGGTGATCTTCGAGATGCAGAGGAGGCTGAAGGGAACGGGCAACAAGGCAGCGCAATATTTGCTCTGCTGCCTGCAATGCTGTTTCAAATGCATCGAGGCGATACTGAAGATGTTGACGAAGAATGCGTATGTGGAGATTGCGGTTTATGGATACAGTTTCTGTACGGCCGCGAGGATGGCTATGCAGTTGATCGCTGCGAATATCGTTAGGTATGTGGAACTTCAACTGACCTTCGATAACCTCTCAGAAAGCGCGATGGCTCATACACACGCTCTCTACTTGTTTAGGATGGTGGTGGTCCACAAAGTGGGCACCTTCCTCATTTTCGTCGGCAAACTCTGTATCGTCCTTATCACAACACTGGGCGGCCTCGGTCTCCTGGTCCATCTCGAAGGGAAGGACCAGGTTTTCGCCAACTACGCCGTCCCTCTGATCTTCATCATCATCTTCTCCTACCTGACGGCCTCCGCTTTCCTGTCGACGTTCTCGATGGCGATTACGACGATCTTCTTGAGTTTCTGTGAAGACAGCCAGAGGAATGATGGAAGCAGGGAGCGGCCGTATTACATGTCGAAGAACCTGGAGAAGTTTGTTGATAAGCATGCGCATGATAAGCCGATGGTGTGAGGGGTGGCAGGGCCTGAAGGAAACGAGAGAAGAACAATGTCTGTCGGGAGTTAGCTGATATTGCATGACACTATCTGAGGAATTTGTGGGACAGTGCGAAAACAAAATAGCGGACGGGGGCAATCAGGCGCTATTGAGTTCTTTCTGAAAGTTGGAGTGATTTTGTCATAGGGAATACATGGCTGAGCAACGAACGGTTAAGGCCTTCATATCCTCAAAGGAGAAGAAACCCGGCTACATTCAGTGCATAGAGGGCAAGCTTGGTGAATGCGCCTACGAGCGGCAACTGAGAGATATCTCTTCTTCTGCCTCGAGAGCAACCGGCCCCGTGACCAACGGGAAAGACTAATCGTGTTCTTTACACATGACTAGAGTCGCTGAAGCAGACATTGATAGGTTTCTACTGCAGACACGCTTCCACGACCGCCGTATCAAGTGCCTCAACTTCTGCCCGCATTCTTTTAAAGGACGCATGGAGCACGTAACTCATTCTTCAATCGAGTATAGACGCCATGTCCAGTGACAGAAAGAGTATGCGCATAGGGAGACACGGAGTCCATATCCCTTCTCTCGGCACACCGAAGGTCAATATGCAGCAAGGGGTGGTATGACTCGTAGTCTCAGCACTGCTATCCCAAGATTCCCAACCCAGGGTGCATGTCCCCAACAGAAATCGGCACGTACCCTCAAGCCAAGAGCCTCAACGTTACGGGCAGACAGAGATGATTTATAAACCTTGCCTTGAATCTAATCCATTGTTGTCTGAGGTTGGCTAATGGAGTCTCTCGCCGCGAAAACTAGCGGCTCGGGAGTATCTTTCCTCGAAGGCGAACCAGGGGTCCCTTGAGAACGGGGCGGGTGGGATCTCCCGCACCCAACACACATGCAGCTCCGTAAACCTGCCTTCGTAAACCTGCATGCTGTCCCATGGCCGGCACCCGGTTTCAGCCCGCGCTACATTAACTTGCAGGCTGCCGTCGGACTGCCGTCGGAGTCGGAAGCTGCTTAGTAACGGCAGTTGGCGCCGCAAGTCGCGCGGTCCCTTTATGTTGTCTAGATCTAAGGATAAGTACAGTACTACCAGATCTTAGCTTAACTCCAGATCTACATAACGCAACATGAACGAATTCATGTCCCGGAGCGACTCACATGGACATTACAGTGAAGAACCGTCTCGGGTAACTATCATAGCACACAGTGGTTAGGCCATAGGACCAATCACAGTTGTTTAGGAATGATCATATGAGCCATCTTCCGTGTCTGCCTACTCAAAAGTCTTCCTGTAGTTAGCCTGATTCCGTGTCTGCTGCGAACGGCTGATCTGCGCCGAAGTATATAGTCCTCCTCGTCTCCTCCGCTTTACTCCACGTTCCTTAGTAGGTCCCCTCCTGTTCCGCTTCTTGAGCTTCACTAATCCCGACCAGCATCGATTAGAGCTATCGCATGATGGTCTCCCCCAAGAACCTCGAGGCGTCGACCAGCACCGTCCCCAACATCACCATCCCCGCCACCCCGCTCATCACCGCCGCCCTAGCGTACGTTCGCGAGCTCAGCAACTCTTTCACCTACAATCATGTGGTGCGCTGCATGCTCTTCGCCTTGCACATTGGCGCTCGCCACCCCGCCGCCTTCCCTAGTTTTGACGCTGAGCTCGTCGCCCTCGCCTCCATTCTGCACGATCTCGGATGGGAGACGCTGTCTGAGAACGCCAGCACGACCGCCGCCGAGCAAAAGCCTCCCAACCCGCTCATCAGCGGGGACAAGCGCTTTGAAGTCGACGGCGCCAACGCCGCTCGGGCCTTTGTGCTTAAGCACGCCCCTTCCGCGGCGCAAGACGCGTGGCCCACCTCCCGCCTCCAACTGCTATGGGACGCCATCGCATTGCATACCAGTCCCAGCATCGCGTTGCACAAAGAGCCTGAAGTACGGCTGATTGCATTGGGACCCTTTCTTGACTTTCTCGGACCGGATACTCCTATCCCGCTCCCAGTAACCGGGCTGCAGGACGGCGAGCAGATAGTCCTTGAGCGGGAGGTGTGGGATGCGGTGGTGGGAAAATATGGAAGGGAAGGGTTTAGAAGCGGCGTCAAGGAGATGATGTGCCACTTTTGTCGAGTGAAGCCGCATACGACGTGGGATAATTTTGTGGAAGAGTTTGGGGAGCTATTCGTGGACGGGTACGACAGGGCTGGGAAGACGATTGCGCCACTTCTTTTGGGCGCGAAGGAAGCAGAGTAGAGCGTTGTTGCAGAGGATACGAACTTATCATAGCGTTAGATAGGTGGACTCTCCAGTGCAGGGTCGGATTGCCCCTCTCTTTTTGCGGAGTTGCGCAGAGGGGCCGGCACAGGGGAAAAAAGAGATGGAGGTTGCTAGAATAGATGCAGGTGACGCTGCCCATTCTGCGTCCCTCCTCCGAAACGGACGCCATCAACGCTAAACGCAAGCCTCCCCGCGAGTCTGCCCGCGAGTACGCCGTCGGCGCTTGGGTGTATGTGCAGGTGCCAGTAGTTTCTTCCATTGTCCGACGAGAGTAGGCAGATTCGTAGGGATCGTTTCATCGCCAGAGGGTTGCCCAATCCAGCCAGCGATAGACGCAAGCCAGCAGCATCTCATCATGACATAAAAGCCACCGAAATACTGGCTCTATAGGCTCTATAGGCTTTTATGTCATGATGAGATGCACTTCTCCGAAGCCCCTCCCATCTCTGGCAACCTCATTCTTCCAGGGGCGGTTGCGTCTTCGGCTCAATCTCCAGTTCCGCAGCAGAAGGCTCCGGGACGAATGATGTCCGCTGGCCAACTCCACCCGCATCGGAACGCCCCTTGTCAAAATTTCTATCTATCTCAGGGTCTTGGCATCCGGATAGAGAATGGGCAGCGTCACCTGCATCTATTCTAACAACCTCCATCTCTTTTTTCCCCTGTGCCGGCCCTCTCTGTAAGAGTGCCGATCGGCGGGGTCAGGGGACACAATCGCATTCTGCACCGTCCACACCGGTACCGTCCACACATCTTCCCCAGTTCCCATTTCGTGCAAGTCCCTCCTTTTCTCGAGCCACAATGACAAGTCTAACTTTCCTCCAAAGTGAGTTATACATCGTCTGTCTTTGGAGACCCCCCCCGTCGAAGTCCAACTGACGAGCTCTCCCGCCCCAGAACAAGCAGAAGTTGAACGCCTCGCCGAAGACATCCTCATCGAAAAGCAGCTTGTAATCGATCTCGACCGGCGGCGAAACGATAACCGCATGGCCCTGCGTTCCATCCAAAAAACCTCCTCCTCACAACCCGGTAACGTCCCCATCCCCCCTCCCATTTCCCATCTCATCATCCGTTCCCACTAACAACCCCCTAACAGACAAAAAAACCTACTTCTTTGCCGGAGGCCTTTTCATGAAACTGCCCACCTCCTCCGTCAGCACGCTCCTCACGGAGGACCAGACGAACATTGATGGGGAGATCGGGCGGTTGAGGGAGAGTATGAAGGAGAAGGCGTCGCAGTTGGATGTGCTGGAGCGGGGTGGGGAGCGCGGGGAGGGGAGGATGAAGGGGTTTGGGTTGAAAGGGATGGGGAAGGACGAGTTGAGGAATATTGCGAGGCGGTGATGATGGCGGAGAGTATCTAAAACCAACCCCGTCGACTACGGCACTATATATTTCACACAAAAATACCCCATATGTACATACGTCCTCAGAGCACGTCTCCTAATCTCAAAACAAATGGAAAGGTGACAAGAAACCGGCCGCCCTCCTAACTATTCCCGTAATTCGAACCCTACGTCATCTGTTCTCTGACTGGCATATCCTACTCTTACTTTCCGTCTCGCTACTCGCCGACAGAACCTCATCTCGGAGAAATGTTGCATGCTATGCGAGCTTAGCCTCTGTATCCTCCTTCCTTCTCACCACTTCGGTGCCACGATTCCCGCCCGCCCCCCTCCCTTCTCATCGAACCCCCCTCACTTCGAATTCGCATACTTCTTAACCCACTCCCTCACCGTCTTCTCAAACACCGGCCGGTCGGAATTATACACCTGCGCAATCGACGACTGCAGCGCGTCCTCGGGCACCGGGTTTTGCAGAAGGTCCACGAGGGCTATCAGCACGTCGGCTATCTTGGTTGATGGTTTCCACACCTAAAGGAATGACCACAATTACATTAAGACACGGGGAGTCTGAGGAGGGTTGGGGGGAGCACATACCTCGGTTTTTAATAACCCGATACAGATGGTCCCGTCGTCGTCGACGTTCGGGTGGTAGATCTTGGTCGTGAACTTGATGGATGGGGGTTTGAAGGGGTAGTCTGGTGGGAACTCGATGGTGAGCTGGAATGTGCCGCCTTTATATGCGCTGGTGTCCTATTGATTAAGGAATATGGTGATTAGCTTTCCACACATGGGCGAAGGAAGGATGATGACGCGGTTTGGCCTTACGGGAGCGGTTAATGCGCCTTTCCAGTGCAGGATATCGTCATCGCTCACGGGCTGAGCGGAGGCGTTTAGGGGCGGGTTCTTGGCTAGGTCTACCAGTTCCTGATACGAGACTTTTATGTCAGTTTGGGTCTCCGATAAGAGCGACGAAAGTGGTGCATGCAAGATGGGCTTACATACCTTTTGAATTCGGCGCAGGGCCATGGCTTGTTGTGGGCGTTGTAAGGGCGGAGAAAGGTGAGAGGGACAGCTGCTTGACGAGGAACAAGTACTACGCTTCCTTGCTGTGCTCTGCTCAGCCGATATCTGAATGTGATTCTTGTGATTTGCGTTGTTTTTCCCAGGGGATGTTGATTCCATGACGCGCAACTCTTCCCTCGCATCACACGGTGCAGACGTCCACACGGTGCAGATCCATGACCGCGACGGCACGAGCCTTTTCCGCATCCGCTGCATGAGGCGTCCCTCCTTCGAAACGGACGCCATCAACGCTAAACGCAAGCCTCCCCGCGAGTACGCCGTCGGCGCTTGGGTGTATGTTCACCGTAATGAACTCGATACGACCTACGTTTCGTCCCGCAAGTTAGTTAACCGCTGGACTGGGCCCTACCAAGTTTCCAAGGCATACCCCGGTGGCGCTTACCTCTTACTCGACGAAAACGGGAATCCAGCGTTCAATTCGCGCCCGGTGAACCACTTGCGCCTGGTTCCCGCTCGGATCCGCCCGGCTTGGCACGTTCCCGCGTTTAATGCGCCCTACAACACCCCCCTCCACGATGATCAAGAGGATCCACCCCCTCCCAACGCTACGCCAGAAGAGATCGACGCTACATCAGAAGATATTGGAGCCCACCAGTCCTACGGCGGTTGAAATGGGACTTATACATGAAGATGGCGAAGATGAGGAGGGCGTTGCGGTGGACGACGAATCTGAAACTTTCGCGGGATTAGAAGATGAGGAAGTGGCACCGCCGGCATCCTTGATGATTGAAGAGGTGGATGTCGTTGCCAAATTCCGCCAATTCCAGGAGACGATGGCCGACAAGAAATATTGGTATGTGCGATGGCCGGTCCTTTTCCCCCCGGTGCATTGGTACTGAGCCGATGGTCCATAGTCAAAGTCTTTCTCAGGACAACATCGTTGACCTGACGGAAGGTAGCCGCTTCCTCAGTGACCTTGGCTCAAAAACAACCAAGGAATTGAAGACTTTCCTGCTGAACGGCGTCGATTTCCCTCAGGCGTTGAACTGGGAGAATGAGGAAGTGGGAGCCAACATGAGCCAAAAGTCAAGGGTTGCAAACTGACGAGCCTCCCACCATTTAGATCAGTCGATTAACAAGGGAATGCATGAAACCTTTGTGGGTGGCTGCTCTGGTCTATTCTGCGTGGTTCAGATTCACCTAAGATGTGCTTTTAGCAACATTGCATTTACCAGAGTCACAAATCCCCTTGCAAAAATTGGGGAGACAGAGTACACTACCGCGTACCTTTCGCCTTTCCTAAAAGCGCCACTGGAAAGGTCTATGGAAGCATATTGCTACTGCGACGAGGAGTTCTCCGAAGCTACTATATGGCGAAAAAACCTGGATCTCGATGCGCTAACGGAGACCCAAAGGCGGGGTCACCGTGTGGACGGCATCATCCGGTGGTCTCCCGCCTGGGAACTAGGCATGCTGGAGACGTCCGGTGCGCCCTTGTCGGAAGACCGCACGAAAACTGCAGCGGACCATTACAAACTTGCGCGAGAAATGAGTATGGATTCTTAGCAATGTTCTTGTATTAAACTGACTTGACCTTTCTCCTCAGTTGCGGGACGCGTACGCGTTCACAGTTCATACCCTCAAGCACGACCACTACCGATCACCAGATCCAACAAAGCTGGTCATCTGCGGATTCCAGGCAAGTGGCTTCAAGCTGCATCTCCGTGTTCTCCTGCGAATCCAAGGATTGTTCTGGTTGGTCCCGACAAAGACCGTCATGCTGCCGCAATCAACACAGCAACTAAAGCTGGCCTCAAGGGCACTTGCCGAAGTCTTGAAGATGCACCAGATGATCCGCCGAACCGGCGAGTACCTCAACAATTTGATCCTTGACGACTCGGACAGCGACGCCCCTGCTTCACTGGATATCAAAACGACATCCGCCACGCCTGCAAAGGCCAAAAAGCAAAAGGAGGCTGGGAAGTGAAGTTTGTTGTCTGACTTAAAGAATAAGGGGAAGATCATGCTCCGGTCACATCACAACCGCCCGGTAACAACTGCCAGGTTAGGATCTGGGCGTGGACACACTAGGACTGACGGGCTCGCGACGCGCTTCTCCCCGAACCCTCCGAACCCTGACGCTCTCTGCTTCACTCCAACAGCCCAACCCGCCATCTTGCTGACGGCAGGTCCGCCCAGCTTGCAACGTCGGTTGTCGTCACGGGAAGCCCCGCCCAGCTTGCAACAAGTCCGACACTGTGCTTCTGTTTCACGTTGGGCATGGTGTCTCACATCTGATCTGATCCTACAAGGTGACCGTAGAGTTCTCTGTCCGACACAGCACGCGGAAACGCGTATTATCCTGCCGAGGTAAGCTATATGCACACTTTGCTGCTGTGCGTGCTGCAGCGGCAAGGTTGCTCAGCGGACTGGTTTCCAGCACTTTTTCACGCCTGAGACATTTCGTGATTTCGTCACAAGCAAGGATTTGGCACCGGAGACTTTAGTCACGATCTTCGCCTCACTCGCCAAGGAACCCGGCATCGACAATGACATGCTTTTTTCGTTAACCGCAGCAAATCATAGAGATCGTTTCATCCGCGCCGTTAAAACTGTGCAACTTGAAGCGCATCATGCTGGTGACAACTCTACGCGCAACTTGTTTCGAAGATTGGTACAAAATCTGGTAAGTGGCGGATTCCAGATTCTGGGCTCCGCCACTTACCAGATTTTGGGCTGTGCTAAGGCTGCAACAAATCGGGGCATCGGGTGAGGCTTGTTACCCTGCCGATGCACCGGGAGTACGTGCAAGAGTTTCATCCCTCGTTGGAGCTTGTTGTATGCTGCTGGACGAACTACGCACTGGTTGATCGGACAATGAGCATGCCTCGAATAGATGCATTGGATGCGGTTTGTTACCCTACCAATGCACGGGGATAGGTGCAGAACTTGTCATCCGCGTTGGAGGTGCCATTGATAGTCGTAGTCGGAACGGCCACCTAAGCTGTGGTAATTTTAACTCTTGCTTCAACGGGCTCGGACCACAATTTCTCGCTTTTCCAAAGGTATTACCATACCAAGTTAGACCATGGAGATGTGGGGCGACGGCTATGGGAAGCTTATGGCAAAGGTTCGTCACTGTGCCTTGCTCTCCCTGCAACGAAGAACTCATCGCATCTTTCGGCGTTTCTCGGATGTGGAGCACCAGGAGCCTCTCATCTGCTATTCCAGGAAAGTGGCTTCAAGCTGCATCTCCGTATTCTCCTGCGATTCCAAGTATCGCTCGTCCAGTAGTGGAAAGCTCATTGATTTCCGCAATAGAATCATATACACCCCTGGCAGCGCAAGCAAAAGGAGACATGCCACCACATACACCGCAGAGCTGGAAACGACGAGACAGCAGTCGCAAGAAGAGCAAATGATGCTCATGAACAAGGCGATAGAGGCGAACAATCAGTGGGCAGAGCGTTTGGTCGCTGAGAATAAAGCTGCCACCGGACGAGTGCTCCGCCAAAAAGACGACGCGCACCGGGCTGGGGTATGCGTTTCCGTGTGCGGTTGATCCTGACAAAGTGCTCAGCCAGTGCAGACGAGTTATAGGAAAGGAGCTGTAGCTAGCTCGCACATTAGACGATGTTAGCATCCTCAACGACAGCGGATCACTATATCAAGAAGCAAGGGTTGGAGAATCAGCCTCGTGGTGTGGATTCTGGCGGAGTCCACGGATTGCTGTGACGTAAGCGTGTTCTTCGAATGCAAACCGTCAAAAGAGGTCAGTCGCAGACGGGCCCCTGTCAAACAGCCGCCGCAGAAAAAGGCGGAATCTGGCCGGTTTGCGAGAATCAACAGATTCCTAGCCTTCAATACTTTTACCTGTTGAGACTCAACCCACATTTTCTGGATCAACTGCATTCATCTATCCTTTCCCAACATGAGCTTCAATCCGGAAACATCGCCTGTCCGCAACTACGACGTCAAGAACGAGCTCGACCGCCTGCGCCTGGGCGATGACCGATCTCCGAACACCGGCCCAACCACGAATCTGGATGCCGGCGCCAGCAACTACCACGCAGTCTCAAGGACACAACCCCATGCACCACATTCCTACGGGACCGTTGGGCAAGGCCTGACATCCTCTATGGGAGGCCAACCCAGCCAGGCTGCCCAAGCCGCCTACACCGCCCTCCAAAACGGCCCCCTCCACACGCCCCTCCCCGGCGGCCGCCAACCGTACTCCGGCCCCCTTCCCACCCCTCACAACCACTTCTACCACCACAAAAGCGACCCGAAAACCCAAACCGTAACCCTGACCACAACCACCCAGCTTCCCCACAACGGCAGAGCGCTCGAGGCCACAGACACGTACAGCTACCGCCGCCCGGAGACGAGTAACGGGGAGTATGGAAATTTCCCGCGGCATGCGCATAAGGAGTGTTTGGTTAACCAGGGGGTGGGTAACCATTTTGGAAAGGTGGTGAGGAGCGGTGATAGGGTTGTGCCGTTGGGTGGTCCGGGGTAGGCGGCTCGGGGGCCCCGTCAGTTATAATTGTCTTTTCTGGTTTGTATTTTGCAGTCACTGATCATGCCTTTTCTCGGGTTTTTTTTTCGATTTGCAGGTCTGCTGAACAACGCCCTGGATTGGCACGCCATGGTGCGGGATTTGCGTGAATCCTCTCGCCATCGACCCTCACGGTCCCTTCCCTCGTAGTTGGCCCGGCGAAAGATGATCATTGCCAAAACTTATGTACACAGCCCTTCATATAAAGATATTCTCTAAACAAATACCAGACCCGTATCCCCCCTCATCACTCAGGGCCCCCCACCCCCACCCGCCTCCTGCCCTCGTCCCGCCCTCGCACCCCCCGTAAACAAGTCCTTCTCCAACCCCTTCAACCTCCCCCAATCGGCTCTCATGCTCAAAAACGGGTGCAGCAGCTGCATCTCGATCCTGCTCAGATGCCCCTCGTTCATCACTGTCTTCAAGTTCTCCGGGCGCACGACGAACAGGTTGGCGAGCTCGCGGAGCATGTCGAAGCGCTCGGAGAGGAGGGGGATTGAGAGGGTGGTTATGGAGTGTTGGTAGGCGGCCATGTCGCTGTGGGAAGGGGGGGAGGTGTTTAATGGATGGGGGAGGGACCACTGATTTCGAGTGTGGGATCTGGATCTTACGTGAGGAGGATGAGACCACCGGCTTGACTGACGGTAAACTTCTTGAGATGGTCCAGCAGCAGACTAAAGTGGATAGCAAATCATCAGGTTAGCGCCGATCAAACCAAAGCAAGCCGTGCGGTTTGATTTAGTACCTTTGAAACGAGATCCCAATCTCCGACAAGAAATTCTCCAGATTACTCCCGGCGAGACACGTCCCGCCGCGTTGATGCACGAGGGATAGAAAATCGCAGACTTGGATGCATGTCTAAGAAAAAACCAACAGATGGTATCAAAACACACCATTGGGGATCCAGAGTGAAGTCCCACCCACTGGTCGAACGAGAAAAAAACAACCAACTCACGGGACTAGGCAAGATCTCCTGATCCCCCGCATCGTCCTTTGGTTTAAAATCGGTTTTCTTTTGTGTGCCGAGGAGCGTGCCGAGCCAGCCCACGATGGCTGGGTAACCATCAGAAAACAATGTCATTTAGCGAGCACAGAGCGCGCGGACGAAGGAAATGGGATGGGATGTGTTATTACCAGTGATTTGTTTCTGCACAAGCACGTTCAACCGATGCTCGACGGTCGACATGAACGAGTTTTTGTAGACGACCATGTCGCGGTGGGCTGTTGGGGAGGCGGAGACTACTGGGGCCTTTCCAAAATGATAGGGGGTTAGAAATGTGCGCGGGACTTTGAATCTGATGGTGGGACTTACGATCGAGCTTTGGAAATGGAATTGCAGCAATTGGAGCACTTTCTGCGCGACTTGGACCATTGGTAGCTGCTCGAAGGTGGGCGGGAGGCGGGGGTCGCTGTATTGGAGGTCTTCTATCATCCTGCGGGTTTTTGGAAGATAGCGAGTTTGTCATGTGGATGGGGAGATGATGAAGGGGAGGAGGGAAGCCTACATGTCCAATGCCACGGCGAGGTATTTGACACCCACAGTCTCGACGAACAGCTTGAAAAGCGTACTTCCATTCGCAGCCCTGCTCACCAACATACCATTTACTTCAATCAAGATGAAAAAGCGGGGCGGGAGTGCAAAATGAAGAACCACCTACATGTCACTCATCTTCGTCAACTGCCCACACCTCGCCATCGCCTCCACATGCAGTTCCAGTAACCCCGTCATCATCTGCACGGAGGGTAAGCCCATTTCTTCCGGGCTCATGCGTTCTGATGCGGGTTGCAAGCCGATGGTCTGCGCGACTTCTTGCCCGAGCACGTTCATGGTTGTGACGAACTTGGACATAATTGCTTCGGCGGAGGTTGGGGAGAGTTTTGTGGGGGAGGGGGGTGCGGCGCTGGAGGTGCTGGATTTGGTAACGGGTTTGCCGCGGGCGGTTTTGGAGCGTTGGATCTGGGGGAGAGAAATCTTGTCAACTTCGGTGGGTGCCGGTCAGGGATTGTCCGTATCAATGCACTCACAGTATACTCGTAGAACTTCCCCAGCGACTCATTGAACAGCTCGGTCAAGCAATACTGCTCCGCTTCAATGTACTTATCCCCCTCGATATGCGGGACGAACAGATCGTCGAAGGATCGGTTGATTGCCGAGGTCAGCATCGGTTTGCCGCCTTTGTCGGCCACGATGCTTTCGTCCAATTTGTGCAGGTCGTTGGCGAGCGCTGATATTGTCTGGTGGGAGGTTGAGAGGGCGCGGAGGTAGGCGAGATGAGACTCTTCGTTGCCAAGTGAGACCACGTTCTCCAGTTGGGTTTGGATCTAGGTAGTGTTATCAGCCGTGTTAGCGTATCGGTGCAATCGGTGAGTACCAGTATCATGGAAGGTGGTCTTACGGATTGAGCAAAGATCCTTTGAATGAACTGCTGCATGACTGTCTGCGGGTTGGGAAAGACGGCGCGGATGACCGCCCATTCCTCTTTACATGTTTTGCGGACTTCGTCGCATAGTGCGACCAGATCTGCCTGTTCTCTGCCGGACGTGAGTTAAGTCGAAAGAAGACGTGGAAGCCAACTACATCGATTTGACGGTGCCTGAACGTTCTGCGCTGTCTCACCTTGGGAGATCATCCACAACTTCTAGTTCTTTGACTTTGGCCCGATTCATGAAGAACTCGTGCTGGTTGACGTAGGCACGGATACACGACTCTCCTCCATTGAATTCTACCAGCGCACATGCGCATTCCTGCATAACCGACCAACATCTGTTTAGCGTCGCGCGATTCAACGGCTTGGAAACTACCCATACATACGTTCATGACCCGTCTGTCAAAGTCCCGGTATGCGTCATCGAACCGTTCGAGGAGCTCCTTTTCGAAATGTTCTGCGTAGCTTTCGATGTTGCTTCGTGCCTGTAGAGTAGGGGGGCTGTTTGAGTTGGGGTGAACTGATCCATTTCATGTTCATCCGAGACTCACGGCCTCCGTCCCTGGAATATCAACTTCTTTTGCAACGGCGCTCAACCGGCGCACGATGGTGGCAGTCTGCAGACCGTCGGGAGTCAGTCTGGTGCAATGAGGGAGGATTTGAGCATGATGATTGTGACGCACCTTGAACTCTCCCTCCGCGCCTTCATCTTTGACATCGTCCAGACGGCGGGTGTTTCCAGCGTTGAACTCTGCAAAGTATTGAATGAGATCCTTTGCTTCCGCTGCTCTCTGTCTTTGCTTGTCAATGGTCTCTAGCTGTTCTCCTGTGGATACATTGCGCAACCTTTTGTTAGGCTCATTTATCAGTTGAAGTACAAGTGCGATCAGCAACGGACACCAACCTATGCTGATGGCCGTCTTTCCCACATTTCCGAGTCGTGATTCTAGCGACTCAAACGACACATGTGCTTCCTAAGAGTGGATCAATGAGCGATCCGTGTTGTATAGAACCTTATGATCCGACGAACCTGCATCGCCTCATCAATCTCATGCAGGCTCTTCCTGCGCGCCGACTCGGAAGCCTCGGCCTGATCTTCCAGATCTTCGATCTTGTTATGTATCTTTCGCTTGAGCCTTAGTAGTTCATCAATCGCAGCTTCGAAATTGCGAATGAAAGGTTTCGGATCGAACTCTGTAGGTGCATCAGAGTCATACATTAAATCACTAGTACGGCTTCCTATCCGCCTTAGATCATACATACGGCGAGGCGTGGCTTGATTTTGGGTGAGGAGCTTTGACGACAGGGACTCGACAAACTCGATAGGCGCAAACTTTCCCTATAGCAAGATGCCAACAGGAGCGACATGAAATTGTGTCAGCAAGCAGTACTGCAGAGTTTCGCACGCATAGCTAGATCTCCTGACCTTGAAGTTTTCCAGCTTCACCAGCTCGCGAGGCGACTGTGAGTCCCCTGTCCCAACTTTGGACAAGCCCCCTTTTGCGGTACTGCCCGAACGCTGCCGAGTGGCCATATCTCTATCTCTATGCATATGCTGTTTGCGCGTATGTTTCAAGTCGGGAGGAACGCCTTTCTGAAGCCGGTCGGGAAAGCCCATCGGACGCAAGCGTCACGCGTTCCTTTCCGCCCGAATTCCCACCTTGAAAGTTGAACCCCGGCGGCATTTGAGGGTTGGAATTCGGACATCCACTCACGAGAAGGTCGCTCCCTCGGGTACCTTAGTATATAAAGAGCCTCTGCGGATAGAAGTGAGGGGTCGGGAGGCAGTGGCCGTGGAAGGAGACGCTTTTGAGACACACCCATCTTGGCCTTTTCCCGCCCGCTCCGCTACTGAGAATGTCATTCCTCTCAAACTTCGCCCGCTCTCGACCACCGCCAGAACCACAAAGTAATGGAGGACACCGTAGATCCTTCTCGACGCCCATGGATACGAAGGTGCAGGACCCGGGAATGGGAATGGGTGGAGGGAAGGAAATGAGGACCTCTCCGAGCGCCGACATCTTGACAAACTTGACAACAAAGAAGACGGCTATGACGATAACTGAGAACCCACTGGAAGACGCTATACAGAACGAACACGTTTGGACGGTTAAGGATATTGGGAATAATGCTATTTCTGTGAGTTGCGACCCCATTGCCCCGAAGGTGCAAGATTGCTGGAGGACTGTGCCGTAGGAGCAAAAATGCTTGCAGTCCCGAGCGATAGCGAGGAGAATGCTCGAGGTCTGGGAGCGACAGTGAGCGGCACCGCGACCCAGTGCGAAGTATGAGAGCCGCGAGCGAAGCGAGCGTTGGTCTTGAACTGCAACGAGGGACAGCGAAGCGCGAGGGAAGCCAGCCACATTGCCCAATACTTCCTTTAACTGAGGCTCTTAGCGAGCATCAACGAGCGTCAGATCTTTTAGCGAGCGAAGCGAGCTACGCTCCTGCCCGTCGCCGCCCAACCTCCTCTTCGCGAGCGGAGCGAGCAGGGTATCGTTTGTTGATGATTGATGGATTAACGGGTCGATGAAGGTTGATGAAGGGTCGATGATGGTCGTTGTGGTTGATGGTTGATGGATGATGGTCGATGGTGGTTGATCGTTGATGGACGGTTGTTGATGGTTGGTTGATGCTTGATGGATGAAGGATGAGTTGATGATGGTTGATAATTGATGGTTGATGTTCATGGATGTTGATTGTTGATGGTGCACTCACACTCACTCCGTTCCCACCTTTTCGTAGGGAATCATAAATGACCCTCATGACCAAGGGAAAGGTGGCGGGTCGAAAGTGCTAAAGGCGATATCATTGGGCGAAAGCTCACCAGCGCCGCCACCAACGAGCATCCGAAAGATCCAGAACAACGAGTTTGACCCTTACATCAAGTCCCTCGGAGACGTCTATAACAAATACCAGCTGAACAGAGCTCTAGGGTTGCAAAACGCCATAGAAGGAACTCCAATCCTCAGTCTTGGAATGGATGCAGCGTCCCCGTCTTTCGCCAACTTGGACGAGATCACGTCACGGCTGGGCCTCGCTCCAGCGGGAAAGAAAGGCCAACCTGCGGGAAGCCCCAGCCGTCCAAACCTCCGTCCATCAAACGCACCTGCGCTGGAAACGGTACCAAAGATCTTCATGGAGTCTGACTTTACACTCAGCAACCCACATACCTTTGCAGTCGTGTGTGAGAATGGGGACATCACCTCGCCTACGAATGCGGGCTCGACCACGACCAATGGCATTTTACAGGAGAAACTCTCCCACTATCTAGATACCGTGGAAGTGCATCTCCTCCGCGAAATCTCGCGACGTTCGTCCTCCTTCTTTGCGGCGTTGGCAAACCTACAAGCACTCCATCAGGAGACGCAGTCCTGCGTAGCACAGATTGGGGCCCTGCGGAAGAAGCTGAGCAACGTCAGTCGCACCAACGCGAAGCAAGGGGTGGAGGTGGTACGCCTGAAGAGGCGGCGAGGGAACATTGGGGTATTGTACGGGGTAGTTACCCTCGTAGCCGAGGTACGGCAAACGCAGCCAATGATACAGCTCTTGCTGGAACAGAGGGACTACGTGGCAGCGTTGGATATGATCGAGCATACAAGCACGATCTTACGAGGCTCAGATGCCGGCCGTAAAGGTGCCGAAGAAGGCATAGAGCGCTCAAACCTCACCGAGGGCGTGCAACTAGTCCGTCGCTCCTCCGTCGTCTCCCAGAACCTAGACCTGAGACGCGTCCGAGCACTAGGAAGCTTCAGCGCCCAACTCCTCAGCCTATCCCGGACGATTGGCGCAACCATGGAAGCCGAGCTTGTAAATATCATTCTCTCCGATGTTCAAGAAACGATAGCCACGATGGACGCGTCAAAGACGTCGGCGCGGATCAGAGGCGCGCCGGCAGCTACGTGGGTGAAGAATATGTTGAATAGCACGTATTCGTATTCCGTCGGCACACCTGTGGCGACGACGATTGATACGGCGTTCATTGCGGGGGAGGAGCGGCTCAAGACAAGGCTGTTGCCGCTGGTATTAGGGCTGCTACGGATGGATAGGTTGGGGAGCGCTATGCAGTCGTATAAGGACGCTCTGCATAAGGAAATCAAACTTTTGTCGAAGAAGGTAAAGCGTAGTTTCACCTCCGCGTGTCGTATCGTGGCGAGCTGTCAAGACTGACATGGTCGGGTTTCCGATATGAAGTACTATCCGTCAACCGCAGGGCAGGATGTGCTAGGCATGTCTCCCGTGACCCCATTTTCCCCAAACTCCGACAAGAACCCACAGCAGAGGTAATGGACCCATGATTGTGTCATTTTCGCAACCCACAACTAAAACCCCAGTTTCCCCACCAGTGCTCTCGCCCGACTGCTCCGCTCCCTCTCCTTCGAAGCATTCTATGACCTCCTCCTCATGGTCTACATCTCCCTCCTGCACGTCATCCAACGGGTCAGCATAGCCCACGAAATAATCGTGCAGATCGTGAAAGAGGCCCAGGACCGCGGCGTCGTCATCGGAGCAGACAGCGCGAAAGGCCTCGACCTCCAATCCGCCGACACGCCTCCGACCCACCCCAACAAACTCCGGAAGAACCTCAGCGAGGATGAGGACGAGTTGGGCTCCACCGCCACGCTCGACATCGATAACCCTGCACTCGGGATGGGCAGCGACCCGAGAGACGCGTTAACCCAGTCGACGGATGTCTTGGACGCTGGCACCTCGTCAACGTACGGGCAGATCATATCGGAATCGTCCGACGTGTTGTTCTCCGCGTGTGATCTGACCCATGCGCGGTGCGCGAAACTGATTGGCGTGCGGTCGGATCAGAACGCGCAGTTGAGCCCCGGCGATTTCTTCAGGTTGTTTGGAGCGACATGGGAGTTTGTAGTTGGGGGGGAGAGTCTGTGTGGGAGGATGTGCTTTGGGTTGAAGGGGACGATACTTTCGCAGGTTTGTGTGGGATATTCACTCTGCATGCTACGCATCACATGGAGATCCTGACGGCTCCATTTGTGTTGTCGACCCACAGGCGAAAGCATTCATCAACCGCTTCCATGAAGACAAAGCCAAACAAATCGCGCACATCATCGAAACCGAGCAATGGGCACAGGCCGAAGTCCCTTACGACTTCCAAGACATGGTCAACCAATACTTCCAAAGCACCTCCCCCATCACCCTCGATGGCAGCGACGAATCCCTCAACCGCCGGCTGTCCGACGATGAGGCGGTCACACCCAGCAGCGCGTCGTCCCCCTCCACATCTGCGCAGAAACTGGATGCGGCGTCGAGAACGCAGCAGTATTTGATGATTGATAGGAGACGATATAACGTTGTGACGTGTGTGTTGCTCTTTTTGAAGATGTTGACGGAGTATATGCATTGTATGGAGAGTATCCCGACTTTGACGACTGATGTGCTGAATCGGATTGCCGATGCTTTGAAGGTGTGTTTTTCGTTCGCTGGTTGGTTTGCGGATGTAGAGAGGGGTATACTTAACCGTCGAGTGAAAGCTCTTCAACTCGAGAACCTGTCAAGTGATACTGGGAGCCGGCGCGATGCGGTCGGCGGGGTTGAAAAATATATCTGCCAAGCATATCGGTAGGTCCCAGCATTAGCAAACGTTTCGTGACACCGACATCCCATCCCCTAACGCACGTATCCACATTTTAGCATTGACAGCCCAGGCCCTCGGGGTCGTGATCGCCATCATCCCGCACATCAAAGACGGGATTCAAAAGTTCTTGCCGCCGAAGCAGCATGTGCTTTTGGGGGACTTTGATCGGTTGTTGCGGGTGAGCATTCATACACTTTGAGATTGTTCTATCTTCCGAGGGGCTTAGCAACTGATGATGATTGATTCACAGGACTACAAAGACCATCAATCGGAACTATACACCAAACTCATATCCATCATGGAGGAGTTCTGTATCACTCAGTCCGAACGGTTGCAGGTAATGCACACGTGTCCCGATGTTAGACGAGTTCCGTGAGGGAGGCTGAACGGCGCGCGATTGCTTTCCAGGCAATCGACTGGGATAACCCGGACCCAGCCCTGTTCTCCCAAACAGAAGGCGCCAGCGTGCCCATGCTCGAGATCGTCAAACAGACCGTGACGCTACATAAGGTGCTTGCGCGGTATTTACCGCAGGAGACGATGAAGGTACGCGACGGGGTGTGTTCTTCACAGACACGTTTCTAAAAATGGATGTACTGACATGGTCGGTTTGCTTAGAACGTGCTACTGGGCGTCTTTAAGGCCTACAATCAGTGTATTGGGGACAAGCTCAAAAACGTGGATCTGTTCACCGGGGCGGGGAAGAATAGGTATGATTTCTCCTCTCCTTTCACCCAACACAATGCCAAGTTTTTTTTTACTCACAAACCCCCGCTAGACTCTTAATCGACGTGCAACACCTCATCCAAAAGCTCTCCGCACTAGACGGCGTCGACGGCCCCGGCACCGCCCTCGAAGTCGCCGTCAACAACATCAAGATCAAGGACCGGCGCACGGCGGCCGCACCGCCGGGGACTAGTAACCCCAATAATCGTGGGGGAACACCCACCCCGCGGTCGTCGTCGGAACAAACGACTAATACTACCCAGTCCCCGCAATCGGCCACGGCGGCGGCTGCAAATGCGGCGGCTAATGCGAAGAAGGGGAATTTCGCGTCGGCGTTTGGGAGTATGTTGAAGAATAAGAATGCCGGGTTGCCTGGGGCCGGGTAAGGTGGGGAAGGGACTGGTGGGGGGGTTATGTATTTATTTTAGCTTCGGGGCTTTTTTTTTTTGGAGTGTGAGGTTCGGGTTTGATGACTTTCTAGAAGTGTTGTTAAATTGAAGCATGGCTGTCTGTGCAGCAAGCGTGTTGCTGCAGCGAGGGTGTTGCTACATTGTCACGAAGCACATGCTCGAATCATATCATTATCACATGTTATTGATCTAGGGAGGACCGTGAAGAGCTATGTACATGTTGAGAGGCGTACTACTACAGGTGCGGGAGGATGGGTCGAGTAGTTAGATGATGGGACCTACTACTTCCATAATTGGAAGGATGGGTCGACTAGTTCGCCGCAGGAGTCACTAGTCGAGTCTCGCATCCCCGTATAAGCTCGATTGCGGATATCCGTCCCCTGCTTCCCAGAGCGATACGGCCGCGTAGTCAACGGCCTCCCTTCCAACCGCTCTCTTGTGGAATACCCGTGCGTACGGCCCAACCTTTTGTAAGCGGGATTCCCTGAGCACCCGTCCGGAGTTCCTGTAGACAAGCGACACATTGGACAGCGAGTAAAACGCCTGCCATGGACACCAATTTACCGTGCCAAAATCTACCATCATGATTGAACTTGTCTTGATAACTCAAGCTTCGCGGCGTGATGTCTTGGGGGTTCCCGATCGGAACAAAGTCGAAGTGCCAACCTGTCTTCTAGCAGGTTTCGCGGCAATAATAAGCAGTCTTGCAGCGGGCACATGCAGCGGTCGCCGGGGGTGCGGCTGCAATGAGAACTGGGTTCCAGACTATCTCGTTTCCTTGTTCTTCATGCGCCGTCGTGGTTGTCTTCGTTGTGGTTACGAAGCACACAAACCAGCAACTGATCGTTGCTCCCCAAGTCCAACAGTTGATCCGTTGTAAGCTCATTGTGGACGAGGGCTCCACTTTTTGAACGATCCAGAGTTGTCCAAAAGCAAAGACGTCCAAATCTGCCCGCCAAGCCTCCATGGTCTCCCCCGCTCTCACACAGGGTTGCGAGAAGTCATTGACGGGGGATGAGTAGGATCCTGCGCGGTGTTTCCAGGTTTAGAGGTGGTGATGGTCTGAACTCTCTCCCGGAAGGGCACCACAAGGCTGCTTTCACCATGCCCGCCCGCCGGGAGTTCCAAGTCGCGGAGGATAGCAGTGCACCTTCTCCATATGTCGGTGCAACACAAACGACCTTTGGCTCGGCTTTCCACCCATCATCCTACTTCTTCTGATCATCTAACTAGTTCAGACGATGGCCCTCGATGCTCAAGCACTTGCCAGTATGCATTCATGCACCCGCCGGCATCCGGGTTGAATGAGAGTTTTGGCTTTCATCTGTAGCCGGGCAGTCCTCGATGGCTTCGAATCCAACAGCATTTCCAAGCGGTCTCGTGTACCCGCTGTTAGGCGACCGCACGGCAGTTGCGCCAATGATCCTGTGAATGACGATTGAAAGACTTTTGTCGGAAAATATTGTGGCCACACAAAGTCGCTGCTCCATATCCCGTTATAACTCCATTCATTCCAACGCTGCTCCAGGTTGGTCCCCCCCCCCCCCCCCCCCCCCCCCTGATATCCCTCCTTGGACCCAGCCATGCTCCACGTCGAGTTTGCAGGCTCACAATCCGATAATAGTCGAGCAATCTATCTTTTTTTTGTCCATTTCCAGCGGCGGCTGCGCATCGACGTCGTCCCCCGAAGAGTCAATCGTCCCAGTCGGATATCGGGATGCAGGTGAACCGTACTTCCATCACTTCCACTGTTTGGCATTGAGTGCCCTTTTGGCGAAAGGAACCTGGACTTGATATATACAGTCTGTTGCCATAAAGCAGGTCGCCACCGAAAGTAAGTCAGTGTCCTCGCGGCTGATCATCGCACCCATCATCCTTATTCAAATTGAACGGTATTAGGACTCTAATCTAAACTAGATCTGTCACTGTCCTACGCAACAACCGCTGGGGCCGACTGCGCACGGCCAGGTGCGACCTGCTTTATGGCAACAGACTGTACAGTAGGACGCGACAAGGACACATCATCCCCAGCATACACCCCCAATTATGAGAATGCCCACAGAATGACGCGATTTGAGATTCAGGGGAGATTCGCGACGACATCCACGCGACGTTCTTTTGGAGGTGCTATGGAAATTCCGCGACGATGGGCTATGGACATTTTGGCAAGTTCCTCCCACAGATGTTCACACAGAGGTCCCACAGATGTTCCACAGAGGATCCTTGAACATCTGCTTTCCAACATCCACGGGAAGTGCCACACACCTGGCATCTGTGTGTCATTCCTCTCGCGTTGCCGGTAAACCCTTATATCCAGTTTGTCGCAATCATACAAGCATTCTATAATTTTTCGCGCATCAAATATGTACAAGGGCTCATCTCTTCATAGATGACGCAGAGAGAATCAAATACAGGTGAAGTGAAGCAGGGATATAGAAAGCACGGTTCAATCGGATATAGTGGGGCGTCATCGAGAAGGGAAAAGGAGCATAAGAGGAGTAATGAGTCCCGGCAAAACCACAACCAATGACGCACCAATGCAACAATCACAGTCGCATAATAGATACATGGGTATACCGAACCGAGCTGTTGCGGCGAAAGAGGTGTTCGTGAAACGGAAGGGTATGGTGGTGGTGGTTGGTAGATTTGACTGGAATGGGCATGAGGGAATGGCGGAGGTCGGATTTGCCGTTGTGGGTAATGCGGTGGTAGCGTGCAAAGGCGTGGTTGTTGGGACCAAAAGGCAGAATGATTGCAGACGAGGGTCTGTTTGTACCAAACGTCAATGAGAGTTTTGCGGAACGCTGAGAAGCCCACAAAGTGACATTACCATCATTACAAGAAACCATCCGCTTCATCTGCATCGAACCCCCTGAAGTCGCCAAGCAGTCGATCCGCCTGAGGTGATGTCAGCTGCTTGTCGGAATTGTAGGGACGTGCCTCATAGTGATCTTCATTTGAGATGGTGCGAGCGGAAGAGGACAATGCCGGCGTGCGAGTGGAAGCCGGCGTGCGAGTGGAAGAGGATGCTGGCGTGCGGGTGGGCTTGGGAGTATGAGCAACGTATGATGACTCGGAACCCGCGTCCGGAGACATGTTGCGGATCTGGGTCTGGTTCGGTGGCCGGGCTGTTGAGTGTTCGTCGTACTCATCTGGGGTGTGGGAACGATAGTCGGAATTCCCATTATCACCCTGATGCGCAGAAAGCACCATCGAATCTTCCCGGCGGGTGTAGAGTGCAGCATCCTTGGACAGTACGTCCTCCATATACCTGGCACATAAAATGTTAATTCACAGGCTTAAACACAACGTACGACGATGTTTTCCTCACAGAGCAAGGGTTTCGCTAGGCAACTCGTATATCGCTTTGAGTCATTCGGTGATCTCTACCCAGAAGCGGTTGCCTAGATCCTCATTCTCCATCTCGGCTACCATTTTGCGCTGTTTGACAATTGATGCAAACGATGATCAGTATATATCTGAGAGGACACGCCACTCTCGCAGACAACCAGTCCCTCACCACGCCTTACCAGAAGTGCTGCTCTAAGCTTGTGCGATGCTTTTGGTTGGATACCATTGAACAACATCCGAGTGTAGGCTTTGAGCTCGAGATCATTAATGACCTTTTCGTTCGGCGGGCCCACCAAGATCTGCTGCTTCATCGCGGTTCGGACTTTGGCGAGCGCATTACTGCACTCGGTTTTGACTTTTTCGTTGATAATCTCTACATTCCGCTGTCCCTTGGTGACACCTTTGGAGATATTGAGAGTAATATGAGAGTAATGTGATGAGAATAGTCCCACCGGGTATGGTATTACTGAGCACAGCACAAAACGATGTGGCTTTACCCGCTTCCTTCCGAAAGAGAATATCTGCCAGTGTCTGCGACTCGCCGGCGTACGTTGTCTTCACGGGGTTATAACACACTTGTCTTGCCTGAGCCTTCACAGCTGAGCGGAATGCCTGTCTGTTTGTATGTACAGCGGTCGAAAATATGAAATGTTTAACCACTGCGAGTATTAATAGATAGACAACGCTCACTCCCATACAACGCTCAGCCCCATACCCTGTTTGGCTCCCAGGATGCAACCGACATTCTCTGACCGATTCGAATTTGCTGTTTCAACTCCTGGATTTCAGCAAATAGCCAGACCTGTTGCTGTGCGTGCGAGGTTGTTGCGAATTTGAGAGCAGTTGGAATAAGTTCGGGTGTAACATTGAGTGAGAGTAGGAGGCTGGTGGCCTCTGGTGTAGAAACCGCTGAAACACCGGTGGGCCCAGGTGAGAGGCTGCTGTGCGAGGTGGCGGCGGATTGTGATACGGGAAGAGTGGATTGCGTGGGAATTACGGGGACATAGGTCTTTCGTAGCAGCGGGCTCCCGGTCGAAGGCTGCCCTGTTGTGCTGGTTTGCACCCGTTTAGCTTGTGGCGTTGGACCTGGCCCTTCAGACGCTGGGCGTTTCTGACCGATTTTGAGACTACGGAATTTACTGCTGGAGGTGGCTTTTGGTGGATGCCTTGGGTCATGTGAAGCAAGTGCTGAGCGCAAGCCAGGTGGGTCAGGCTTCGTTGAAAACAAGTTGCCGGTGGTGGTGCTACTGCCGCCAGTTTGCCTGCGGTGAGGGGTACTGCCACCGGTCATTGTGGTGCCGAGAATTGAGACGCTTCAAACGGTGATGGCGTCGGCTGCTTTCTGAAAAGGCACCAGACCGTCTGCGTGGGAAAACGGACTGTGGCTGCCGAAAAGGCAAACAGCATGAAAGTTAAGACATTTTCCCTTACGCGCGAAGGAACTCATAAGTGCTTACATAATCAGATGGACTCTCAGTTCCGCTTCTTCCCCGCTTGAGCCCAGACCCACATGCTTGACCACCACTCGTGCTATTCCCACTTGCAGAAGCACTTTGTTTCCCTTGCTTTTTTCGTTGTCGTGATGTTGTGGTGCTGCTGCTGCTTCCACCTCGGCCAGGTCCTTTCCCTTTCCCCTCTGCTTTCCCCGCCGCTTTCCCCTCTGCTTTCCCCTCTGCTTTCCCCGCCGCTTTCCCCGCCGCTTTCCTACGGCCACGGGGCATGGGTGCTGGGATTGCGAATTCTGTTTCCTGGCTGATGGTGGACTCGGCAATTGACTCGGCCCCATCTGACTCCAATGCCGACGATTCCCCGTCCGACGGTATCGATGACGGTTGATCAGAATCGGCATCAGATGTAGTACCATGAGTTGTAGTACCCTCTTGTCCCAAAAGAACTGCTAGCTCATAGGTATTGACCGATTTCCGAATGCTTTCCGTCAAGTTGTCGTCACCATCGTCGATCTGCACTGGGAATAATTTGCGAACCCATGGGGTGCTGAATACGCAAGTGTTGACAATAGTTCCGTCGGTATATGAATGATCTTCTCTTTGAGCTTGACCACACTCACGCGCTCCTGTCTGGTGGGCTCCTTGCTTTTAGCGATTTCGCACCCCAGAAAACTGCAGTGATGTTGTGTATTCACCGGCCCTTCGATATCTGAAACACTAACTAGTCGTCTCCGGGCATCAGCAGGTGCGGCGATCACTGGGCATCCCTGCCATGTTGCATCCAGCACATCAAAGAGGCTGACACCTATCAGGATAGATTCGTTGTCATTTGGGAAAGTCGAAATCTCCTCAACTCTTGCGATGGTTTTGTCGAATAACAACGCAAATTCCCCTACAACTAGCTTCCGGTGCTTGTCAACATGGAGCGCTTGCCACGAAAACGTGAGCTTTACATTCAAGTGATGCCTATCGTTGTGTGAACCGCCGGCTACCGTTGCCTCAAATTTGATAGGTTTCCGATTGATTTTCCTTTTGGGAGCAAGCGGCGGATCCTCGGATAGCACTCCATACAGCTTTCTCACTTGCGGCAACTCAAGCAAACCGATCAAGTCCTCTCCCGCCCGTTCCCACTGTCCCGCAGCTCGTTCGGCTCCGGCTCGTTCGGCTCCACGCTGGTCCGCTCCAGGCTGGTCCGCTCCAGGCTGGTCGGCCCCTTGTTCCACAGCACCTTCTTGTCCCATTGCGCCATCTGCTTCAGCTCTGTCACCCTCACTAGCGCCGCTCCAGTAGTACCCGCCGGACACCAGATGCCGCATTGTTTGGTACCGCGCAAACCGCACCGCTATGTCCTTGGATGGCGCATGGCGATTTGTATGAACAGAATGATTCCGCATGATAGCATTGAACGACTCAAATTTCTCTGTTGCATAAAGCATAGGTGGTCCCAGTCGCCGCATGCAGTCCAGAATATGTAGGATGATGTGAAATTTGTTGTGGTTTAGGAGGCGAATATCGCCCTCGACGACCGCAGATAGCACCGCATTCAGCAATCTGTTGACATCCGCCATAAAGTCTTCCGTTGTCGTGTCGACGATTCGAGTATACAACAGGGCTGATAACGCAGCCATGTACCGCCATGCCCGAGACCACGCCGCCGAAACCAGCCCGTATGAAACCAGGTACCCAATCTGCACAAATGCCCGGAAATCCTTCCCCTGCAAGTGTTATGATCTCGACGACTGAGGCGGAAGCGAAGTAGAGAAGACAAGGCGAGAGCGATGGGCGACAAGAGATTGTATTGGCGAAACAAGAGACAAGGACTAGAACAAGAGATGACAAGAACTGGTGTTGATCTGCTGGGGAGGAAGGGAATGGACGAAGAGAGGCCGGCTATTTCTAGATAGGCAACCCAGCAGGCCAGAGAACAACAACAACAAGAGGGGACTGGGGGGCGCCAGCTATGCTCCTAGAGCGTGCGTGGCGAGCGTAGAGAGCATTGCTACAGCTGCTGGCTATGGGGAAGCAGTGGGGGGTGTGGAGAAGCCGAGGGGGGATTGGCGAAATGAGAGGAGAGAGGAGGAGTGGCGATATTGCAAGAGGATTGGCGAAATGAGAGGAGAGAGGGGGAGTGGCATTGACATTGACATTGACACTGACATTGACACTGACATTGACATTGACATTGGCGTTTGACATTTGGCGGTTGACATTGGCGGCTGTCAGTAGGTAAGCTTATGGTATGGGCGCGTCGTCCATAACATCACCCCTCTTTTTAGCGGCGGCGGCGGCGGCATCGAGTTTGGTGTGGCCGCAGAGGAGGTGCTACGGGAACAGAGGAAGGCTTGTTGGGGTACGCGCTGTGGAATCCTGGAGGAGTGCGTCGGTACGGGTGAGGTGTTCCACGGGCTCCCAGGTGTTCTCGGAGTCAGGCCAGCCCTGCCATTTGACCAAGTACTGAAGGCGACGACAATGGATGCGAGAGTCAAGGATGGCTTCGACAACCCACTCTTCTTGACCCTCAACAGTCTCTGGGGGCGCAGGTTCGGGTTCGTGTCGTTCGGGGATGGTGAAGCGGGGTTCGAGGAGCGAGACATGGAAGACATCGTGGATTTTGTACGTAGGCGGGAGCTTGAGCCGGTAGGCGACGGGATTGATTTTTTCAACGATGGGGAATGGCCCAATCTTGCGATGGTCGAGTTTCTGAGAGGGCTGGGTTGTCTGGAGGTTTTTGCGGAGGAGCCAGACGTGGTCGCCACGCTTGAAGTCCGGTCCAGGAATTCGTTCAGCGTCGGCGTAGCGCTTCATTTGATCTTGGGCTTCCTTGAGCTCGAGGGCGAGCTGTTCATGGACTTCCCTGATTTGTTCAGCGCGGGCTTCAGCGGCGGGGTTGACGGATTCGGAGGTAGCAGAGGCCGCGAAACTGAAGCGGGGGTGGAGACCCTTGTTGACGTAGAAGGGGGTGGTCTGGGAGGCAGACTGGTGGGTGTTGTTGTAGGCGAACTCGGCGGACGACAGAAGCTGTTTCCAGTTGTCCTGTTGGTGGTTGCAAAAGCATCGGAGATACTGCTCCAGGATCTGGTTGGTGCGTTCCGTCTGGCCATCGCTCTGGGGGTGGAAGGCCGAGGAGAGGTTGGCTTTTGCCCCAAGGAGTTCGAGAAGTCGACGCCAGAACCGGGACTTAAACTGGGGTCCTCGGTCAGAGATGACGTCGTCGGGGAGGCCGTGGAGACGGATGATGTTGTGGAAGACTAGGTCGGCGGTGGATTTGGCGGATTCTGACTCGCTGCAGGCGATGAAGTGGGCCATCTTGGTGAGGCAACAGTTGACGTTCAGGATGGAGTCGTACCCGTCCACGGGAGGCAGACCGGTGATAAAGTCCAGGGACCAAGATCCCCAAGGGCGGGTAGGGATACTGTTGGGCTGGAGTAGGCCAAATGGTTTGTGTCAACTGGATTTCGCTTGGCTACAGGTATCGCAGGACTTGACGTAGGCCTTGACGAAGCGCCACTGGCTGGGCCACCAGTAGTTGCGGGAGGCGAGTTCAAGCGTCTTGGACATCCCAAAGTGGCCGGCTAGGGGAGTATCGTGCATGTCGTGGCAGACTTCGGCTCGGAGCTCGTTGGTGGGGACATAGACCAGGTTATCGTGCAGCAGGATCCCATCTTCATCTGAGAACCGCTTGATACGATCTCGGGTTTCCTCAGTTCGTTGGGCGAGGGGTATCTTGAGCTTTTCGCGAATGGTCTTAGCGAGGGGATCAGAGGCCTGGGCGGCCTTAATCTTGTCAAGCAGCGTGGTATCCATGGGTGTGAGGTAGGCAGCCGCGAGTCGAAGGCGTTCGGGAGTCAAAATTGTGGTTGCCTGGGAGCGGAACGCTTCTTCCCCCTCTTTTAGCTCATGTTCGGAGCGTCGGGAGAGGGCATCGGCTTGGTGCTGCTGGGAACCGGGGCGATAGGTAATGACAAAGTCAAAATCCGAGAAGAATATCGACCAGCGGGCTTGGCGGCGGTTCAGGGTGCGGGTGGTCATGAAGTACATGAAGGTTTTTGTGGTCGGAGTAAACGGTGATCTTGTGACGGGCGCCAATGAGATGGTGGCGCCACTGGGCAAAGGAGTCTTGGATGGCCAGAAGTTCCTTGTCGTAGATCTCGTAGTTGATCTCTTCGGCCGTGAATTTGCGAGAGTGGAAGGCCACGGGGTGGAGCTGATTGTCCTGGTCAGGTTGGAGGAGAACTGCGCCAAGAGCGAAGTCGGAGGCGTCAGTTTCGACGACGAAGGGCTTCTCTGGGTCAGGGTGAGCAAGGATGGGGGCGGTGGTGAATGCTTTCTTCAGGTTCTCGAAGGCGGTGTTTGCGGCGGGTGTCCAGGCGTATGGGATGTCTTTCCGGGTCAGGGCTGTGAGCGGGGTAGCGATCTTGGAATAACCTTGGATGAATTCGGCGATAGGAAGTTGGCAAAGCCGAGGAACCGCTGGACGCCTTTGACATTCTTGGGAGGTTCCCAATCCGTGATGGCAGCGATCTTCTTGGGGTCCATCTGGATGCCTTTCTTGGAGATGATGAAGCCTAGGAACTCAACGGATTCGCGGTTGAATTTGCACTTCTCTGGTTTGGCGTACAACCCATGCTGTCGGAGGCGGGACAAGACTTCGCGGACATGTTTGGGGTGATCTTCGGGGTTCTTGGAGAATATCAGGATATCGTCGAGGTAGACGACAACAAACACATCGAGAATGTCGCGGAAGATGTCGTTCATCAGGTACTGGAAGACGCCAGGAGCATTGCTGAGTCCAAAGGGCATGACATTGTATTCGAATAGGCCGTAGCGGCAGCGGAAGGCGGTCTTCCATTCATCGCCCGGGCGCATGCGTAAGAGGTTATAAGCGCCGCGGAGGTCGATCTTGGTGAGACGGCGGGCGCCGCGCAAACAATCCATGATACCGTTGATCAGGGGCAGGGGGTAGCGATTCTTCACCGTGATGCTGTTCAGGCCTCGATAATCAACGCAGAGGCGGAGAGAACCGTCCTTTTCTTCACGAATAAGACTGGCGCACCGGCAGGGGACTTTGAGGGTTTGATGAATCCTTTGGCGAGGTTTTCTTCGAGGTATTCGCAGAGTGCCTTCATTTCTGGTTCGCTGAGGCTGTAGATCGGGCCGAAAGGTGGCTGCTTGCCTTCTTCCAGATCGATTGGACAGTCGTAGGGCCGGTGCTTGGGGAGAGTGTCAGCATTTCTCTTTTCGAAAACGTCGGCGAAGTCTTCGATACTCGGGGGGCAGGAAGTCTTTGATGTCTTTCTCGGGTGTCGGGGGGTTACTGGGGCTAGGCGAGGCCGGGAGATCGGGTTTCGCAGGGTTGGCGTAGGCGACAAAGACCTGGTCATGCCTTGCTGCGACCCTGGAAGGCTGGGGCGGAGATGAACGAGACTCGGAGCGGCGTGGGAGCCGGTTCTGGGGTGCTGGAGCGAGATACCTTGGGTACTGGAATCGACCATGTTTCGTCGACGGGGACTTCATCCTGGGGGATGCGGATCAAGGGCTCGGGGGTTCTGGCGGGTGCTGGGCTCGGGGGTGCTGGAGAGTTGTCCCAATTCGCGAATTCATGGTACTGACAGTCGCAACGGAAACCGACCGAAAGGTTCTTGAAGTCAAGGTTAATGTTGTGGAGGCGGAGCCAGGGGAGACCAAGGAGGATTGGAGCATGGGGTGATTTGGTGACATGGAAGACGAGTTTTCGAAGTGGTCGTCGACCCACATGCCTACTGGTTGGGTGTGATGGGTGATTGGCTCAGCAGAGCTGGGTTGACTGTCAACGAGTTCGATCGTCAGTGGACGCTGATGCGGGACTAGGGCAATGCGGTGTTTGCGGGCAAAGTCTCTGTCGATGAAGCAGGACAGGGCACCATTGTCGATCATGGCTGAGGTAGGTATCGGGGCGCGGCTGGATGATACCATGATGGTAACGGGGTAGTTGAAGGGTTCGACGGGACCCAGCGCAAGCATGGCGCGGGGGTTAATTTCGGAGTTTTCGACATGGGCAGCGGCTAGGAGGGTTGTGTCGGCTATAACGGAGTCGGGAACCAGGGGGGTGGCCCCTCCCGTTGCAGGAGCTGCGAGGTTAGGAGGCCCGGGGCGGTGTGTGTTGTCCAGTCGCTGGGGCTTTACTGCGGCTGGACTTTGGGAAAACCCTGTTCGGTGGAGGGTTCTTTGATGTCGACGTTGGCGGCACAGGTGGTGGTCTTGTTCTTGACGGGGCAGACTTTTGCAATGTGCCCCGCGCCGCCGCAGTAAAGGCAGAGGTTGTTGGAAATGCGTCGTTGGCGTTCCTGCGGGCTCAGAGGGCCGCGGGGACGAGCGGCGTCAATCTGCATAGGCTCGCTGTGGTCGACAGTGGTGGTAGTAGTAAACAAGGTATGGGGAACCGGGAAGGTCTGGCGGCTTCTGTTTCGCTCCAGGCGGCGCTCAAACAGCCGGTTATCGCACTGGATAGCCTGCTCCATCACCACATTAATGGTGGCCGCAGGGGGCATCGTGAGCATCAGGTCTTTGAGGTCTTCTTTGAGGCCACGGCGGAAGGTAGCAATCAGGGCCTGGTTGTTCCAGGAGACATCGCATTGTAGCTGGCGGAACTCAGCGACGTACTCCGTTGCTGCACGGGTTTGGGGAAGGTTCTGGAGCTTGTTTTCAGAGGTGCGGACCCTGTCGCTGTCTCCGAAGACCGATTGCATCTGACTGATAAAACTATTGAAGTCCTGAACGCTGTGATCTTGGCGTTTGACTAGGGGCGCCATCCAGGCTTGCGCAGTGCCGGAGAGGTAGGTGCCAATAGTT